GCGGCAGCGGGAGGCCCCATTAGCTAAAGTGGTACCTCAGGTTAAGAACAGTTTCAGGTTAAGAACAGACCTCCAGCACGAATTAAGTTCTTAACCCGAGGTACCACTGTATATACCGTATTTTTTGCACCATAACACTCACTTTTTTCCTCCTAGAAAGTAAGGGGAAATGTCTGTGCGTGTTATGGGGGGAATGCCTACGGGTGGCATGCCTACGGATTTTCCTCCTCTAAAAACTACGTGCGTGTTATGGTCGGGTGCGTGTTATAGAGCGAAAAATACGGTAATTCTGGTCAATTACCAGTAGAGAAGATAAAAAAAAAAGCACATAAAATATGTTAAGTATATGCTTGTGCTAAATGGTGTGTGAATGGTGCTTTACAGATGCACTTTGAAATGACAATATAACAACTTACCGGTAATGCTGCTAGATTTTTGCACTGTGTTTTATATATGTAGGCCCTACAGTAGGGGTTGAATTGTGGTTTGTTGCTGGGTATCTACTAAGGTGGCTTTTGGGGTGGGAGGTGGGGGAGCGTTATCTAGATCATCTGTACCTTATTAGAAGGTAAGGTAGCTGAGGTTCTTAATAGGGTGAATCTCGCTACTGAAGTGAAAATAACACCTGGTTGTAGCTGTGGAATATCATCAAAACCATTATGACTTGGCCCTTGAGCCCCTTTGAGTTATGTGCCTGGGAGGAAGGGAAGTAGTATGGGTGGGGGTGGGATCAAAGTTGTCAACTTTCCCCTTTTTGTAAGGGAAATCCTATTCAGAATAAGGGAATTATGGGTGGGATCTCAGTGGTGATGGGCAGGGGAGCTATGGCATTGCAAGGCAAGTGTGAATATTCAGAAGAAGAGGCATTACCATCATAAAATCATGAACACTTCTTCGCTGCTTCCCAGAATGAAGAACTGGGATTGTCCCTCTCCTCCAGCAGTGCTGCTGGTAAATGCCAGGCTGGTCATGAACATGTTTTATGTGTTTTAATCTGTGTGACAAAGATATCTGCAAATGTGACCCGAGGCTGGCATTTCAGGTTCAAAATCTCACCCAATCCTTCCATAGGTTTTCACACAAACACCTATAAACATGTTAGGATATGCTCTGAGGTTGATATCTAACTCTGAACTTGAGACTTCACATGCAACATATGTTTGCAACGTAATTCTTCAAGTGCCTACTTGACCTCTGCGCCTACTTAAAAAAGAGGGAACAAAAATGTGTATATTATCTTGAATAATGTGATAAATTACATTTGGTGTTCATGATTAGAACTTTATGGAAGAACCAAGCTTGAGCCCCACACCCATTCTAAAAGTCCAGGAATGAATAATGTCTTTCAGATACTGTGCTTTCTTTGTTTTTATGCATTCATAATTGTCATTTTGCTTCCAGCAAATCAGTTACTTTCTTTACTAGTTGATGTAATAACTCATGCTGGTGGTAATCCACTTGACACAAATCTCTTCATTTTTCTAAAATCTCCATCTGTGATTCAGGCTTATTGAAATAGCAAAATGCAGAATATTAATTTTCTGCTCTGCTTTGCTGGTAGTGAGGATGATGACAACAGAAAGCTTTTATATTTGGAAATGGTACCCATGAGAGCTGAACATGGCTGTGTACTGGATTTTGTAACTAGAGACTGAGGATATTGGACTTCGAGTAAAAGAACAAAACAAAAACAAACTAGATCCAACAAGCTTCAATTTTGCCTGTCTCTGCTGTAATCTAATCCCTTCTTTGATATAGAAACATAAAAACAACTGATTTTAAGATGCATGAAATAGGCCAGATATAAGTTGATTATAAAGAATAAGGAAGCGCCCAGACATCACAGTAATACGTATGACTTCCTGGGAAGACATAAATTACTGTAATAAACAATGGTTTGTAGAACTGTCAATGTACTTCTTGTCAGGACTCGGGGCACAGGCCTATGGCTAGGGATGGACAACTCTCCAAATTTTGTTCCTCATTTCTAAAATCTTAAATCCAGTTCTTCACATTTTTGGAAGAATTTGTGAATTTTTAAAAAAACTCCTCATGAAAAAAATTCAGCATTCAGTGTGGGGATTATGTAGATGTGAATGAGCCCAGCCTGAGCTGAGCATAAGTGGAAGGTTATGTGTCAGGTTCCACATGATTAAGTGGGCGGGCAGTGGTATGGCAAAATGTCATTGCACTGGAAGTGAGACATGTGGTGAAAACATCACATGAGTCTTTCACCATGTACCCAATTTAGTCTGAACCCATGAACTTCAAAGGCAGGCCATTGCTTCAATCAGTTGACAAAGCAAGTTTGTCACACTGAATACCTTATGGGATATTCCTGCACTACATTTTCCACTTTGTTTTCTTCTTGTAGTGATATAGCTGGTCCACAGGGAGGCAATAGAGATAAGGAGATAATTCCTTAATTTATTTTAAAGGAAAGTATTTGATTTAACTTTCCAGATACCAAAAGTGCCAGAAGTTGAATAATTAAGCCTTCAATTTTGTTGAACTCCTTAGGTTTTGAGAAGGGAAACAATGTCAAGGCAGTTTTGTAAACAGAAATGTATTTAATATAGTGAAATATAATATTAATAGATTAACAAGTACAAATTATGAATTTATATTTTTAAAACTTTACAATGTTCTATGTTCAATAACTATATTTGATTATAATCAGATTTATTAATGTTGAATTGCTTTCCTTGCTGCATTAATTTTTCAATTGTTTAAAGAACTGTGAAATCATAGTAGGATCATAGAAAGGTAGAATTGTAGAGTTGGAAGGGACCCCAAGGGTCATCTAGTTCAACCCCCTGCAATGTAGGAACCTCAGCTATCCAAGACAGATGGTCATCCAACCTCTGCTTAAAAGCCTCCAAAGAAGGAGAGTCCACAATCTCCTGAAGGAGACTGTTCCACTCTCAAACAGCTCTTACCGTCAAAAAGTTATTCCTGATGTTTATTCAGAATTTCCTTTCTTGTTGCTATCTGTGGTGGGAGCTTTCTTTCTGATATTCACTACTTTTGTTTGTTCAATGTGCTGCATAATGATTCTTGCACAGTACTGCAGAAGGGAATAGCAAACAGCAGGTGCAGAGAGGCGGCTTTGATCAGGCTGTGGCACGAATAAAGAGGCAGGAATAAACTTCACTTGCCCAACCCTGCACTCAAGAGGTTGCTATTTATACTACAAGAACAAAAACCTTGCATGTTAAGTGCATCCATGCAATTCATGTCATATATAGGTTGACCCTTGCAGAGAGCATCTTTAAAAACAGTGACCACGTGAAGGGCCTTAATTCAGAGACAGAAGAAAGAGCAGGACCAGATTAACATATGTACAGTATGTTCTCATGGATATCAACTCACAATGTTCACAGTGCAGACTTCCCAGAAATCAACAGATTGGTGATACAAGAATGATAAGAGACTGGAAAAGGCTTTGTATCCCAAAATCTTGTTTTTAGCATTTATTGAAATGCTGTTTGAAACCTTAATAATTTTTTATTAATAAATGTGCATCCTGATTTTCAGAATGTTTCCCCTAAGTTAGTGAACATTTAAGTTAAAAATAAGCACATAACATACAAAACTTTCCAATAAAACACAGAAAAAACAAAATACTGATAAGTGAAATGCTAGAAACCAACAAATAGTAAAACAAGTAGACGCTCAGATTACTATAGCCAACACCAACAAAATAAAACAGACTTGCAAACTAAGTCTTCCTTTGAGATACAGCCTGCAAAAAAACAGAAGTCTCCAGATATTTTCAGAAAGCCTTCAGTGTTGTGATCCTACACAGCCTGGTTGGCAATGAATTTCAACATACTTCATCAGTGTCCTCAATATAATGAGAACAAAATGTTCATCAAATTGTGCTTTTGAGAAATGCCACATATATATCAGATTGTCATAAAAGACTTAAGGCCAGAGTAAATGCCAGTCATACATAATTGCTCTTATAAAAAGCAATTCCTTAAATAAATGAACGGACATTTGCTGGGATAATAATTATGCACTGGCTTACAACAAAGGCAGGAGCAAATACACACACACACACACACAGAGCGCATAACCAGCTTCAGGAATGTGTCTAAAGCTGGAGCAAGCGGAAGCATGTGTGTACCAATGCCAGTCAAAGGAAGAGAGAGAGAAATAAGAATTCCAAATGCTTCATCCTCTCTAGGAGAGGAGGGGAAATGACGTCATATAGAGCCCTCCCTACCAATTGTACTTCAATGGTCTGAGTATCTGCCTATTAGCAATATAGCTCTGTGGACTAGGCCCCTTCTCATGTTAACTAGCAATAATATACATTTGTTAGGTTTGGCTGCTAATGTCCCACAAACTGAACCGAAGTCATATAAGGCTTTGTAGGGCATGATAACCAGTGCTTTGAATCATGCTTGGAAACAGACTGGTAGAAAGTCGTATTGTTCTAACAAGGAGTTTCTGTTCTCCCTTTGACCAGCTCTCTGTTCCCAAGTACAGGGACTGACTCATCCCCCTTCACCGAACTACAGCTAAATACCACTTTGCAAACTCTTTTTGAAATTGTCAAAAACCCTAAGTCAAAAGTTCCACAGGGCATGCACAGCTATTGTGGTTAGGCAAGCCAAGCTGTACTACAGAAAAAGTGTTAGTCATCCTAGAATAAGTGTGGTTCTGCATTCACAGAATGATTGTATGTCATCCTCTTGCAATTCCTGATTGGCTGGAATCAAAGGTGACGCCTTCCTCAGCTCTTCGCCCGGCACAAGCAGGAAGTTTAAGCAGGGAGTTCACTTCCTGTCTGCTGGACTCACAAGCTTGAGGAGGCTACATCTATAGAACGTTTGCTCCATTATAGATTCTTTTTTTAAGCAGAAAAAGATCCTGTCTGAAAGATGCTGTTAGTTATGTCTGAAAGTGGAAGTTGAGCAGAAATGGCTATATAAAGACTAGACTGATGTTTTCAAATACAGTGCAGGATCAAAACTTACATTGCATACAGTCCTCAGGCAGAAACCACAGCAACATGACTAATCAAAACATTTGAAGAATGTAATAGTCAACCTTTAACACACTTCTCATTGCAGCACATTGCACAAGCTGGTGAATGGTAAACAGTGTGCTTTACAGCTGACGTAGCTGCACTTGTGATTACCGGGATCCAAGATTACAGACAGTGACACGATGGAAAAGCCACAAAGTTGACCCTATGTTCAGACATGTTCTAGGATTTTACAAGAGCCAAACTGAAAGAGAACTGCTGGGATCTTAATATGAAGTTTCACCCAACCCCCTTTTTTAAATGAAAAAGATTTAAAGCAGGATTTGCTTTTCTGGATAAAAGTCTTTTTCAAGAAGATGTCTGAAAAGCCATCTGGACTGAATAAGACATTATACTGTGTAACCCTTTCAGTGGACCTATCAAGTAAGTAGCTAATCCTTTTGACTTTAACAAGAATAATCTGAAACAGGAAATGATTTTTTTCTGTGAAAAAGCACAACAGATTGAAACATTTGTTTCTTTAAGAAAATAAATTATATGGTGATTAATTTAAGGATAAGATGGAAAAGGTGAATGTTCTGCATTCTGTGCTAGGTAGGAATAAAGCAGAAGTACAGAAAAACAACATTGCTAAGCATTTGATCACAAGTATAGTAAATGTGTTTTGTTCTTCTTACACTTGGAAAAATGTGTCATTCCAAGCAATGTTGCTAAGATCTATGGGGTCACTTAGGGTACCTCTACCATGCTCAGATTTCTGAATCTCATAATGGTTTAATACACAGAAGCATCAGTCATGCAGTGCTTTGAAATATGACTAATGAAAATGTTTATGTTAAAATTTAAAAATGACACAAATTTAATTGGGAAAGTGTGTGAGGCAGGAACTGTTTTTGTGATATTTTGGGGCACATAAATAAAACTAAAATCCAAAGGATTAAAATAAAAATATTTTATATTGTTAATGCCATTTTAACAATTTATCCCAATTTGTTTTACTTATTAAAACAACTGTATATCTTTTGAATAATGGCAGATTGACAGTCAAAAGTGACAGGGTAAAAAGCACAAACTCCACAGTGCCTTTTAATTGCTTCACTGTAGACTATTTGGAATAAATGCTGATGTTTACTATTTCAGGTGGGTTTTGCCCCATTTTAGACTGAAGCTAAAATATTTTTCCGATAATCACTTATCTCCAGCTCTGTCCTATTTAACAATTAAAAACGAGTGGGTACTTAAACTTCTTGATTGAATTTGCTATAAAACAGCTAACCTCCCCAGCAGTGGGATCAAAATGTTTTCCACAAGGCTCACACCTATGACAAGCCCACTGTCTGAAATTTATTTTGGTTTAGAAGCCCTTAAAGACAAATGTTCCATTGAATGGGCTTACTCTCACAAATTTCCCTCAAGCCACCAATTTACTACGCCCATCTCCATGTTTCACCAGTCCACCCAGCTCATAATCTAGTCTCCATCCACGGGAACACTATCAAACCTTTGTGCTAGGTTTAGGTAGTCAGGTTTGTGTCTTACCAGATTTAATATTTAAAGTTAAGTTAATATTTACTGGTGTTCTGTCCTGGAACCTGAAACAGGAGCTGATGGCATTACAATCAGCTTTCCCCTCCCTGATCATTAAAGAAAACCCAGAATAGCTGAATGGAGACTGAATGTGCTCTGTAGCCATGGAATGCTGACCAATGATGTGGGCAGGGCAGGTGATGGAAACTGGGTGGGAATGGAATGGACTATCCTGGAGGATGGCATAACTGACTGGAATACTAAACAGAACACTCCACACAGCAATGTCAATTTCAGTCTCTCTCTCTCTTTTCAATTGTTCCAATCTTGTTTGTGCTCCTGTTTGTGGAAAAGATACATATGTGTTATTGTTTTTTTAAAAAAGAAGTCCACATGAACAATCAGATGCATCTTTGTGTTCATGTCTCCTAATATACACATTTATGTATGTTGTCCAGTATGTGGGATTTTTGCAAAACATTTAATGGAGTGTATTTTGCACATGATTTTCACTAATATACACTTTTGTGTGCATATGTGGCATCACAACATTTGGAGAAGTACGAATTTCTGAGAACTGTATTTCAGTTCTCATATTGTTTTGGGAAGCATGAATGTGGTAGGTTCAAAATAAAATGCAAAGTGAACTAATTTCCTCTGCCATCCCTAATCTTGGCTTTCTCTGACAAACATCAAGTCATATACAATATTTTACAATCCACATATCTTCCCAATTTCCATTCAGTGGTAATTAAAATATAACTTCTTGTTGTTAAAGCATTATTTTACACTTATAATGATATTGACACATCACATGTCAGTCAGAGTAACTAAAGACTTCCTAAATGATGTCTGCCTAGGACAGTGACATGTGACTGCCTGGTCCTGTGTGAGGTGGAAGAACTGCCATTGTCTTCAGGTTCTCTGCATACTTCCATTTTCCTGGTGACTACAGGAAGGATCTACCACATAGTCACCACTATTTAAATAAACTATAATCTTATGTTAATTATATTATTAACTTCTTTTGTGACTAATGGCCTCACTAAAAATGTCATGCAACTCTACAAAAAGAACCACTGTGATGACCCAGTGTGCCTGAATGTGACCTTTTTTCACAGCAAATCACAGAGAGTAATTATATACAGAATGTTCTGAGTAGATGGTTCCTACTTAATGATGGATTTCAGAACCATAGATTACAGGTTTTAAAACTAATGAGCTAAATCCTAACACTAGAATGACAGTTCAATTTATATCCTAGAACATGATCAGCAGATTATGCCCCATTAATTTAACAGAAACTATATTTCATGTAATGCATGTTCAGAACTGCAGCTTTGAAGGTCATAACACAATGTTTACTGATTATTTAGGGGTTTTTTTATAATGCATGTCGTGATCAAAGGTCTTCCTAAGGCAGTTCACAATAAACACCAAGAAAAAAAATTAAAGGGTGCTCTATTTTATGCAGATTTAACCACACACAATTAAGAATGTTAACTAACCTCCAACCTCTTTACCCCTCATTCCTGAACACATTAAACCCAGTTGAGGGAATCCAATGTACCCAACCATATATGAACAAGGTTTGCCCATTCTCTTTCATGCTGAGGGAAATTCTGTGACATATTAAAAATGATGGTGTCTATACATTCACCAATAATGAAAACAACAATTTGTGTATATAGTCACTGTTAAAATATGTCTCACATGGTGGGTCTATCTGCAGAAAGCTGTTTGTCTCAAGGCTGTGGTTGCCTCCTGTGTAGGAATGAATGAAACAGCCTATTTCTGTCCTGTGTCAGTTTCTCCTACATGCAAAAATGAGTCCAGGACACTCTGTTCATGTGCAATTTTTTAAATAAAAGAGTGAACACTGAACAGTTCTACTAAAAAAACAAATAAAAAACCAGGTACTTATGAGGTAGTCCTTGGACTGACTTCTTTGTACTGTACTGCAACTGTACTCTCCAGAGGCACATATTTCCCCCATACAATACTCCAGGAAGGGACTACACATTATGGCATATGGTTGCTTCCTGGGAGCATCTTAAAATACAAAAAAAAAGCAAAAAAAAAGCACGTAGGCATGTCATAATGTCAAAGTTGTAACGTCTTTACAACCAAATGGCTCAAGCTATTGACATGATCACCCCTGAGCGCCCTCTCCCACTTCGTGGAGCCCAATTGGCCCTCTGGTATAATACTCCAGAGCGTAGGGGGAAGAAACAAGCTGGGAAACAGCTTGAACGCAAGTGGAGGAAAAATCCAAATGAATGCAACCAAACAGTGGTAAGGGCTCATTACTGAGCCTACCTAGTGGCAGTGAAGGAAGCAAAGAAGGCATACTTTACTGCCTCCATTGCATCATTATGTAGTCCAGCAGAGCTTTTCTGGGTTGTACAAGGCCTTTTACAGGCTGGCCCAAAGGAAGTGATAGAACCAACAGTACCTCACTGTGACTTGTTTGCAAAGCATTTTGAGGATAAAATCGCCTGCATCTATCAATACCTAGCAGATGAATCTCATGGGGTGCCCAGAGCACAGTCTAGTCATGTTGTGTTGGATGAGTTTTAGTTGGTAAGGCTCAAGGATGTGGACAAGGTGCTCAGATCAGTCAGGGTGACCACTTGCACTCTAGACCCTTGCCCCTCTTGGCTGATAAAAATCAGCAGGGAGGGAACAGGTAGCTGGGCCAGGGAGGTGATCAATGCCTCTATACGAGGGGGTGGTCCCTGCCTGTTTGAAGGAGGCAGTGGTAAAACCACTCCTTAAGAAACCTTCCCTGGATTCGGAAAACCTAAGCAACTACTGGCCAATTGCTAATCTCCCTTTCCTAAGCAAAGTTTTGGAGTGAGTGGTTGCAGACCAGTTCCAGGCGCTTTGGGAAGAAACTGATTTTCTGGATCCATTTCAATCGGGGTTAAGGCCCAGTTTTGGCACAGAAACTGGTTTGGTTACCCTGTATGATGACCTCGGTAGAGAGAGAGACAAGGGAAATGTGTCCCTGTTAATTCTTCTCAACCTCTCAGCGGCTTTCAATACCTTTGACCATGGTATCCTTCTCGAGAAACTGTCCCAACTATGGGTGGGCGGCACCGCTTTGCGGTGGTTCCAGTCCTACTTGGATGGCCGTTCCCTGAGGGTGTTACTTGGGGAATGCTTTTCAGCCCTGTGGAACCTTCAATGTGGGGTTCCGCAGGGCTCAATCCTATCCCCCACGTTGTTTAACATCTACATGAAACTGCTGGGAGGTTTGGAGTATGTTGTCAGCAGTATGTTGATGGCCCTCTGCTCTATTTCTCCTTTACATCTGCAGGTGAGGCAGTGAAAGTGCTGGACCAGTGTCTTGCTTTGGTAATGGACTGGAGGAGAGCCAACAAACTGAAACTCAATCCAGATAAGACTTAGGCACTGTTAGTGGGTGGTTTCCTAGACCAGACAGGTGGGAGACTGCCTGCTCTTGATGGTGTTACACTTCCTCTGAAGGAGCAGGTTTGTAGATTCGGGATACTCCTGGATCCTTTGCTGTTGCTCGAGGCTCAGGTGACCTCAGTGGCCAGGAGTGCCTTCCATCAAGCTTTGACTGGTGGCCCAGCTACGCCTCTATCTGGACAAGGATAGCCTACTGTTGTCTGTGCTCTGGTAACCTCAAGGTTAGATTACTGCAAAAACATTCCTTTTTAACCAGGCCTTTGGTTGTTTTGATTGGCATCCTATGCCTTTTTAAAATGTAAGGGTTAATTTGGCAGGGGGGGTTATTGGGTAGTTTTAATTTTGATTATATATTTTGTGGTTTTATATTTTGATTTTCTTCTGTGAACCACCCTGAGACCTCTGGGTATAGGGCGGTATATAAATTATTATTATTAATAATAATAATATACAAAGAAATGAGGTGTCAGAGAACTGCCTTCTACATATATTTTATTATTATCATTATTTTGCTTTGCCTTCTACAAATGTAGTTGCATTGTCCCCATGGCTCTGCTGGTGTGTAAATGACAGAGACTAATGCTCAGATTTACATTCCAATTTGCCCGTGAGTCCACGAGGCTGAAATGGTTAGGTTCTCTCCTAATTGTGGAGCAAACTGGAAGCCTCTGAAATCCTTACCAATGAGTTAACCCTGCCCTGTGGAACTGCAGTCACTGGCAGAGGAAGAGGAGTGTGGGGGGAGCACCCCGTCCCTGGAGATCCCAGTAGAGTGCCATCGCGGCTGCCCGTGCTGCCCCTGCAGGCAGCATGCCCCGCCCCCATGATGCACACCAGCCCCGCCCTGACCCGCCTGCTTTTCGCCCCGCCCCAGTGCCAGAGCATGAAGCTCTGCCACTGACTGCAGTCATACATATATGGATTCTCTGCTTCCATCAACCTTTATGCTAAAGAGAGAAGGACCATGACTAGCACATGTACTCACTGGAGAATTGTTCATTTTAACTAAAATTTTTGAACTGCTTGGGAGCTCCCCTGGAACTGCTTGAGAAATATACATACCTTGTAAATTAACGGTTTGGCCATATGTTTACTACATTACTCCATAAAGAGTGCCATTTCCGTTTCCCATTTTTGGAGAGATGCAGCAAGCTCCAAAGGCCTTTTTTTAAAAAATACCTCATTAGGACAGCTTCTCCCTCCTTTTAATTTGTGCCTTTGGCATAGTGGTACGTCAGGCCAGAAATAGCACCTTGAGCCTTACCAACTGAAACTCATCCAACACAACTTTGCTTCAGGATGAGAACAGAAATTGCACGACGGCGGTGCAGTAGCAACGGGAGGCCCCATTAGCTAAAGTGGTACCTCAGGTTAAGAACAGTTTCAGGTTAAGAACGGACCTCCAGAACGAATTAAGTTCTTAACCCGAGGTACCACTGTACATTGGTTGGGAAGGGCTGATGCAAAAGAGGGCAGGACTCCTGCACCTTTAATAGTTGTACTGAAGAGCTAATTGCATGACAAGCTACACCTGCTAGAATTCTCTTACATTCAAGGTGCAAGAGCCCTGTCCTTGTTTGGTGTTTTTTTTCAGTTAATATTTATGTATACTTTGTATATAACTGAACTTACACTCAATTACTTAATATTATGTAGAATCAGTGAGCTAGTCAGAAATGTAGGTGTCCCTGAGAAATACTTCATTTGTGGTCCGAAACACTGGAGGTGTCACCCACCTCAACCCCCCAGTGTAGCATCAGACAGATAAGGCTTAGACTGGAGACACATAGACTGAAATGGCTGCTCAACCATTAATTAAATTAAATAACATAAAATTAATTAATTAAACTCACTTGGCCGCTCATTGTCCCTTGGTATAAATTGTTTTGTAGGATTGTGGTGAGGAGAGTTGAATCCTGAGCACATTGGGAGAAGGAATATAGGAAATATTATTAAATGTTGGGCGGTAAAATTAGCACTCCTTATATTGCCCTTCTAATGTGATGTCTTTGCTGCCCAGATGCTCACATAGATTGGCTCTTCAAGTGGAGAAAACACTACAGGACCACCTTGACTAGGGATAATTGTTGGACTCCCAACTTCCAGCATCTTTGGATGGGGCTGATAGGAGTTTAGAGCCCAACAGCATCTGGAGGGTCACCCTATCTCTGACTTAGGCTGTGTACACCCCCCCCCATACATTTAAAGCACTTTTCCTTTTCCTACAAATAACCCTGGAGATTGTCGTTCACAAGCGTTTGGTGGTGGGCGATGTGCTTTAAATAGACAGCGTCTGTGCAGTATATGCAGTTCGAGAACAACCTGCGGTCCCAAATGGCCAGGTGCACTCACTGCCCCAGAAGGGTGGAGTATAAATAATAGTATTTTTAATTTTTTTTATAAAAATATATATAATGAAGGCAAGCGCATTTTCCTTCTGAAGTCCCCCTCCCCGGCCCTTGTGGGTGGACCTGCAGTTCTTATAATCCCTGCCCATTCCCCAGGCTTGTTGGGCCTGAGGGGAGCCACCCCGTTCTCCGAGCTACAGCTAGGAGGAACCTCCGCTCACCCAAGAAACTTGGTTGTCGTTAATAAAATCGCCCCCTCACATCTCTCTTTAAAGCCACAGGAGCCAGTGGGCCGCGGATCCCGCAAGGTAATGGCGACTCGAGTGAAGAATTTCTGTTCCTCTCGTTCGCCTGCTGCTGCGACCCAAGTTCGCTCCAATTTGGACAGGAGAAGCTGGGCCGAGGCGGGTGGGGAGAGACATGTGTAGTATATGATATGAGGGGAGGTCGCTTCTTCCTCGTTTTTAACGAGGGAGGGGGGAGAATAAAAGTTCGCCATTGCGCCCTGAGGAACGCGATAGGGCGCTTCCTGTTGCTGCTGCTTCTTCCAATTCAACCCATCCCGACGCTTCCCCAACGTTACGGAGGGGCGAGGAAGCTGAGGGAAAACCAGTCCGAGAAGTAACCGGCGGCGGGTAAGAAAAGAGCGTAGGAAACACCGGCGCGAGCTTGGCCTCCGCAGCGCCCCCTCTGCCGGCCCTCGGTATCTCCCAGAGTCTGCCCGAGCGTGACTCCGAGGCTGGCGGGCTCCTCCCCCTCCCGCTCCCCTTCCTCCTCCTCCTCCCCCTCTCGCGTCTGTGGCGCTCGCTTCCCCGTCACCCTCCCCCTCCCGCTCTTGTGCCGGGAGGATCAAGATGGACGGGGTGCGTCGCTGCCTGGCGATGGATTGAGGGAGGTGAGCGAAGGACGCCGGGAAGCTGAGGCGGCCACAGCGGCGGCGGCGGCGTCTGAGGAGAAAGTCTGCGGCGCCGCGGAGAGCGAGCGACTCACTCACTCGGGCAGCGGGGAGGAGGAAACAAGAGCGCGGCGGGGCCTCGCGGCGGCCTTTCCTAAGCCGCCTGACCGGGTCACCCTGCGAGGCCTGCGGCTGCCAGACAACGCGAGCGCCGCGGCCCGGCCCGGGTAAGAAGAGGAGGCGGGGAGAGCTGGGGCTCCGAGGCAGGCGGTTCCGGGACGGCTCCGCCGCTGGGCTTGGGGGTCCGTGTGGGGAAGGCGGCTGGAGCGGGGAGGCTGGAGAGAGGCCACGCCGAGTCCCGGCGCGGCGGGGCTTGGTAGGCCTGGGGAAACGGAGGGTTTGGGGACGGGAGGGTAGCGAGCGGGGTCGCCTGTCCGGGCTGCCGCGAAGAGATCTGGTTGGGGCCTGTGGGCCTAGTAGGAGGCGAGGCGAGGCGAGCAGGTGCTTCTTCCTCGGGGCTCGCCTGAGCCCTGGGCTGCGGGCCCTGTGGAGGGGAAGTGATCGGCTTCCTCTCGGTGCCTGAGCTTGTGGCCTTACGTTGTTTTCGGCTCTCCTTTGTGACTAGGGGTTGTAATGCTAACCGTGTCTACTCGGGAGGGAATGCTGTTGAGTTCAGCGGGGCTTACTCTCGGAGAATTGCGGGTGGGGTTGGATTGCAAGCCGGATCTGTAAAAGTCAGTGTAACATCCCTGGCTGTATTGTCTGGCGTTGGCGTTATTCAATCTCGTCGTAGAAGGTCGGCAAATAATTATATCACGAACGTGTGAAGGTACCTCATGGTCAGGCTGTTGGTCTGTGTAGCCCAGGAGTTATCTACTCTGACCGGCAGCGGTTCTCCAAAGTCTTGGGTAACTTCCAGCCCTGTTACCTAAGATCCTTTTAACTGGATATACTGCGGACTGAACCCTTCTGTGTGGAAAGCATGTGCTTTGCCACCAAAGTTTGGCCCCTTCCCCCACATTTATTACTTTGTGGGAGAGTGTGCCTGACTGTGTGTTTGACTTTTATTTATTTAAGCTAAGTGTGTCTTTCACTGTGCATGTAGGCAACCTTTGAAGGATTTACCTTTGTGATATATGTTTTTAATACAGGACAAAGTTTGTTGTTGTTGTTGTTGTTACCTGGGGTTTTTCAGCCTGCAGGAATTATTCTATTGTTTTTAGTTTGGTCTCTCATGCAGACCAAGTTGAAAGTAAGTTTGACTAATTTCTATGTAACTTTTTTTATAACTGGGTAGTATTTTACATCATAAGGCTAGTTTTTTTTCTGGAATGCCCCCCCCCCCCATGTTGTTAAAAGGTAACATTATTAATTGCTAACATGTCACAAGCAAACACAAGCAGACTTTGCCCAACAATATTTTTTTTAAAGGCACAATTCTGGAGAGAGTCTTCCTTTCCCTAATACGTCAGTAACTGAAGAAACTTTGTACAGTTAACTTTTTCCATGTTTGTAATATAATTCATTTATGGAAGGATAAAAGCAAATGTGTGAAAGGGCATATTTACTTCAGCAAATTGCTTTTGTGTGTGGTGGTTATATTGATCCAGGAACAGCCTCAGGTTTACAAAAATAGGTAATTACTTGTATGTTAAAGTAAGAAGCTTTAATATGCCAATAAAGATAGCATGTAGCTTCTGAAGTACAAGGGAATTATGAGAATTTTTCAGCTGTTTTCAGCTTATCATTAGTTTTTATACTGGTTTTCTATAACAAATTATACCCAAAGTGGCTTAATACATAAGAAAGAGTGATGTGTATCAGAATTTTTTTAAAACCTAGTAATACAACGTATCAGCAGTACATTAAGATAGTAATCCATATCAGTAGCCTATCAAATCACTGAGACCAATTAATTTTTTAAAAAGAAACTTTAAAATAATTTTTTAAAAGCAACATTGACATAAAGTTTACTATCAATCTCTAAAAACTATAAAACTATAAAACTATAAAAAATTGAATGACAGCAAGAACAGAACTTTAGGAACAGATAAATAAGTAAGCAATGCCCAGAAGCAGTGGGAATGGCATACATAGCATAGTGCATATATAGAAAGATATAATTGGATGTAAAACAAGTCAATAAGGTATAGCATTCAAAATACATTCCCTGATCTCTCCATTGCATTGGAAGGCCACGCCAAAAAGTTTCAAAATAGTTAACAGTAAACCAGGTTACCAGAGCATGCACTTTTGTGGCCAAGCTATCCCTTTCCAGGAGCAGTTGTAGTTGGTGAGGCAGCCAAAGGTTGCCATTTGCCATTGCCATTTGGATATTTGGTGACTACTCCTAGGGACTACAAACTTGTTCCTTCAAGGGAGTGCAGTCCTATCTAGAGCAGGCTGTCTGCCTCATTCCCCAACATGAGAACCAACAACCCAAAGGACTTTCATCTTTCCAGGATTCAGTCACAATTTATTGACTGTAATCTAGTTCATTACAGTGGTCCAGCGCCTGCACACCCTCAGCTGACTTAGATGACAGAAGTAATAGAAGTGGTTGTCATGCCATCACCATCCCAAAGGTAAAGGTAAAGGTACCCCTGCCCGTACGGGCCAGTCTTGCCAGATTCTAGGGTTGTGCGCTCATCTCACTCTATAGGCCGGGAGCCAGTGCTGTCCGCAGACACTTCCGGGTCACGTGGCCAGCGTGACAAGCTGCATCTGGCGAGCCAGCGCAGCACACGGAACACCGTTTACCTTCCCGCCGGTAAGCGGTCCCTATTTATCTACTTGCACCCGGGGGTGCTTTCGAACTGCTAGGTTGGCAGGCGCTGGGACCGAACGACGGGAGCGCACCCCGCCGCGGGGATTCAAACCACCGACCATGCGATCGGCAAGTCCTAGGCGCTGAGGTTTTACCCACAGCACCACCCGCATTACCCAAAGGTACCCAACTCCATATCCCTTAATGACTTCTCTAAATGGCTTCATATAGATATAAATAACTTGGGGGACAAGATGGATCCCTGTGGTATCCCCACAGCACAGCTGTTATGGGGAAGAGCAGAAGTTTCAATGCAGCCCTTTGAAATTTATCCTGCAGGTAGAAGCAGAGCTACCATAACACCATGCCTGTAGAGTTGGTCCAGCATAACCCCCTACCCTGCAGCATTGGTCCAGCAAGATACCATAGTCAGTGGTATCAAAAGCTGATTCAAAGTCCAAGAGAACCAACAGGGTCATAATATTCCTGTCTCTGTCATAAAGCTGCTCATTCATCAGGTTAACCAAGTCTGTTTTGGTTTCAAAGCCTTACCTGAAGCCAGACTGAAATTGGTCTAAATAATTTGATTCTTCTAAGAACACCTAAAGGTGGCCACTCCAGCACCTTGCCCAAGAAAGGGGGCATTAGCAACAAGGCATCCAGTCCCAAAGTAGTAATGGGATATTATGTGGTGGAGATACCACCATTTTCTAATCACTGCTGCTTTCTGCCTGCCAGTGAATAAGGTGGGAGGAGTGGCTATTACTTTTACCTACTGAGGTTGGGTTTTAAAAATTTTCCCACCCATGGACTGCTATGGTGGGGGTGGGAATAACACTAGTTCCTGGGCTGGCATAGTTTTGCCACCGTTTTTGGAGTATTTCATGAGAGTGAGATTTTGTAGGATTCTGTGGGTCAGGGTTTTGCCTGACATACCCACAGAATGTCTCCCTTTGTCCTTCACTGTGGATGATTGTTTCTGCCTGTGGAATAGCAGTGGCAGTAGACATCATTTCTCTGCTCACTGAGAAGGTCTGGAGGATCTGGACAGCTTTATTGGGAGTTTAGGGTATGTTCTGTTAGAAAGATGCAGCTCTGAGCTCAGTGAAACTTTTAAGTAAATATGAATTGGCTTGGGCTGAAGCTGTGGGTAGTGCAGTCCAAAAGAGTGCTCCTAGTGTAGCCTGTAATTGCCACATTTGTTGGTATCTCTTCACTGATATACATACCCCTTCAGTTACAAATAGGCAGTCTGTTAGAGGGATGTTTGTGTCAAGGTGAATGAAAACAGCAACAATCGGAATTCTTTAAACCAAAATTTATTAGGGTAATAGTCAGTGTTGGTTATATTCAGAGTAGACTCATTGTAACTTATGGACAAGTACATTGATTGCATTGAGTCTGCTCTAAGTAATATTGGATATCACACTAACTTTATTTCCTTAAATATTTAAGGAATATTTGGTCATAATTAGCAATGTTGTGGCAGCAGAAAAAGTTCCTTCTTAGTCTTTAGGATTCATTTTAATCATTATGTGGTCACTACTTGAATCTTGGAGGGGATCATTATGTCAGTACCTTATAGCCTAAGAGGAAGATAAAAAATGCTTCAGTAGATGTTCCAGTTGTAAAAAAAAAAACTTGATTATTATTTAGGAAGAGGATGTTAGTTCTTGAACTGCTAGTGTTCCGTTTTCCCTTTACAACCATAGTCATTTCTTACAAGGTATAATTACAACATCAACAAATGAATGCATAGTATTAGATACAAGCACTGATGAAGTACTGGAACATTGTGATTGTGACATTTTGCTGGTGTTGCCCTTTTTGGAACTGCTGGGCTTGATGTTGCCACCTTTGCATAATCAACCTATGTGTTGTATGCAAAACTCTAACATGATGAATGAAAAGATATAAAGAAGATTAAATGTTAGGACAGAAAAGCATATCAAATTCCTGGGAACCACTATTAATTTTTTATGCCTCAGGCTCCCTCTAACTAAAATCCTTAGGTATCAATACTAGTTCTGTATCCTTGGGTGATCAGGCACTTGGCACTTTTACAGCCCTGGATAAATTATTTTAATAACATGAGTAATGTTTAATATCTGAGTACTGTTCCAATTACAGTGGTACCTCAGGTTAAGTACTTAATTCGTTCCGGAGGTCCGTTCTTAACCTGAAACTGTTCTTAACCTGAAGACCACTTTAGCTAATGGGGCCTCCTGCTGCTGCCGTGCCGCCAGAGCACAATTTCTGTTCTCATCCTGAAGCAAAGTTCTTAACCTGAAGCACTATTTCTGGGTTAGCGGAGTCTGTAACCTGAGGCGTATGTAACCTGAAGCGTATGTAACCCGAGGTACCACTGTTTACTACATCTTTGGGCAGCACACATACACACTTTTATATAGTGATATTTTTAAACATGTTTCTAGTTGTTATGGCTGCAATGATAACCTTGAAACTGTTTTAGCAGTGCCTTGTGAAATCTTCCAACACAAGACCAATTCTGTTGGTCAAGGATGACACTGTGCAGCACTTTTTCAATGATTAGCACAAAGAAAATAAAGTATACTAAATCATCAGATATAATCTATTGTGCGTAGTTTATCCTGACTGCAAGAATTAGGTTACTGTGGTGCACAATTATTTCTGAAGTGTGCATATTTTTTTGCAGTAAGTATCTGCTTGACAATTCTACACATATACTCGGAAATAAATTCCATTCAGTTCAATCAGGCTTTCTCCTGGGTATGTATGTATAGAATTGCAGCATAAAAATGTTGTGATACGGTTGGGAAGCACAATTTAAAATTTGACTGTACACCTCTTGATGGATTGCTTTTTCTTTTTTTAGGCGAAGACTACAGAAATCTGGGATCTTTGCAGAGTGGAAGATTTTTTGCACTCAAGTTATTCTGACCATATTTTAAAAATATTTTTGGGTTACTTTTTAATTTAAGAAAAGGCAGCTCTTTAAAATCATGGCAGATGTGGACCCAGATACATTGCTCGAGTGGCTGCAGATGGGGCAAGGAGATGAAAGAGACATGCAACTAATAGCTCTGGAGCAGTTATGTATGCTGCTTTTGATGTCTGACAATGTGGATCGATGCTTTGAAACGTAAGTAAATTTTTATTTTCATAATTTCATTCAGGCTTACATCTGCTGATCAATTTCATCCACATCATGCTGAAATACTGCTGTTTGAATCTGTTAACTAGTGTTTCTAGGCAGACTTGAGCAATCCATTGACACCTGTAGTGATCATTAAAAGAAGTAAAAAAAAAAAAAAGAACAGCTGTAGCACTATCTGTTTTAACATCAGGTTTGTACTCTTGTTAAAGGCATGTTTCTTCTGGAGGCAGCTGGACTAATTTCCTTCTTGGGAGCTTGCTTGCTGCTTTTAGCATGCGTGCAGATCCTTGGGTATAACAAAAACATCTGCATTACAGCTTTTGCTCTACTTCATATGGATCTATTGGGGGGCGGAAGATAATTTTAATTAAGTGTGTTTCCAGAAAAGGTGACAGAAGCAAGATCATTTTTAAAAGATCAATTTTTCATTTCAAGTTCTTCTAATTCTTTATGCTCTGAAATATTTAAGATTAGTGTTCGGTTCAGTTACTGTTAACTTTAAAACTTAGCAGAGGGTTTCAGCTGTGCCCTGACTAAATAACAATTATAAAATGTTGCAGCTGTTAGCAGAAATAGATTTTAGTACTAACCTTAGAAATTATGGGTCATAGTGGACAAGTTTGTTTTATAGTGCTTATACCATATCTTAATGTTTTAAAACACGATTCTCTTCTGAGAAGCTGAACTGAAAGTTAATAATTTTTAAGGTCTCTAAATTGTGTCAGTTGCTGCGGATGACTGGAAACAATTATTAAATAAGATACCTTTACTTATCGATACATTAGGAAAGAACTGTGGAGATTTAATAAGGTGCCTTTTGTTTTTGAGATTAATAGGATTTTTTCTTTCCTTCAAGAGCTTGTAAGAGTAATTGTTATTAGAACAATATTGCTTTAAAAGTGTCTTCTGAGCAGTAAACTGCTTTTTATTATGAACTAGAAAAGTTTCCCAGTTGTAATGAAATACATCTGCCAAGAGTAAGTAAACCCCTTGTTGTGACCAGAGAGCTTAAGAAACCACAAATTTTTAGGGGGGAAATGGTAGCATGAATGCCTTGCCTGTTCTTGAGCCCCTGTGTCTATTAGTTCTGGAACCATATTTTACCTAAAGTCAAGGAAAATGGAACATCTTTGCTATTTGAAAGTATGTTACTATGACTGAGAGCCTTAAAACCACAAACTTAAAATTAGCGAGATGGACACTGCACTCTGGTCCTTAGTGGACTTAACTAGTTTAAAGACAACCACTTCGGTATATAGGTTAGAAATTTGTTTGTAAAACTGTTGACTTTCAAAAAGCATTTTACAGGTAGTGATGTTCATTTCAGTCTTTCTGTCCTGTTAATATTAGTTGGTAGTGTTAAGTCACCTTTCTGTGACTGTGATTCAGGGAGCCTGATCATTAGTCATCACATTTTTTTCACAGTAACACTTCAGAAAGTTTTAAATACTATATATACTTTGATGCAGTTACCACTGAATTTTAAAATGATTGCTTCCGCCCTATGTTTTTAGCTTTTTATTTTAGCTGTAAGTAAGCAGCCTTGGGTCCCTGTGCGGGAAACCATCAGGATATAAAAAAATATAAATAATAAAAATATCTAGTATTAGTCATACTTTGAATAGACTTGGTGGGAGAAATTCATTGTAGCTCTATGGCAATTGTTCCATCAGCATCAGCATTTCAGCTAGTTAGAATGATCCCCCTTCCTCCCCCCAGCACTATTCTGGGGATTCTTTTGACATGCACCAAGCCAATTTGGGGAGGAGGGGGGAAATCCTTGTTAGAGGGACTTGTTAGTTGAATATCGCTCTGAGTTTTAACCACGGAGCTAGAATTTATAGTTGAAGTTGTGCAGAACCATAGTAAAATGGTTATGGGTAACATTGGTGCATGGTGTTTCCTGTCTATTTGCTACTCTGTTTGTAAATTTCAGAAATCTTTAAATTTCCCTCTCTATTAAAACTAATTGTGACACTGGATTCATAAGAACTCAAGAGTTTTGGTTTTTGTTTTTGTTTTTTGTCTTTTTCTGTGGGGTAAAGTTATTTATCTTGTAATTGTTTCATGATGTGTATGTGTATTTTTAACTTTGTTTTAAAGTATATTCCTTGCTAAAATGAGCAGCCCTGCTCAGGCATTGAATTCTTTGTGTTCCTAGGCTTGTCTGCTTCTATTTATATGTATATGTGAACATGCAATTTGCATGTTTACCTACAGAAAAGGAGGGTGGAATCTTTAATCTGGAGACAGTTACACACAATAGGGGTGATTGCACCAGGTTAATTCTATTTTACCAATGTTAATATGCTATTGCTTGCTTGGAGTAATTGGCAAGAACGGGAGGCAGTGGAAGACAGGAGTGCCTGGCGTGCTCTGGTCTATGGAGTCACGAAGAGTCGGACACAACTAAACGACTAAACAACAACAACAAATAAATTTAAAAGTAAATGTGAATAATATAGTATTTACTTAGGTTGAATTGTGGACAGTGAGTAAAATGGTTTTGCTGTTTGAGGCAACAAATGCGGTGTTACAGAGTAGCAAGATGGCTGGCTAGTCACTACAAGTTATTACCCAGGTTACCTAGACTCATGTTTCTTGAACAAAACTTTACAGTACTTAAATTCTTCCTATGGCAGCAATGGAAATGGACAGAATGGAGAGTTGCCATATGTGGAGAGGGACAGGCTCTAGGGATTCAGTAGGACTGCAGGTAGAATAAAGATTTAATTTATGGAATTTCTAAACTTTCAGGTTCATCCAGGTTGACTCAAACCTTCAGTGGTTTAGGGCCACTTTGCATGATTTTATGCAATAAGGTACTTAATGCTTACTGCCTCTTCCAGGCAAATTGGTTCCACTGTATCTCCAGGCATCTTCAAAACATTCTGGGTGGTGCCTTGTGGCAGCTCATGTATGGGCTGTTCCGAATGGTGGGCGGGCACATACAAAACTCTGGAGAAGCCACCCTATAGAGGAAGTACAAAATAGTTCCATGGAAGGTATATTGTGTGAAACAGCCTTTAGAAAGGTAGAATGGTGATGATAGTGAAACATATTGCTGATTAATTTCATATTTTTTCAATATTATGCCTCTTTTCTTATCACAGTAGTAATTTGGGCGATTATTTTGTACCTATTTGAATTGGAGTATGTACAAAAAACTTGATTCACTTATCTTGCTGCCATTTCATTACAAAATTTAAAGGCATTTAGCTCCTTAACTTATTTGATCTTTTCCAAGTTCAGAGTTTTTAAAGAAAAAGGTTTTATTGCTTTAGGCAAAGCAATTTTCTGTGCGCAATCATTATTGTGGAATGAAAACTCAGAATTGAGTAGACAAATCTGATTATGGAGTGAACATACAGAATAACACAAACATGCACTTCATGTGTCATAATCGTAATTTATTTAGTGTTCTAGCAGTCCAGGAAGGAATGTAGGAAAACTGCCTTATACTGACTCAAACCATTCATCCTTGTGTCTCACTGCTGTCTACATTGACTAGCAAGTGGTTATCCAGGGTTCTTGCCCAGCCCCACCTGAATGTAAGATCCATCTTGAGAGATCCTACTCCAGCTGCCCCTGCCAAATGCAGTTGAGTCCCTTTTAGTTCTGGTTATAGAATAGCCTTTCCAGGGAGTCTGGTACAATTTTTGTAGTATTTTAAGCACTGAGTGAAGAGCTTTCCATTCACGTAGGGCTTTTACATATTTTTGTTAGGCTGTGCTTCATTTTAAATTCATTTTCATTTTAGGGGTGCAAGGTTCTTTTTTAAAAACCCCCAGTTGTATAGTTTTACTCTTTAATGGGTTTATGGTTTCCAATATAGTTCAACTTTTTAAAAACTTACTTATTGTAACTCACCTAGAGAACTTTGTTAAGTGGAGGCAATGTCATAATAAATACCAGAAAGTGCTGGGATTGAACATGGACCTTTTGCATTCAAAGCATGTAGGCTACTGTTCAGCTGTGGCACTCCCCCAATATTTAGTGCATGACAATATCCAACACACACACACACACACACACACACACACACACACACATTTGATCTTGAACCTATTATTCAACCTAGGCAAGGAGGAGAACCGACCATTATCCTCATTATGGCAAGCCTTCATGTACTCAAAGGTTTATCAAGTTAGTATGTCATATGTATAAGAAGGTATTAATTTAACTATCAGACAAAAGAACTGAAATCTGTCAAAATATGTTTCAGATGTGCAGAGTGGTCTCTATTGTCATTTGCTTGTAGCGGTTTTGTTACCTTGAATTACTGGATTTTGACTTTTAATGGAGGTTTACTATGTAACTGAAATTAAAGCATAGGTCCTGTGTAAGTTCAGAAAAAAATACACAAAAATATTTTCACATACAGGCTTTTAACTAGTTTAGATTTCCTTTTCCATTCCAGATATAGATGGTGTGCTTATAACCAGAATATATGTCTACAGTTGTGGATATTGGTTAGGATCCAAAGTTGTTAGTGTGAGTCAAAGGCAGTTATGCACTTGCAGGAAGGTCCCTCCAATTGTTAACTGTTCTGTTTTCATTTTATAGTCTCCTGTGCCACGAGTATCTTACAGAGGGTCAGCCAACTATTAGGAACATTTTTTTGCAGAGGGAGACTCAGACAGTGGGCAAGTGTTCTGTTCATGAAACTGAAATTAGTATTGAAGCCCATATCTGTGACCCCAGAACAGTTTGTAATCATTTTATTTTGTCTAGATGTTAAATCTAGACAGTGGCTCATAAAATCTTTCATAGAATTGTAGAGTTGGAAGGGACCCTGAGACCCCCTGCAATGGCGAAGATCACAGAAATGTATATGGAAATGTGTATGTTAGTGATGAGTAATCTGTCTCTTCTTGCAGATGTCCCCCTCGTACCTTTTTGCCAGCACTGTGCAAAATATTCCTTGATGAAAGTGCTCCTGACAATGTATTGGAGGTAACAGCTCGTGCTATAACTTATTATTTGGATGTGTCAGCGGAATGCACTCGACGGATTGTGGGAGTGGATGGTGCTATCAAAGCACTTTGTAATCGTTTAGTAGTTGTTGAGCTTAACAACAGAACCAGCAGAGACTTGGCTGAGCAGTGTGTAAAGGTATGGTGTATTAATTTTCTTTCGTTACAGAAAATAAAGCTCCATGATAAGAAAATGTTTTTATAATAGTTGTCCACTTACAAGACCAGGACATAATTGCTTTAAATTTTGATATTTTAAGCAAAACAATAAAACTTGTGCAAAAATATACCCTTATCCCAAACAGTCTCAAGTAGATGCCTTAGTGGACAAATTGTCTTGAAAAGTGGGAAATCTAATTGCATTTCCACAATTGCTATTAACATTATTTGTAAAAACCTGCGTGAGATCCTGTTTGTGGATCTTCTGCAACGTATCTTGCTTGGTGCATAGATACAGTGGTACCTCGCAAGACGAATGCCTTGCAAGACAAAAAACTCGCTAGACGAAAGGGTTTTTTGAGCTGCTTCGCAAGACGATTTTCCCTATGGGCTTGCTTCGCAAGACGGAAACGTCTTGCAAGTTTGTTTCCTTTTTCTTAACACCGTTAATACAGTTGCGACTTGACTTCGAGGAGCAACTCATAGAACGCGGTGTGGTAGCCTTTTTTGAGGTTTTTAAAGACTTTGGTGAGTTTTGAAGCTTTTCCAAAACTTTCCCGACACCGTGCTTCGCAAGACGAAAAAAATCGTAAGACGACAAAATTCGCGGAACGAATTAATTTCGTCTTGCGAGGCACCACTGTATTTGAACCTTGAGACTGCTAAAGCCATATATGACATAGCCCGTTAAAACTCATATGTCTTATCCAGTTACCTTAGGCTTGTGTATCTTCCAGACACAAACTGCTTCTGATGTTCTAATATTAGATATGCATAACACTTTTTTAAACTGGGGCCCTGTTCAGTTGTTAGAAAACTGTAAATGTGTAGGAGGTGCATGCCTGTGTGCTCCAGTTCCGCCCCCCCCCTGCCCCCCCCTTGCCAAATTGAGCTTCAAGGTCTGAAAAGAACTTGTATGTGTGTCAGCACAGGGCTCCTGATCATGGATTCATGCATGCTTATAAACTCCCTTCAGATCTTTCTGCTCAACAGAGTAATGTTGGGGTGGAGGGGCAGGGCCAGCATACACATCCCCAAATCTGTTACATGTTTATAGCTTTTTTGGCACCATGAGAGGTGTAATGCATTCATACTGACAATTTTGATCAATAATATTTTTAAATAAAAAGTGAGAATTGAATTGGAAAGAATGTATGCTTTGTTGTATGATTGTCTGTGTAATTCCATTTTCATTCTAGGTGTTGGAACTCATCTGTACCCGTGAATCAGGCGCTGTGTTTGAAGCAGGGGGGCTGAACTGTGTGTTGACATTTATTCGTGACAGTGGGCACCTGGTTCATAAAGATACATTGCATTCTGCTATGGCTGTAGTGTCCAGACTCTGTGGAAAAATGGAACCTCAGGATTCCTCATTAGAGATTTGTGTTGAATCCCTCTCGAGTCTGTTAAAACATGAAGACCATCAGGTAAACAATTTAGAATATGTATTTGAAAGCACTGTAAATAGGTTACTCCAGAATTGAGAACTGTATAACAAATATTACAAAGAATTTAGTTCATATTGCCAGCACTGGCTAGTGCAAGTAAACAGTTGTATGGTCGTAGGATGTATGGTAGTAGGATTAATTTCAATTAGCATGAAATCCTTGGCTCTAATGTAACTTTAATTTTTTATTCCTATGGGGAATTAGAGGGATTGCAGTTGGCTTTTTTATGGAAACGGGAAGGGAAAAAATGTTCTTTTTTACATGTGCAAGTTATATTTTACTCATGGTGATCAGTAAACAGTGATCTGGTTACACTTTGTGCTTTAATTTAATTTAATTTAAGAGTGAAATGAAAGCCAAAGAGTTTCCTCCATAACTGCAAACTTTTGCACAAATGAAAGCTTTGGGACTGCCATAGAACCTGCCTAATTTTTATGCAAACTCTTGCACAAGCTTTTGTGGAAGTATTTATGGAAAAGCACTAGCTGCTGTTTATTCTTAAGATAGTGCACATGGTATCTCCTCCCCATTTTATCTTCACATAAATCCTGGGAGGTAGAAGAGAAAGTGATGTCAAAGGTCACCAGTGAGCTTTGTGGCTGAATGTAGATTTGACCCTGGGTCTCCGGGGTCTTAGTCTGATACTTTTAACCACTATACCACAGTAACTCTCTAATGAGGATTTGTGGTATTCTTTCTTAGGTGCTAGGATTTGCACTTGAACAGTTGTGTGGATGCTGTTTGGGTCAGAGATTATTCATCCCACACATATCTGTAACGTAATGCTGTGTCTCATTTCCCCAATTACAATCCCTATGTAGAACTTGCATTAGAAAATGACTGTTGTCGTAAAAGAAATCATTCATAGCTAAGAAAGTATAGAAGCTGTGGATTGATATGAAACAGTGTTCTTGTATAATTTACTAAATGTCAATATTGATGCTTTTATTTTAAATTTGCTGTCTTTCAAATCTTGGTCTGTGTGATACTTTTTAACCATATGATTTGTTCCTTCAGGTTTCAGATGGTGCACTGCGTTGTTTTGCTTCGTTAGCTGACCGATTTACACGCCGTGGAGTTGATCCAGCGCCATTAGCCAAACATGGGCTAACTGAGGAGCTATTATCTCGAATGGCTGCAGCAGGTGGCACAGCTTCAGGACCATCTTCAGCCTGTAAACCTGGCCGGAGTAGCACAGGAGCACCATCTGCAACTGCAGATTCCAAATTAAGTAACCAGGTGTCAACTATTGTAAGCCTGTTATCAACACTCTGCAGAGGATCTCCAGTAGTAACACATGTAAGAATTTCTTTGTTAAATATCTATTTTATTAAAAATTAAGCTTTACTTCTTGGCAGATATTGTATGTATGTTCTTTGTTTCTTTAATTTTCTGTCATCATCATAAATAAGAATAAATTTGTGTAGACCTTTGTTTATTTCACATTCTAAAATCCTTAAAATGTTAATTGTTACTGCTACATTTGAACTTTGCTTATACTCCCTCAGCTCCTTTGGGAGGAAGGATGGAATGTAAATTGAAATAATAATAATAATAATAAATAATAAATTTAGTTTTTTTATATGGAGATGCAATCCCTTTCTCATTGGATTTTCTAAAGTCCTGTATATTTTTATTGTTCAGACTTTTAATTATTTCCAGGATCTCCTAAGATCTGAGCTTCCAGATTCTATAGAGAGTGCATTGCAGGGTGATGAAAGATGTGTACTTGATACCATGCGTTTGGTAGATCTTCTTTTGGTGCTACTGTTTGAAGGACGGAAAGCCTTGCCAAAGTCTAGTGCTGGATCTACAGGCAGAATCCCAGGATTGCGTAGACTTGATAGTACTGGAGACCGTTCCCATCGGCAGCTGATAGATTGCATCCGCAGCAAAGATACCGATGCCCTAATAGATGCTATTGACACAGGTGGTAAGCAAATGACCTTTATTTGACATTGTAATTTCTAGTTTGCTTCTTAATGTTTATCTCTATAATGGATGGGCTCTAAGAATAATATTTTTGTTGAAAATTATTTTTAGCTTGTTTGATATGCAGGGTAGAATACTGAGACTTAACATTTTGTTTTCATTTATATCGTTGCAAACATATAATGACACTTTCTTTTCCACTTCTCTAGCTTTTGAAGCAAATTTTATGGATGATGTAGGACAAACTCTCTTAAACTGGTCCTCTGCTTTTGGAACTCAGGAAATGGTAAACAAGGAAAAGAAACATTATTTTGATTTTCTGCATAAAGGAAATGATGCAAGTAAAAATAAACTGTTGCTCATCTGTAAACAGGTTGAATTTCTCTGTGAACGAGGTGCTGATGTTAATAGGGGTCAGCGGTCATCATCCTTACATTATGCAGCATGTTTTGGAAGACCTCAGGTAGCAAAGGTGATTTTTAAATATTTATCTTTTCTATCATAACAAATCATTCCATCGCTTATCAGCATTTAGACAGCTGAAGTATGTGTTTTTTAAAAGTGTCCTGTCCCTTAATACTTCATGTTTGGCATATGCGATTTTTATTTTTTGGAAACACATTTATTTAGTGTGTGTTTGTGCCCTTGGCAAATATGAAAGTTGTGCAAAACTCTTCACAAAAACATAACAATGTAACATGTCTCACCATCTCAATAGCTGCCTTCAGACAACCCTCAGTGTTCTGGATTATTTTGCGCAAGAGCAGTGTATATGTCCTCCTTCCTTCTGTAAAGCATTCCTTAGTTTTTGAAACAAAAACCAGTTTGCTATGATGAAATCAGAAACCAATTTATATTGTCTCGTAGAACATCTCCCCTTCCACCACTGTTCCCCATCCACACAAAATCAAAAACATTAACCATTTGGTTCTTACATTCTCCAGAGAATGTAACCATTTGCTGAACCAGCAAATTAGTAGGAGTGCTTACTCCAAACTAGAATCAGTTCTGGTTTGGAGCAATAATTCAAACTGTAGCCAGCTGGTTTAGATATCACAACATATTGTGACTTGATTCAAATAGTAAGTAAGGGATGGTGCCCTTTAGGAGAGGGAGGGAGGAAGTCATTAATCTGTTCTGTGCATAGTCAGAGGAACCTAAATTGTACCATTGACATACTGAGTAGCTTTTTTATTCCAGTAATAATAACTTGCTTTTAGACTCTCTTGCGACATGGTGCCAATCCAGATTTGAGAGATGAAGATGGAAAGACTCCTTTGGACAAAGCTCGTGAAAGAGGGCACAGTGAAGTAGTGGCTATTCTTCAATCTCCAGGTTAGTGTAAAAAGATTCCAGGAAGTTTTTGTCAAAGTAAAGCAATGGTTGAATTTAAGTTGAATTTAATAAGGTAGAATTCAATCTGTGCCATAAGATAGCGATTTTTTTAAAAAAAATATACTGCTGAAATATTATCAGTTTGATTATTTATTATCAGTTTTCTTGAAATAGACTGCATTCAGCCATAAGCTCACTGTTGCCCTGTTTCAAAACAAATGGAACTAGTATAAGAGATGGTTTTTTCACGTAGCTATGACAGCCGAATGTCCAGAAAAAAATGCCATAATAGTCTGTGGCATAATATTTTTGTGGGGGTTAGAACAGAAGAGTAACAACAGCCTGACATGGCAGTGTCTTGTCTCACTTCTTTCTGAAGCTTTGCATGCAGCTATCAACTATGGTATGAGCAGGCCAACTGAAATCCTGCTGTAGGCGCAAGCACACAAAAACAAAACATTTTAGGTGGTGGATGAGAAGGAGAATGGGTTGGGTTACAACCCTCTTCACGTGACAGAGGCAGGAAGGCAAGGGTTTTTCTTTAAGATTCTTTGTACTTCTGTAAAACTTGGGATTCCTCCAGAGTCTGCCAATACCTCTGTCTTTGCATGGACACTGCCTTTTCAGCTATATAACCATGTGCACTCTTCCCCAGAGATAGGAAATAGAATATAAGATGTAGATCTAATACTAGACAAATCTATAGTAGTCTATTGTGGAGATTCTTATCCTAGTCTGTATCTGCATTGGAAAGGAAATTGTTTATATGTGGTTTCTTTAAAACAATTTTGAAACTCATAACAGTGTTAATAGTGGTCTACAATTATAGGTGACTGGATGTGTCCAGTTAACAAAGGCGATGAAAAGAAAAAGAAAGATTCAAACAAAGATGAAGAAGAATCAAATGAGCCCAGAGGTGATCCAGAAATGGCACCAATATATTTGAAAAGACTGCTGCCTGTGTTTGCTCAAACTTTTCAACAAACTATGCTGCCTTCAATAAGGTACAAAGGGGAAAGGGCTGTGTGTACATGTGGAGATTCACATGCTATATTGTGTGGCTAGAATACTTTCAAGGATCTGGATTTTCAAGAATGACCAAGCCAAAAGCAAAGCAAAATCTGGATGATTTATATATGGTGGTATGTTGAATGGAATTCGAAAAACGCAAATCAGCAATGACCCAACTCCAAGTCCAGCTTGTAGCTTGGCCAGAGTCAGAATATTTTGTTACCTGATGATAACAATAGACAGCATGTAAAGTGGGTAGCAATTCAATGCATTTACCAATATGTTGTGCTCTTCTAAGTATGTATGTTTCCCGTTTCATTCTTTAAAATATTACTTCTCTCTCTTTCTAAAAGGAAAGCAAGTCTTGCTCTCATTAGAAAAATGATTCATTTTTGTTCTGAAGCTCTTCTAAAAGAGGTTTGTGATTCTGATGCTGGGCATAATTTGCCTACTGTTCTGGTAGAGATCACTGCTACTGTTCTAGATCAAGAGGTAATTGTTATCTTTCTATTTCTTTTCTTTTCTAATGACATCAGTTTAGTTTTTATGTGTGGTGGAGCATTGAAATGCTTAGTTCAGGAAGTTACTGGAAGTTTAAGAACAAATTAGATGTGCCTCTGAATAGATTAGATTAAGTGGATTCAATATAAGAAGCAAAGAGATTGATTGTGATGCTTCGTATAGAAATATCCCATTGGAATTGGGATTGATTGTGATTCCCTGTTGGGTGTACAGTAGGTTTGTTAATCTGTGAAATGGCCCTACATTTCTTGTCTCAGGAAGGATTACTTCTCAAAAATTAGACTTAACACTTTCCTGCAGTGGTATGGCCATGAGTGATTGCCTTTCTGTTGGGAGTGGTGGGTGTTATAATGTAATAAATGTTTAACTGTACATCAAGATATACAGTGAATTACTGTACATCCCAATTAATTTACTTCTGTGCAACTTTTACAGGATGACGATGATGGCCACTTGCTAGCATTACAGATTATAAGAGATTTGGTTGATAAAGGAGGTGACCTGTTCTTGGATCAGCTCGCTAGGCTTGGTGTGATAAGTAAAGTTTCAACTTTGGCAGGACCAACCTCTGACGATGAGAATGAAGAAGAATCTAAACCAGAGAAAGTAAGTACGCAATATTTGAATATTGTCCCAACTGCTGTCTGGGATGCCTTAATGTGAATAAATATCAGTGAAAAGTACATTAAATTCTAGTAATGGGTTGCTGGACCTAATGTGTTAACACTCATTTAAGAAACCTTTTTGGTGCTGCAGTCTGTTGCCTTCTGCTTGGATAGGAGAGAAAAGGGCAAACTTGTCTTGTGTCTCTAGTATGCTTTTAAGATACAGTGGTATCTCGGGTTACATACACTTCAGGTTACAGACTCCGCTAACCCAGACATAGTGCTTCAGGTTAAGAACTTTGCTTCAGGATGAGAACAGATGAAATCGTGCTCTGGCGGCGCGGCGGCAGCAGGAGGCCCCATTAGCTAAAGTGGTGCTTCAGGTTAAGAACAGTTTCAGGTTAAGAACAGACCTCCGGAACGAATTAAGTAACGTAACCAGAGGTACCACTGTACCAGTTTTTAAGTGTCTTTCTGTATATTATATTCAGACAGTGTCTGCTGAAATTCTAAGTGTTTATGTAAGAATGTAGCCTGCAGTATACTTGTTGTGTTTTACAATTTATTCCTTAAGGAATTCCACAGCCAATGAATTTAAACTATCTTGCTTTACAGGAAGACGAACCTCAAGAAGATGCTAAAGAGTTGCAGCAGGGTAAACCCTATCACTGGAGAGACTGGTCAATCATTAGGGGAAGAGACTGCTTGTATATTTGGAGTGATTCTGCAGCTTTGGAGCTATCAAATGGTAGCAATGGCTGGTTCAGATTTATACTGGATGGGAAGCTAGCTACAATGTATTCCAGTGGCAGCCCTGAAGGAGGATCTGATAGTTCAGGTACAATGTTGTTCTCAACTAATACTTTAAAGATATCATAAGAATCTTACATTTTATATATTTGATTTTGAGACATTCTTTTTTACAGGAATTGGCTCACTAAATAGTAAAGGATGTAAACAGGTGGAAGGTGGTCAGTTTATTGTGATGCTTTTGTCAACTAGCATGTGACAGCAACTGACTTCTTTGTAACTGTGTTCAGTGAACATCTTAGCTTCATTCTGTCTTCATTTCTTTCCATGCATACTAATATTAGTCAAACAGTAATTAAAAGGCAATATTTAGTGGTAATCCACTGCATTTCAGGTAAAGCAAGTTGGAATGATGATGACGTGGCTTGCAACTTGCTAGCAGAATGAAATTGCATGTGTGTGAAAAGTGGTGCAAAGTTTCTCATCAGGTGGATCAGAACTGAGAAACTGAAAGACATTGAGCTAGAAGTTTCACATTGTACTTAAGCTATCTGTAGCTCTTAAACATAGTTGATACTGCTTGCTGCCCCCTTTTCACTGCCATGAGTGCAGTGAATTGTAGGATTGCTTTATTCCGTTGAACAATTGCTGTAATAGATCTTCTGATTCAAATTCTCAGGAAATTGCTTTTTCCAGTAGTGTGAGGCTACAGGCTGGTTCTGATGCTTTGGTCAAAGCTTTTCTGTTCAGTTCTTAAACTCTACTTATTCATAAAATAGCTTTTTAATTATCTCATGCTAATTTTATCAGTTTTTAGATTTGGGGTGATAGAATTTAAAGCTATAGCAACATAAGGCTTATAGCAACATAACTTGGCAGTATAATTTTCAGCTAATTTCCTGATCTGCAGGGATCATGTAAATGCAAAGCCAGCTATCTCTGCTTTCATATCCACTTTTTGACACCTTATCAGTTGTAATGGATATTTCATTTATAATGGACACCTGTTTTTAATGCTGGACTATAGAGACCTGGTAAAGTAGTAGGCTGGCTACATGAGTTTCTGAGATTTGGGCCTAAGGACAATGGAATAGGAGCCAGAGATAGGACCCAGCCAGACTAGCTGACCATTTGCCCATGCAAATCCCATATCTACTGCAAGGGTTTAATAGTCCTTCAGGTCAAGCCAATCAGCTGGCTGCTTAGGGAGCGGCCTCAGAACCTAAAAAGAGTTCCTAGCCGCCTTCCCCTGGGAACCTTTTTTTTTTTTTTTTTTTTTTTTGGTCACACTGCGTGGCTTAACACAAGGCACAGTAGAACTCTTGATTTGAAGGTTCCCAGTTACTTGTGACAAAAACACTTGTAGTCAGAGATTATATCATTCTTGTGAATATCCTAGGTCAGGCATGGCCAAACTTGGCCCTCCAGCTGTTTTGAGACTACAATTCCCATCATCCCTGACCACTGGTCCTGTTAGCTAGGGATGATGAGAGTTGTAGTCCTAAAACAGCTAGAAGGCCAGGTTTGGCCATGCCTGTCCTAGGTGATGAATTACTTGTCTGTCTACAAAAGAAAACAGGCAGCCAAAAAGTAAAGGAGTGAGTTATACATATTTGGGAGACTGCCCTGGTCCACAGAAGTATAGAAGCTTGTAAACTTAAAGGTCAATCCCCTCTACCTGCTCAGAAAAATACTGTGAACTTCCAGGGTGGAGAGCATTGAGTGAGAATGGGGAACTATAGTAGGTAATCTTATTGTCTGGAAAGGGAACTTATGAGTTAACATTGAATGCCTAAGATTGTTCTTTTTACATTTTTGTGAGGGATGGAGGATGACAAGCTGTGCTGGCATTACATATGTGATTTTGCATTTCTGCATAGTGCCATTGTTATAATGGAAACCTCAGCAGTTGTATATGGTCATTGTGCATATGAAAGCACAACTTGAAATAAGCAGGGCTTCCATGAAAGTCTAACCGGTTCTTGAGGTGATGGTATGAGGCCATATGAACCAGCCCTAAATGTCTACTTAAGGTACTTTGGACGTGACCATATAGCAAAACTCAACTTCTTTAGCTGTCAGTAGTGTCTGCCCAATCAACATGGGTAATGTGTATTTTATCATTTAGACATTGTAATGAATTTTATTTTCAAAGAAAGATAAATTTAAAATGTAGTAGTAAATACATAAACGTAAAATGTATTTATATGTTACGCAGTTATGTACAACAAACAACACTGACATCTTTGCTATTAAAGCAGTTAATTACAGTTCCCAGAATTCCATACTACAACTCTGCATTTGGTTTTCTTTTCCTATTAAATCAGTTCTTTTTTCTTTAGTTCCAAAATTTGGATGCTTCCATTCTCCATCAAATCTGAGGTTTTTTCCCCTAGATGCATTTCTTTTAGTAGAAATGGATTTTAACAACTAGCTCAGTTTATTCAGTTTGTTTATATTTAATCATTATGTAATATAATGATTTCCAAAACATAAAAGTTTCACCATTGGCCAGTAGACATTTTCTGTTGTCCTATATTGTGATATTGAGGCCGGTGAGAAATACCTATCCTGAGAACTTGAATCTACAACATAAATTTGCATTGAATGCCCACCCATTTTGCTTCATGGAAACTAAACTATTACTTTCTGATAGTTAAAAATCAAATACTAGTTAGCCTTTACTTCTTTTTGTGTGTTTTTTTTAAACAGAAAGTCGAAGTGAATTTTTAGAGAAGTTACAGAGAGCCCGAAGCCAGGTGAAACCATCCACAACAAGCCAGCCAATTTTATCTGTCCCCGGCCCAGCTAAACTCACAGTGGGGAATTGGTCTCTTACGTGTCTAAAGGAAGGAGAAATTGCTATTCACAATTCAGATGGTCAGCAAGCTACAATATTAAAAGAAGATCTTCCAGGTTTTGTTTTTGAGTCCAATAGAGGAACTAAACATTCATTTGCTGCTGAAACCTCTTTAGGTGAGTATGTAGATAAGAGTAATAAGGTAATCGCATGTATATATCTGCAGTGGCCCAGTCAGAAATTACATTCTTTTTTTAATAAATCTGGTTTGAAGGGAACACTTAAGCCATAATTTCCTGGTTTGGATGCCCTGGCCATCTGGCCAGTACTATGGAATTTACAGCTCCAAGAAGTAATGATGGTGTCCAACTAGAACGGTTTTAAAAGAGAATTATACTTATGACTCCAAATCCAGATTATACTTTCTATGGGGGATAAGGCTATCAATGGCTATGTCCTGCCTCCACCATCAGAGGCAATATGACTCTGTATACCGATTACTGGGAAACCCAAATGGGGAGTGTTTTCTTTTGGGGCTTCAATAGACAACTAGTTGGCCACTTCAGGAACAGGATGCTAGACTAGATGTGCCATTAGCCTGATCCAGTAGATGGTTCTTGTCTTCTTAAACTGGTTTAACAGACCAGGGAAATCTTACATTAAACAAGCTTGCAAGGGTAGAGGGGAGAAGATACACATGGGGTCACAGTGTATTCCTGATACAGCAAACTGTGATATGTTAGACTAGGATTGTAATGTCTAAACTGCCAGTGTAGGGGTAACACCATCACCATCATTTTTATTTCCCACCTGTTGCCAGAAGGTGGGTTACAACAATATAAAATACAGCATTTAAAACAGTGTGAAACAAATTGCAATCATAGCTGGAATGGATCGTAAAAATATATCTAAAGTGTCAAAGCCAGGTTAAAGAGAGATGTTTTCAGCATACAATGAAGTTGCCAGATGCACCTCTGTGAAGAGGGAATTCCATAACTTTAGGGGTTCCAGAGAGAATGCCTTCTTCAGACCCTACCTCTGAGTGTGATGGAACTACCAAGAAGGCCCTCTCTGCTGATCTGAAAACAGGAGAGGGGTTGTAGGCAAGGAGGCAATCAATCATTCAGTTATTTTGGGACCTAAGTCGTATAGGACTTTAAACAGTAGTGTGAGCACCTTGAATTGGGCACAGAAATGAACTGGCAACATAATATCCTGTCATCTGGATATTTTGCAGGATCAGAATTTGTGACTGGTTGGACTGGCAAAAGGGGAAGAAAGGCAAAATCAAAGTCGGAAAAAACCAAACAAAAGGTTAGTATGTTTTAAAAACATTTTAATGGAGAATTTGGATTTCAGTTTGTTACTTTCTGTATTGCTTCTTGTACATGCTAGTTGCTGGCTTGAGGTGGTTTAGATACTTAGCCTATCTGTGTTTAAAAAGCATATAAATTCTCACTTCTGTGATGAGATTTGTAAAGGATTTGTTAGAGCAGTGGTGAGGAACTTTTAGCCCAGTTAGGTTCACCAGGCCTCCCCTTCAGCCAAGCCTACTTGCCCTACACCTGCAGAGCAGATTTTGAGGCAGATGGGCGAGTTCTGTTGTGTGAGTAGTACTGCACTCATGCAACATTGGATCAAAACTTGTTTTTCCACTTGCATCAGCATTTAGAGTGACTCACTTGAAATCTAAAGTCCATTCAAAAATGCATTAATACATTAGTATTAATTGAGGTCAGCCTCAATAAGCAACAGATTACAGAAGATATCACCAAGAATTATAGTTCCTCAAAGACCTTTGTTTCCAACCCCCCAAAAAAAGATTTTCAGAGATGTATTGTCCCCCTCTGCTGATGAGAGGCTCTTTCATCCAGTAGAATTTTCCATTAGTGGAAAGTGAGGGGGAGAGGAGGTTATTCCCCTCTCCCTCTGCAGCCCACCTCCCTGCACTCTGCCATCAGATCAACAGGGCAGGGGGACCCTTTGGAACAGTGTGGTGGCGGTGGCAGCAGCAGCAGCAGCAGCAGCAAGGGACTGCAAGAGAAAGGGGGAATTTGTGAAAAAAAATCACCCCCCCTTTAAACTCCCAGAAGCCTCTACTGAATCATAGAGCCCTCTGTTATTGGGAGGGACACAGCTGACTGCATCTCCCAGTGAATGAAGGTGCCTTTCAGACATCCTTGGGAAGACTGGGGGCAGGGAGGCAACATGAAAAAAAAGTGTGTTCTAAAAACTCTTGAATAAGTCATCACCTGGAGCAAGACTTCAGAAGATGGCTTGAACAGATGGATAAAGTTCATTTGGGAGTCCTTCAAGCAGATTGTTTATGACTTTATGGTATGGTACAAAGGTAGCATTTTGGATTGGGTCTGAAAATAAGTTGGGGAAATGCACTTCTTAAAAACACATCAATTCTGTAGCCATAACATTTAGCAGGCAGCCATGAGCAAAGTCCCCAATGGACTTTGGTTTAACAAACCAAAATTAATAGGGTTATTAGGAGAAATGTAACTGACATCCTGACTTGTGGGTGCGGGGGATAGTTCAGTGCTAGAGCCCATGTTTTGTAGATAAAGGTTTCCAGATTCCATCTTTGGCAGCTCCATTTACAAAAGCATTTCAAATGGTAAAGCTGAAAACAATCTTGGCTATCATTGTAGACAAAATCATACAAAGCATTCTGACTCAATTGTAAGTTTCTTATGTACTGTCATTCCAAGTGAAGCTGATCCAAGGTTGGCATTCATAAATATCAAGAAAATATTTCATTTGGTTTGAAATTGTAAATTCATCCTGATTTCTTAAATGATGCTCAGGTACGAACTATGGCAAGAGACTTGTACGATGACCATTTCAAAGCTGTTGAAAGTATGCCTAGAGGTGTAGTTGTAACACTGAGGAACATAGCAACACAATTAGAATCTTCATGGGAGCTCCATACAAATAGGCAGGTAAGTATCATTGAGTAAATTGCAGTGGTAAGCATAATTTGCTGCTGTTGTTAATGTTGACTTGATTCAGACATAAAAATTAATCCATCTGTCTTCGTCTGATGGTATTGGCAGATTCTCAAAGTGAGTTTAGTATTTCCAGGTTACTTTTAACTTGGGCTGTTGACAGCTGCTCATAATACTAAGCCCAGGTCAAAGTGGGCCACAGGAATTTGCATATGAAATAGGGTGAGTGGCAGATAAGAGCAGCCTGATCTGGAAATGGTAGTTTTAAATCTGCACCATGCTGTGTGAAGTGTACTGCTTACTGTGTGTATGCAGTACTTTTTGGTGAAGTTCTTGTTTCCGCAGTTAGACTGCTGTTGTGTAATACCATAAAGTGAATGGAGCCACTATTATCTGATTTTCTTTTTCAGTTTATTGAGGGAGAAAACACTTGGCGAGATTTAATGAAAACTGCTCTGGAAAACTTAATTGTCCTTCTGAAGGATGAAAATACTATTTCACCATATGAAATGTGCAGCAGTGGCTTGGTGCAGGCTCTTCTTACTGTTTTGAATAATGTAAGTTTTATTGCAGCTGATCTTAGACCAGTTAACTTCATCTTTCAGCCTAACTTAACCTCGTGAGGTTGTTGTGAGGATGAAGGAAGGATAACTGTGTATGTCACCTGAGCTTTGGGGGGCGGGGCAGGTGGAGAGTGCAGTGAAACTGTATTAATCACAGTTAATGTAAAAGGTTTTGAATTTTCTTAAGGAATATCTACAGTGTAGTCTATTAGCTGTGAGAAATGATTTCACTTAAACTTAACCTAAAAAAGAACAGGGGTCAAGAGACATGAAGCTCTGTTTGCACCAGCACTGTTAACCTAGTGCTGCTCTAGTGGTCTAACCATGCTTTGGACAGACAGTGCTGCCCATAAAACAAAGGAGAGTTTTCAGAGGGAAGATGCAGCCTGGCAATCAGACTATAAACACTTGTTTTATTTTCATTAAATCACATAGCAAATATCAGAAGAGGTGAAGGAGGAGGAGATTTTAAAAATGCTGGGAATGGTGCTGTTAGGATAGGTGGGTGTTGTTAATACTTGCTGTTTCTCTGCCCTCAACAGGGCTGCACATTTATTTCTCGTTGCAAGAGCTGAGCAGTTCAAGTTGATGGTCTTTGGAGCAACAGGAGACTGTCACTCCCAGTCACAATTTTTATTACAAACTTCAGTGCATTCCAGAATGAGATACTTGTATTTCTGAAGCAAAAAATAATTAATTTTTGTTCTTCCTCAAAACTTGTGTGATTTATGCATCTGACTTCTCCCCCTTTCTCATTGTCACTTCGGCAGGCAGTGCTTGAGAAGTTGGTTTTCTCCTTACGTAATGGGTTAAGTTAGCCAAAATGGCCTAATCCCAAATTTTGAGCAGCCATTCTTTTAACAATTCCCTCTTTTTCATTTAGAATGTGGATTTTGATTTGAAACAAGATTGTAGTCAGCTAGTGGAAAGAATAAATGTATTCAAAACAGCTTTCAGTGAAAATGAAGATGATGAAAGGTAATTTTGTTGTTCCTGACCTTATGAAAAATAATGTGTGCACACAACTATTTTTTATACTCGGCTTTCAATAGTAAAAGGCATATTGGTCTTGGACTAGAACATAACTTGCTGCTTTTTGTATTGAAATTGCCCGATGTTTATCGCATCAGTGTTGCTTTGCAGTTGTAGATCCCATTTAAACAGAGTGTTGCCCATATATTTAGTTATTGAATAATGCATATACTGTACTGTGTTTCGGCTCTCATAAGGCCCCCAAGATAATTTGCCAGAATAACAACACAATAATGTTACAATAAAAAATGAGAGTGGTAAAACCACATTGCAGTAATCTAACCTAGTAGAGATGTAAGGTATGTGTAACTATGGCCAGATCTCCTTATCTCAGATTCTCCAAGCAGTATTTTATAATTAAAAATAGCTTTGAGCTTTGATATGTAGTACAAAGCATTTTAAACATAGCTTAAGATGATCTAAAAAAAATTAAAGTGTTGACGTTTGATGAATCAATGCACCTGGCTTTGATTCAGATATATGCCAAATCATGCATTATTGCTGTGATAACAAGCAAGCATGAACAGGAAGTTCTACCTTTTCCGTGCACAGCATATAATATTGTTAGTAACAAACAGCAGTTTCTACTATGAGGGTATAATGAGAAATGATGGTTTGTTACAAATTTTGTTGGTTTACATTTTCTCCCAGTTGTGTGGTGGGAGCCCAGAAGTCTGAGGCTTGTGCTTACTTGTTCTCATAATGGCAAACCATTGCAATATCTATGTTTTATATATTGTTGGATCATGTTTATTGTTGCAAGCTGGCTTGAGTTCTGTTTTTAAATAGGCAGAGTTTAGGTTTTAAAGATAGCTTGTCATCGCTACAACATTTTGAAGTTGTAATTGTACTCTGAAGTTTTCATAACTTCTGTTCATTTTTCAAAGCCCTTTGTATTATAGACAGTAACATTTGTCTTCTCTGTGTTCATAGTCGTCCAGCAGTTGCATTAATTCGGAAACTCATAGCAGTATTAGAATCTATTGAACGTCTACCTCTACACTTGTATGATACACCAGGATCAACGTATAATCTGCAGGTAACTTTTCAATACGGTAGAAATTTACTACATTCTAATAAAAATGATTCTGTGCCCTTTCTCTGCTATTCTTCCTATAAATTTCCATAAATTACAGTTGTCCCGAGCTACTTTAGTTGGATACAGACCTATTTCATTATTAGAATGCTTCAGTCAGATCCAGTGGAGTCTTCCACTTTGCAAACTGGACAAATTCATAGACAGAAGTGGGAGAGGCATTTTTTGCCCATTCTCCCTTCCTTCTATAGCCCCCAGCACCATCTACCATGTTGTTTTGGAGGGTCCCCAGCCCTCTAGACCTGATTTTTGAGGCAAGGGGAATATAGAAAAAATCCCACCCTCCAGAGCATCCAGTTGACAAAGTTCCATTCTGCACAACTCTGGGTGTCACCCATTAAATGTTCTATGGAATGTGGGCTTGGCGTAACAAACATTTATGGGTATCATCTAGATTTGCTGCTGTGTATGCATGAAGGTTCTAGTTGGGGATCCAGGCAGGGTTGTATAAATACAGTAATTGCTGTAAATAGAAAAATGATTTCACAAGACATTTCTGGTCATATTAATTCTTAGTATTAAGTAAAAAAAATAGCAGCCTATACTCATAATTTGTTGGGTGTGGGAGCTTCCTCCCTGACCTTCCTTGAGCTTTTTTGTGTTTGTTTTATACTGTACCCCACCCTAAATACAATGAAGGGCAGTATAAAAACATTCTAAATAAATAAAAGTTTTAATAATCAGCTCGGGTCCAAAGAGCTATGAGTGGAAGAAGAAAATGTAGCAGTGCTGTTCCTTTTGCGAGACCTGGTGAAAGAACTTCCTGGTGAAAGAACTTGGAATGTAATTGGGGTTGTATTACAATATGAAAAGAACTGTGAATATTGAAGATACAGACTAAAGCATGTGAACTCTAGTGGGCCATAAAATGTTATTGATAGGAATTTAAACAAAGCTGCAGCCTGCCCACACAGGACAATGTCAGTCACTTTTGACATATTGAGTCCAAAACAGACTATGGATGAGTGGGAAAGACTTTCTACTAGAGTAAGAATGCTGTTGGATCTGTGCATTTGTGTAAATGTGTGTGTATAGTGACTATGCAGATTTGTCAGTTGTGCTGATTTTCCTAATTTATTAATGCTTGCTTGACTTTGAAAACATAATCATTAGTGTTTGTTATAAATGAAAGGGATGTTTCTAAGTAAAAAAATTGTTGCTTTGACTTTAGATATTAACAAGACGGTTGCGGTTTCGCTTGGAGCGTGCTTCTGGGGAGACAGCTTTAATAGACAGAACAGGTCGAATGTTGAAAATGGAGCCCTTGGCAACTGTAGAATCTTTAGAGCAATATCTCCTAAAAATGGTGAGCAAACTCCTCTTCTCCCCAGGTTGCATTCAGACTACCCATACACATAGCTCACCCCATGGTAGTTTCCACTGGAGGAAGTGCAGTTTTTGCAGATTCCCATTTCTCCCATGCCCCTGAAAAGTTGTTCTGGAGGGTCTGGAGATCCTTGGGAACCGTATGGGAAAAGGCAGGAGGCATTGATGAATGCCTTTTCTGTTTGGAGCATTTATGAATCTCAGCCACTTATGTGAATGGAAGGTCAAATTTGGGTCAAGCACTCAATCCAGCCTATCATGTTTACAGAAAGAATTACATTAATTCTTCTGTTTGAGGTGACTTTTTTTGTAGTTATTTGTCATTGTCTGTTCAGGTTTCTAGTCCTCAAGTGTGAGATGTGGGGTTGGGATGAGCACCCTCTAATCCTCCAGCTTGGGAAGGCTTTCTTGTTCTCTTACATTGCATCTTAAATGGTTTCTGTTGATGGAATTATGACATTTAATTGTGCTTTACTGTATGTTTTAGGGGACGCGGGTGGCGCTGTGTGTTAAACCACAGAGCCTAAGACTTGTTGGTCAGGAGTCCCTTTACCTTTTTACTGTATATTTTGATCATGTATTAATCTGCTGTTAGCCATTTTGGGGTCTTTGGACTAAAAAGTGATATATAAATAATAATGAAGATAAGAAACTCTATACTTATGTGATACATTTTTGTTGCCTCTTTTTTCCTTAGGTGGCAAAGCAGTGGTATGACTTTGATAGATCATCATTTGTTTTTGTACGAAAACTCAGAGAAGGCCAGACATTCATTTTCAGACACCAGCATGATTTTGATGAAAATGGAATTATTTACTGGATTGGAACAAACGCAAAGTAAGATTTCAGTAACTTCAGTTTGAGACAGTGCTAAAATCTTGAATGAAATAGCATTGTATTTAAATACCTGCAGGCCAATTCTAAATATTTTCCAAGTGCAACACTGGATTTTCCATGCATCATTTTTAAATAAAAAAATGTATTATTGGGACATAGTTTGCAGTATGCATGGCATATTAGCTTTTGTTTTTTAGGTTTTAAAATTTAGGTTTTAAAATACTGTCTGTCACTTACCTATGGCCATTCCATCAGGCTCCCTGAACTGTTGTCATCCCAGTTTCTTGTAAGATCTGATGCTTGAGTCTGTATTATTTCCCCATGCTCTGGAAGTCTTTTCAGCTGAAGAGGGGAGTTAAAATGCTTTAAACAAATATTCATGAGTAATAGTGACATCGTTGTTTCTATTGTAGAACAGCTTATGAGTGGGTAAATCCGGCCGCCTATGGGCTGGTGGTAGTTACATCTTCAGAAGGAAGAAATTTGCCTTATGGCCGTTTGGAAGACATCTTAAGCCGTGACAGTTCAGCTCTGAATTGTCATACTAACGATGATAAAAATGCATGGTTTGCTATAGACCTTGGTCTTTGGGTGATACCATCAGCTTACACATTACGCCATGCTCGTGGTTATGGACGATCTGCTCTCAGAAATTGGGTTTTTCAAGTATCTAAGGATGGACAGAACTGGACTACTCTATATACTCATGTGGATGACTGCAGTCTGAATGAACCAGGGTATGTAAAAATATTTCCATTTACATGGACCATTGTTGTTTCTGACTTTATGACAATAAATTTAGTACCCATAACGTATGGGCCATTCTCAGTCCACTGAAGTAATTGGAAATTAACCTCTTGATATCATTGGGTCCAGGATTTACTTCACTGTGCTGAAATTCATTGAATAATAAAAAGTTGGCCTTACACAGTGGTTTGGCTTAAACATGGTAAACCATACAAGCCTTGGCTGTTTTTCTAGCATATAGATGAAACAACCACAATTCTTGGCTTAGTGTTACGTTAGGGCTGCCATACGTCTGGAATTTCCAGGGCATGTCTGTCGAAACATGGCAACCCTATGTTATGTCCAAAAATTTAATTCATGTGATGGTATAATAGAGAGAGTAATTTTCTGTTTGTAAACTGGTGGTCTTTTTGATCCATGAAAACCACCATACAAATAATTAATATTTCTCTGTGTTTTTGTCATGACACTTAAATTTATCATTACCTAATTTTTTCCTTCAACTTCCCCAAACTAATGTAAAGGTCAACAGCAACATGGCCACTAGATCTACAAAAGGATGAGAAGCAAGGCTGGAGGCATGTAAGAATTAAGCAAATGGGGAAGAATGCCAGTGGGCAAACACACTACCTCTCTCTATCTGGATTTGAACTTTATGGCACTGTGAATGGTGTGTGTGAGGATCAGCTAGGTAAGCAATGTAGATAGAATTATTTCTTGTTCTTACCACCAGCTATTGTACTGTAGGCCATGAATTAAACTTTTTCAAAAACTTAATGCCAATCTAGAGCATGTTTTTAAGCACGTTTTAAGATCAAAATATCAGTTTGATATTTGAAATACCTGCCACCAAGTTGGAATGCTTAAATCTTGTATAGATAGCGTAACCAGCAGTGTTTTATCACTAGTTTTGATTGCATGTAGGAAAAGCAGCTAAAGAAGCAGAGGCTAATCTGCGAAGGCAGAGGAGACTGGTACGCTCTCAGGTTCTGAAGTACATGGTTCCAGGTGCCCGTGTCATCAGAGGAATTGATTGGAAATGGAGAGATCAGGATGGTAGTTCACAAGGTGAAGGCACTGTTACAGGCGAATTGCACAATGGTGAGCAACTGCTTAAACAATTAGCTCTCTTTATTCCACAAGTTATTTATAGTAGTTCACTGCATTTTCTAGTTTGGTGATTAGGGAAATGTAGATTCAGAAATCAAAAGGAAGACAGAAAGGAAATAGTGTACTGTTTGGTCATGTTAAATCAAGAGTGCATTTGTCATAGTGACCTGCTGACATAAAGAAAACCTGTTTGAGCTTCAGATAAAATTAGCACCCGAGTTATAAACATTTCTACCTCAAAATAAGTTTTACAGGGCACAAAGGGAGCCTGTAGAATAATGTAAGATTTGCAGAAGTAGTAAGTGAAATTCCTTGGAAAAACCAGGAGAAAACCTCTCACTTAATTACTGGGTGGGTAAGAAGTCCTAAGATATCACTTGCCTCTTGACCTCAAGAAGCATCCAGAAATTGAGAAGGACAAACCGGTTCATAAACTCCCCCAGGTATTAGTCACACCTAACTTCCCTAGTTCTTGGAGATTCTGACTTGTACTTTGGGAAACTTGTATTTCAAGAAAGAAAATGTTAGAGTTACTTGATAGTTAGAGATCAAGAACAAGGTCTTATTGGAACAGTATTCCTTGAAGTAAAGTACCACCACTCACATTTGATTTTCACATGTCCATAAAATACAGTGTTGCATACAAGTTGTGCTAATTACATGCAACTCCAATATACAGATTAGCTGTGGCATTTCTGCTCCTATATTTTGTGTGTTGCGTTATGGGTATGAATAATTGATCCAGTGTCTAAGAAGAATAAATATTTCCTGTCTGTATAATATCAGAATACCTTGCTATCCCTTTTCTGGCTTGGCATTTGCAACTTGCTTTTTCTTCAGCTTTTGTCAAGTTCTCTGCCATTTCTTACCTTACTAGCTTCGCTGGGATCAAGTTTCTGTTTTCTTAATACTAATATATGATTAAACCAAAGTGGGGAATGCTAAGAGGCAGGTATTAAATTTCCAGTGGCATAGCAATTAGATTTATAATATTTTTTGAGGAAGGATATGATGCCACATTCAAGGTCTCCATCTCAAGTGTATCTTTTCTTTAGAATGATCGTTCTCCTATTATGCAGAAAAATCATCCTAATAATTATTCACTTAAAAATACTTGTGAAAAGTAGTTGAAAATTAGATAGAAGTAGAAAAGTAGATAGAAAATTTTGTGGTGATATTTTAATGTGCTTGTCTTCTTTAGCATTCAAGATTTGATTAACTAGCTCCCCCACTCTGAATCCATCACTCTATGAACCATACTAGGCCAAGTTCCAAAAAAACAATTCTCTCTCGTTCCCATATCAACTAAAAATCTTCTTCCCAGGGAGTAATTGTTAAACAAAAACTGGAGTGCCAGTTATTTAAAATGTAATTAAAATAATGCATAGAGAAAGGTCTTCATATCATAAGCAGAAGGAAGTTGCAAGGATGCTCCTTGGACCCAAGTGTGGTCTGTTTGCCCTCCCTTCCCACCCACCTTTTAAATAAAGGTTCAAGGACTGCCTTGCCACAACCTAAAGGAAAGCCAGGTTTCAGGTGCAGATTGGACTGCATTTGCCACTGCTGTGGTTGACCAACGACTGAGGATGGAGGCCAACCATACTTAACAAGCTGACTTAAAATAGAATAATGGATTTTCCCCAGTAACTGTAGTATGTGAAACATAATAACAGTTACCAAGTATTCTGATAAGAAAACCATTTAAATGCCCACACACTTCTACTACACATAGCTCAAACTTTACTTTTAAGGGAATTAAAAATTTAAAGTTATAGTTACTTTTAATACAAAACTTTTTACATTTTTGACTGGATTCTCAGATCTTTAGTATTAAATTGAACTGTGGTAAGAGCTGTCCATTTTAATGTAGTACACCTACAATGATCACACTGCTTGAATTTCAAATCTTTCTATTATTTTGTTTGGCTTTAAAGCCTATTAAGTAATTTCTGTGACTCAAGATAGCGGCCCAATGAGAAGCTGATCCCATATTGTGGAGCTACTGTCTTGACACGCTCCTGTCTGCTTTCTGCTGGGTCTCACAAACTCCTGTCCCTTTCTAGGCTGGATTGATGTCACCTGGGATGCTGGTGGCTCTAACTCTTACCGTATGGGCGCAGAAGGAAAATTTGACCTCAAGCTTGCCCCAGGGTACGACCCTGATTCAGCGGCATCACCCAAACCTGTTTCATCCACTGTTTCAGGCACAACGCAGTCATGGAGCAGCTTGGTGAAAAACAACTGTCCAGACAAGATGACTGCTGCTGCAGGCTCTTCAAGTAGAAAAGGAAGTAGCAGTTCTGTGTGTAGCGTGGCCAGTAGCAGCGACATCAGCTTGGGTTCGACAAAAATGGAGCGGAGATCTGAAAATGTAATGGAACAAAATATAGTTTCAGGCACTGACGTCCATGAGCCAATTGTTGTCCTTTCCTCTGCTGATGGCATGCCTCAGACTGAAGTAGGGTCAGCGTCCAGTGCAAGTACCAGCACCTTGACAGCCGATGTGGGAAATGAAAATGTTGAAAGAAAGCTAGGAACTGACAATTCAATCCGCGCAACTGGGGAGTCCAATGCTATATCCATGGGAATTGTTAGTGTGAGTTCCCCAGATGTTAGCTCGGTATCTGAGCTGACGAATAAAGAAGCTGCTTCTCAGAGACCCCTTAGTTCTTCAGCAAGTAACAGACTATCAGTGAGTTCGCTTCTGGCTGCTGGGGCTCCAATGAGTTCCAGTGCAAGTGTTCCTAACCTATCCTCACGAGAAACCTCTAGTTTGGAGTCCTTCGTCCGGAGAGTGGCGAACATCGCTCGCACCAATGCCACTAACAACATGAATTTAAGCCGAAGTAGCAGTGATAACAACACTAATACTTTAGGAAGAAATGTCATGAGCACTGCAAGTAAGTAAAAATAAATACCTGTCAACTTACGCTGCACCTGTGAAATGGGAAGAAAGAGGCTTGACATTCTTGACATAATGGTAGCTTTGAAGAGTCATCTGGGGTGGTATAATAGCTATATCGCCCCCAATTTTGTATTGTCTTGGAAAATTGCTCTTGCTGCAGTAATTAAAGAATTGTGCAGCAGGATTTACTTACTCCATTTACTTAATGTTTGATTTCAGGGGGAATTAAAGTAAATATCATTGCTTAGAAGAAATCTAGGTGCCACAACATCATAGCTAAGTCTATTCTGGTACTTACAGCACTGAAATCCTTTGGATAGATTAGAAGAGCATTAAATTGTTTCTTAATTCTAATCTATCAGTGATGTTCCTAGAAATAAATGCATGTCTCATAGAAATTTGCTTAGAATGTTGTACTTGAATCTGAATTAATTTGGAAACTCTGGTGCTTATATTCTCACTCTTCAAAATATTGAAAAAAAATTCATTCATCTGAAAGAGGTAAAAAGCTTAGGGAAAACAGTGTTGTCTTAAAATTGCTCATACTTTTAAAAAACAAATGAGTGTTACAAACACAGGTTTATATGTGCTGCCATTTATTTTTGTTTCTATGTTTTACTGCAGTTTCTTGCTACAAAGCTAAAATGTTAAGAATGTAGATAGACTAAGGAGATACTGCTGAATTAGTTTTATATTGAAAGAATAAGATGACAAGTTATTTCTCTATTTTGTCTTTTGTCAATTATGCTCCATGCTTGGCAGAGGGTTGAGCCATGGAAGTGCAGCCATTCTAGCCCTTTTTTTTAATGTGGTGAGCAGTGCCTGATATGAAATGGGAAAAGAATAGCCAACTAGCGTGTGCATTGGAAACTGAACTGCTGCCCTTATTACTTGAACATTTGTGGGAACTGCTATTCACCTTTCCCTTTATTTGGAAATGTTATTCTTTGTACTTTAGAGAATATTGTAAAAATCCATTTTTTCATATGTTTATATTTAAAAAATAAGTTTAGTAAAACATAGTTTTATTCTATATAATTATTTTACTGTGTTTAATTTTTCCACCCCATATTATCGATGATAAGCGCTAATAAAATGGATTAACTCACTAGAGTCAGTAGTGAGGTGGTCCAAATGTAATACCAGACCATAGTTTGCAAACCTAAACCAAGTTTGTTGTGATGCTTGAACTTAAACTATTTGGCAAATCATGATTTTCAAGTGGTACCAAGTAAGAACTTGAAACCATAATTTGATTTTAGTTTGCAAAAACAATTTTAACAAACTGGATTGGGATGTATATATGCACTAAGAAAGCATGATTTGAGATGTTTGTTCTTCCTTTAAGAGGGCATTCTGGCATTCTCAGAAAAGAGGGAGAAACCACACACACAGTTGCTTGCACACCTGGGACCCAAAGCAGATAAAGAAAATTAGATGATTCTTGGTTCATTCTATATTAGTTAAATTACTACCAATGCTTTTGAAAATGTGAGACTATGTCTTGGATTGATATATTTACAGCAACTATTCAAGACAATCCTGTTTAAAAGTTCAAATTTCTTCATGGAAATTAAACAAAAGATTATTGTTCCTATTGAAAGCATTCCTGTCCTCCCCTCCGCTTCCAAGAGGAATTTGTTAATGCAACTGTTCTGCTAATCTGCTCAGAAAGGGAAAGGGCTCTCCAAAAGCAGTGCTGAACTCACTCTTTTATCTCTGGAGGACCAACATATGTGTTCAGTATTCTCCAAAGGGCACTAGGACCACCCCTTGGTGGGTGGTATGTTCCTCTTATTGCTAGAGGCACAAATGTCATCACTCTAACAGAATCTCTGTTTGACTCTTCTCTTGGAGTGACCGTTTTTCCTGCCTCGATTGAAGCAGCATTACATTCACTTAGTTCTTATCATAGTACTTGTTCAAAACTAGAATGTGGGCTACTTCAACACAAGCAGATTTCTATTTTGGTCTTTTGTTTTACTTGAAGCCCTTTCTTGCAGTGGCCTGTAATTCTGCACTGATGAATAAGATAGACTTGGTGACTATTTAAAATATTGAAACACATTGAAGCACTCATGAATGCAAACTGTTCTACTCTGGATCATTTATTTTATCTTACCATATCTTTATCTATAGCTTCTCCTCTAATGGGTGCCCAAAGTTTTCCTAATCTGACTACAACTGGTACCACATCAACAGTGACCATGTCTACATCCAGTGTTACTAGCAGCAGCAATGTAGCCACAGCAACTACAGTTTTATCTGTTGGTCAGTCACTTAGTAACACTCTAACTACTAGCCTAACATCAACATCTAGTGAGAGCGATACAGGTCAGGAAGCAGAATATTCTTTGTATGGTAAGTTTCATTTTTAAATGAACATAAGCAGATTTCCCATTAATAATTTTCTGTTTTCACCTTTACTTTTGTTATGGGTTTCTCACTTAGTTATTTCATTACTAAAGCATATCAAATAACGGAGCTGTTTACCCTGTTACTAGTTACATAAAGGGTTCCCCAGCAAAGGCTTTTACTCCCAATGTCATCAGAATTTTCTATAAATATCAGCTCTTCACAATCCTCTACATTCTTTGTATTTATGATATTTTTATATAGCATTTCAGTATAAAGGTATTTAAAATGTAGGAAAACTGATTTGAATGTCTTAGCCTATTAAGAAAACTTCTAAAAATTCAGAAATCCAGATATATATGTACGTATTATATCACTGTTATTCTAGTCTTTCAGTATGGTGTGCTGCAGTTATTGATTCTGTGAAGTAAGTTCACATTGAAAACAGTGGCTTAGATCCAAATTTGTGTGAGCAGAATTCCACTTGTGCAATGAGACTTTCCCATCTTCCAATTGCAACCCCTGCTCACCTCCCCCCTCCAAAAGTGACTTCTGGGGTTCGGTGGACCATCCAGAATTGGGTGGGAACACGGGTGCCAACTTGAATAAAATATTTGGGGTCCCCAGGTAAGCCCCATCCTGCATAATTGATAACAAGACGTGCATGCACACCATTTGAATGGCAATGCCCATCAAATTTGGGTTCAGCCCCCTTAAATATGTTATGGGGTGGTTGAAGGGAGCTTGGCCCCTAGGAGTTGCCTCTCATGGGTGGAATATTCTGATAGAAGAGCACATTTTGGATCAAAGTTCACATGTATGAATTTAGAACCGTTGTGAGTCAAAATTCTAAGTTGAAAGGCATTGACAGTTAATAATACTTCACATCTCCACAGCACATTCACTGTTTCATGTGCATTAGCCTGGTCCCTTGTCACAGGCAAAATCTCCAGTCAGCTGTACTGGTGTACTGATCCATTATCACAAACACAACTGTGAAATCACATGGCAAACCATAATTCAGTGGCAGCTAGCCATAGTTTGCCAGCTTCAACATGTCAGCAAACTCTAGGAAAATCCTATAAATAGAAGAGGAAGCATGTTCGTGGAAAGAAGAGAGTACACAAGCCTACAGAAGTCCCCCAACATGACCTTGAGAACTGGGTTCATTAGGTCTAAACCTGGCCAGTGTTATTATTGTTGTTATTAATTTTTATACTACCCTTCATTCACAGATTAAAGGGCAGTTCACAACATAAAAATACAAAATGAGACCACAAACTATATAACAGAGAAACAGAAATAAACCAATAACTCTCCTCCCACGAACATTTAAAAGACCATAGATTGTTAAATCAGCCAAAGGCCTGCTTATAGAGAAACATTTACACCTGGTGCCATGCTTATAAGTAGTCATATTTATGGGGAAGCAACAAAACAGCTTGGCATACACACATTTGCTTCGAAATAGTAAAGACCTACAGAAGCTTAACTGCATCATTTTCACACGCAGGTCATTTCAAATAGCTTTCCATGTGGGGGAAATCGCAGGATGATGTCTTAGTAGCAGAAACTCCTGGGGTTGCTAATGCTTATTCCCAAAGAGAGATTTGGAGTTTGGGCAAATGGGTTCTGTTAGGTTTCTTGGTGTATTTCTTGCAGTAAGCACAGGGATCAACATTATATTCTTCTCCTAAGACACTCGTGCAACAGTCAGAGCTGTTGGAGGTCAGAACTTTCCTGCCATGGCTGTAGCAGTTCTTTAAAATAGTCAGTTGCATCATATATGTGCAGGAAAAGTCTGAATAGTAACGTGTCTTTCAGACATTATAGTGGAGATTTGAAGGCCCAGATTCTGGGAGGGGCAGAAGAATAGCATTAAAAATAAAGAGCTTATTTAGGGGATGGCTGCAAAAAAAAGTTACATGAGCTGCTTTCATGGCAGTAGGAAGAGAACTTAGTGGGAAGATTGTCATTCATCCCTTTAAAGCACACACACAAAAATGCAATGTTCTAGGAGATGGAATGGTAGGATGGGATCACCTAATCTGCTACACTAGCTAGAGGTCTAGAAAGTTCCTAGCTGTTATTTGTACACGGATAGTAACAAATTGTGTGACTGTACAGATGACCGCTGGATCATTGGTTGAAGGAAAAGCTCTGCAGAGAGAGTGCTAGTTTTCTCCCATTTCCTGTTTGGTACTTAGGGGTGACTGCACACAAAATGGAAATTATAAAATCCCCAACAAAAGGCTTTATTACTGTAGAATAAATGTAAGATTCCTCAAAGGGTTTACCGCACATTGGCATGGATACATTGCATTTGAGTTAGGAGCTGAAAAGGAAGTTCTCGGGGAAGCGTTGGGGACAAAAGGGAATGGTAGAATTAAGGGATAGAAATTATATCAAGCTCTTGGGGGAATGAACCTAGACAGTGCTGGAAATTGTAATGAATACTTCACATTGTATCAGCAGAAGCCACTGGGAAATGCTGCGTGCCACTGGCTGTGGGAAGGCATCCTTTCAGAGTACAGACTGATTCAAGAAATTATGTGGGCCTTTGCAAATTAGAATTTAGAATGAGAATTCATTTTTTAGTCTGGAAGTGGCACCTGTTGAATTCCCAGATTGCAGTATGAAGCAGAATTTGAAAGTTATAAGCATCTCTCAAATATATTCATGTATCTGTTAAAGATGCTTTTAGGCTGATGTTCTAATACCATAAACTTTAGAAAGTTGTCTTACAATTTGCTTTGAGTGCTAGTTGCCATATTTGAGGTATAAGTGATTATCAGAGTAGCAGTTTGTCTTTTTTATCCCTGAGGAGTTGTTGTTTTTGCCACATTAGTTTTGAATTATGAATATATTGTTAAAATCTCCATAGAGCATGGTTATTAGAGAGTAAGAAGCCAGTGTCCCAGGTTCAGATGTTACGGGAGGTCAAGCTTAACGATGACTTTCTGGTTGGTTAGTCCCATTTGCATGATCTCATGAGCCCGTAATAAGTTTTAAGAAAGTTAAAGACCCATGAAATGCAAAAATGCCTCCTATAAAACCAGGAGATTATGCTGTATTGGGATTTAGACTGCTTCATACGTGACAAGCATCCCGTATGAACATAAATTGTATGTAAAAAACATGTGCAGTTTCTGACTTTCCTAGAGTTAGGATTTTTACATATGCACAATTTCTGCCTGTGTAGGAAACAAGGCGCCATTTTCCAATTCCCTTCTTGCCTTGCTCCTGCAATGTAGGCAGATGTACATTGCTATGTTTTTGATGGACTGATAATTGGTTTCAAAGAGAAAAAAATCCGCCCTTCCATGTTTGAAACTGTAGGTATTACATGCGTCATTACTGTTGTGTGTTCAGTGCTGTTAGCAATGTACCTGCAGTTCTTTGGGTGCTCTGAATACAGAACAAGAAATGGAAACCTGTCTTTCATGAATGGCTGGAGGGCTGCTATGTACCAGTATCAGTAGTTGTCATTATAGAACTTGGAATACTGCTAATTTTAGAGGTGTTCCTTTTTTCATGGTTTGACACATTGCTACAGGAATGAAAGTGGTTTATGAGATATTTGCTAATATTATATGATGTTTTTGAAAATAAAAGGAAATAAGTTCTATGAAACATGTATTGCAACTATAGTAGCAAAATTATTGGCTTGCTATCCATTTCCACTAATGGTTTGTGCTTACAAATGGGATCAGTTTGTCTGAGTATCTTACCTTATTCCAAATAGTTTCCCATTCCTTTTCAGGTTGTTTTCTGAAATGCTTTCCCCCTTTGTCAAAATTCTTTAAATAGGTTTCTTCTCTACTGTCTTGAGCCTCTTTTTCCTGTTCCTGCTTTGAATTTATAGAACAAAATCAGTCTTCATCCTTACAGCCTTTTTTTTTTTTTTAAAAGCAAACAACAAGCAACTGAGTTCTTAGCGTGTGGTTTGTGTGTGTTCTGTGTAGATTTTCTTGATAGCTGTCGGGCCAGCACTCTATTAGCGGAGTTAGATGATGACGAAGATCTACCTGAGCCAGATGAAGAGGATGACGAAAATGAAGATGACAATCAAGAAGATCAAGAGTATGAAGAAGTTATGGTACAGTTCATATCTATTTTTACAATATTGTCTGATCTGCAGTTATTTGGGGACCCTATCAAAAAACCTTCTACTCTCCTGAACTTGTAGTATAGTATAGGTTGTTCATTGTGGACCAGTTTTGTCAATTTAGAGAACTTGTCCGTTTTTAAAGTATCAGTAGCAGCTTGTTGCCATTTCAGTAGCTTATTACAAATGTTCTACCTTGTTTACAGATCAAATGATAACAGTCCTCATAATATTAGTTCAGTGGAATCCCGAAAGAAACCCCTAAATAACAGATTATGTAAATAGATTCTACTACAATAAATGTCCACTTTGGTACTTTCCCTCCCCCATTCCATTATATCAGTGTCAAATTATCTGAGGTGAACTCTTTTAGAATATGGCCTTGGATATGGCTTATGGGCTGCAAACAGTCTTGAGTAGCTGTATGCTTATGTGTAGCGATTTGGGGGATTAAAAATGAGGTGCTGCTACTTGTATTTTGATAATTTTTCTATGGGTGCCACTGCAAAGTGGCTGCCATGCACAGCCTAAAAAGAGATGCTGGTACTTCATACTGGTGTGTACTGTCACACCCACAAAAATACTGCATATATGTGATCTTCATTAGAAATCTGAATTGGTAATGCCAGATTAACTTGAGTCTTGATACTGCTTGAAAAGAATCTAGGATGAGAATTCACATAATTTCCTCTATAAATTTGGCTAAACACGTGACAGCTATGTTTGTGCATTTTAAGTAAGTTAAACAGGATAGCATTGATGCTTTAAGTCAGGGGCCAGCAAGGTTTATCTTTGCCTGAGCGGGATTGGTCCTGCAGAGACCCCTATGTGGGCCGGATTGTGCATGTGCGTGAGTGCACGCGCCCATGATTTCAGGCATCTGCGCGTGCGCAGATGCGATTTCCGGTGCCATGGAAGTGAGCCCCTGCGCCGTGCTGTGCCGGTTTAGCACAGTGCGTGAGCGGGCACTTCGGTTCAGGGGCGGCTCGTGGGCCAGTCAGATGACCTCCATGGGCCGTTTCCGGCCCATGGGCCTTAGGTTGCTGACCCCTGCTTTAAATTTTTGAAAGTGTAGGTGAGAATCTGCAGTGTACAGCAAGTTCAGTTTGTTTACTTAGCTATTCTCATGGCTTACCCAACTTAAGTAACTGTCTCTGAAGACAGTTCAGAAACTTCAGCTGGTGCTGAATTAGGCTGCCAGGTTGCTTACCCGGGCAAGATGGTTTGAGCATATTACACCAATCCTGCCCCAACTGCACTGGCTGCCAGTTCGTTTCCAAGCCAAATTCAAAGTGCTGGTTTTGACCTATAAAGACTTAAAGTTGATTGGTGAATCTTATGTTTTGATGTATTTATATTTTGATGTTAGCAGCCCTGAGCCCGGTTATGGCTTGGGAGGGTAGGATATAAATAAAATTTATTATTATTATTATTAGCCTCAGGACAGCAATACCTCAGTGACTGCCTCTCCTCGTATGGACTGACCCAAACCTCCAATCATCATCTGAGGCCCTCTTAGTGTGCCCCGTCCACAAGAGACCCAAGGGCAGCAACACAAGAGTGGGCTTTTTCTGTGGTGGCTCCCCATTTGTGGAATGCTGTCCCCTGGGAGGCTCGCCTTCCTTACATATGTTTAGGTGCCAGGCGAAAATGTTTCTCCCAAACCAGTCCTTTGGCTGATTGGACATTCTATGGCCTTTTAAATGTGTTTGTGGGAAAAGGGGTTATTGGTTTTTTGCACTTTCATTTTGTATTTTGAGTTCTCATTTTGTATTTTCATTTTGTGAACTGCCCTTTGATCGTCAGGTGAAGGGCAGTATACAAATTTAATTAATTAGTAATTAGCAGCAGCAGTAGATAGTTTTTGTACTTGTCTATCCAGTGTGGGTTTAAAAAATGAAAATAACTTTTTTGTTCGTTTTGCCATTTTTGTTATATAATAGGAAGAAGAAGAGTATGAAACAAAAGGAGGACGTAGAAGAACATGGGATGATGATTATGTTTTGAAACGTCAGTTTTCTGCTTTAGTACCTGCATTTGATCCTAGACCTGGCCGTACTAATGTTCAGCAGACAACTGATCTTGAAATCCCTCCCCCAGGTATATCCATGAGTTGTTTGAAAAACCATGTGCGAAGTATAAATATATAATATACACGTACAAATACACAAGCATGTCAGAGAACCTAAGAGAAGAACAAGATTGGAGGAGGAGAGACACAACTAGGTTGGGGGAGGACATGCTAAGATACCTACCACCTTCTCAAACTTTCTCCCTTCACAAATCTAGGTTGTAGCAGGGGAGGGACACACACTGTTTTCATGGGGAAGAAGCTGATGAGAATGAGATGCTGAATGGAGAAAGGAGTTGGGGTCTGAAGCAAGTGAGATTTGAATGAGTGAGTCAGGTACCATGTAAGGGTAACAGGGTAAAACTGAAATGCATATTTTCTCCTCCTCCCCCTTGTGAAATTTCAAATGCCTTTACTTTGAATTTATTTTTAGGTTTAGATAAGAATTATGATATCATGAAATATATGTGAGATGTTGAAAGCTGTTGCAGACTTAAAAAAAACTATTGCTCATTGCACTGATTTATCACTGATTACAGGAACACCCCATTTGGAACTACTGGAAGAAGTTGAGTGTACACCATCTCCCCGTTTAGCACTTACCTTGAAAGTTACAGGCCTTGGTACATCTCGCGAGGTTGAGCTGCCCCTAACAAATTTTCGATCAACTATCTTTTACTATGTTCAAAAATTGCTACAACTTTCCTGCAATGGCAACGTGAAATCTGATAAGCTCAGACGAATTTGGGAGCCAACATACACGTAAGACATTTAAAATCCGATGCTGTATCTAAAACAGTCTAAGGCTGCATTTTTTGCAATGTGTATTTACAGTGCGTATCAAAAACTGCTGCTATGTCATCTCTTATCTTGTGGATATGGTTGTGCGGCAGTAGTGTTTGGATAGTGGTAGTCTTATGTAAACATTGGCATCATTTCTTTTTCCCTGCCTTAACATTTCAATGTTAGGGTTCTTACACTGTTTTTGAAATTGTAACAAATAAGTGTCGATGAAAGAATTCTTAACATAAAGAGTGCACTTGCTACATCAAAATGAATAGTTGTGCTTCAAGGTGGCCTGTAATTCAAAATGTATTCATGGTTTTTATAGTTTAAAGAATTTAAAAACAAGATTCAAGAGCTGTTGCGCCAGCAGTTGAATTCTTGGAATGCGTTGTATCAGTTGCTTTGCCAGTCTAGTATTAAGAAGCATCATTGGCTGACTCACCAATGTTACTCTTGTGTGGCAAGCAGCAAAGCATTCAGAATTATTTTAGTATGCAGAGTGTAAGCAGAAGACAATTTAAATTATATCGCAAGATTCATACTGATTTGGAAATAGTGCGTTCTGTTGTAGAAAGCCAGTACATAAATAACTCTAAATCTTTTCATGTTTAGAATTGTATACAGAGAAATGAAGGATTCTGATAAAGAGAAAGAAAGTGGGAAAATGGTGAGATAAATCTTAACTTTTCAATACTTATGTGGCTGTCAACAGATTTTTGTGCAGTTTGTGCACTTTAAAAAAAAAGCAGCAGCTTTTCTAAAAAGCTACACTAACTGAGTTCCGTTGTATGGAAGATATGTTAAAGAATGTTTGTAAATGCATGTTCCTAAAGAAATGTGTGTAGTGCATGTGAAATGTTTCAAACTTTACAACCAGGAAATACCAACATTTGGTGGTTCCTGTTGTAGGGTTGCTGGTCAATAGAGCATGTGGAACAGTACCTTGGCACTGATGAATTACCAAAGAATGACTTGATAACCTACCTGCAGAAGAATGCGGATTCAGCCTTTCTGCGCCACTGGAAATTAACCGGCACTAATAAAAGCATTAGGAAAAACAGAAATTGTTCCCAGCTCATAGCTGCATACAAGGTATATGTCTGCATCTAAAAGTATTGATTTGGGGAATGTCTATGCTTTATTTTGCATCGTGTTATGAGTCCTGACAGAGGGACTTGATGTGTGACTAATGCAATTTACTCTGGTTAAATACGTTTACGTGTGACCCTCATGTTTAACTTTTACCAGCTCCAGTGTTTTGTATGCTTTTGAATAGACACAGTATTATATTATTATTAATAATAATATTGTGCCTAACAACAGCTAAAGGCTCAGTATTTGCATCATGCAAACCATGTTTACCTTTTCTCTATCTCAAAGTTCAAAATAATTACATCGCAATTCTAACCTTTACTATGTATTTATTTTCCTTCCATTCATTTATTTACACAGGATTTTTGTGAACATGGATCAAAGTCCAGTTTGAGCCAGGGAGCTATTTCCACACTTCAGAACTCAGACATTCTTAGTTCAATAAAAGAACAGCCTCAAGCCAAAGCTGGTAGTGGACAGAATTCATGTGGAGTAGAAGATGTTCTACAGTTGCTCCGTATTTTGTATATTGTTGCAAGTGACCCTTATTCAACTCGAAATTCTCAAGAAGGTAAGTAGGATGTAATACATTTCCCCCTAAAAGCTTCCACAAAGGAAACATATTATTAGTACATTATTATTCATTTCTATTAATAATTTCAGAAGGAGATGAACAGCTTCAGTTTAATTTCCCACCAGATGAATTCACAAGCAAAAAAATCACCACAAAAATTCTTCAACAGATTGAGGTAATATATATATTTATTACTGAGATTATTTCTGAGGCATTTTAGTTTCATAGAAGCTGTTGTAGATGGTTGAAGTCTGAAATATCATCTTATTTAAAGGAAGCAGTGAAAATTATTTAAATGTGGTTTTTCTTCATTTGCTGGTTTTGTTTCATTATTTAGATGGCCCATGCCATGTGCTGGAAGGGAGCTTTGGTGAGGCATCCAAAGCTGAGTCAGTTGTACAGTTCAATTAATTGCAGCCTTGATCTTGAAAACTGAACATAGATTGGTAGGATTTTACTGACATAAGTCATAAAAGAATTAGAATTTCCTTTAAATTGCACTGTTATAAAAGCATGAAGTCTAGTGTGGTTAACGATTGCAGCATTGGACTGTGGGCACCAGATTCAAATTCTCACTCAGCCATAAAGCTCACTGGGTGAACTTGGACAGTTTCTTCCTTTCAACCTAATCTATCTCGGGATTATTTTGCAGATAAAAATGGGGTTGAAATGTGGGTTATCCATAAGTTAGAACACCTTGGAGGAAGCTGGAAAATAAATGAATACAACACATTCAGTGATTAAAAATGACAGCTTAACATTTAGGAAAACTACTACTTTATTTAGTACTAGCAGGGAGTGGCTGATGTTGCCTTGGTATTTGAAAAAGCAGGATTGTTTTTTTAAAAAATGGATAGTGTAATTTGTGAAGTTTGGGACTGTGTGAACACACCCTAGCCCAAGGCCGAGAGTGGGTTCTTGTCATCTGGGCAGCCCAGGTCCTCCCTACACACTGCCTAGGCTTGCCCCCTGGGGAAGTAACTTCAGCGCTGCTAACGCAGTGGTTTGACTTCACCCCCAGAGGCACACTCCATTGTCTCTTGACACAGACAGATGCCAACAGCAACAATGCCAAAAATCAGGCAGAGTCCTCTTTCAGACTGACATCTTTATTCAAACTGGCTGTTGGTACTCCAACATGAACAAAAACAGCCGCTCCCGCCTCAGAATTCTTTCTGCCAAGTTTGAAATCAGTGGTGTTTGGGCCCATCATGCCAAAGATCAGATCAGGCTTCCTCAAACCCGGCGCTCCAGATGTTTTGAGACTACAATTCCCATCATTCCTGACCACTGGTCCTGCTAGCTAGGGATCATGGGAGTTGTAGGCCAAAAACATCTGGAGGGCAAGTTTGAGGAGGCCTGGATCAGATGAAGTCACACCAAAGTCACATTTTGAATCTCCATCTTTATTCAGAATGGTGGTTGACAGCCCAATGTCCACAAAAACTGCCACCCCCACCCTGGAAACCCTTGTGTCAAGTTGGGCGATGATATATTGAGACATTTGAATGCATTTAGAACAAACCATTTTCTACAACATACAGTGGTAGATTTTTATTTAATTATGACCATCCTATTTACAACAATTGTGTTTTTTTTACAAAGTACAAAAACTAGTGGTATAAGGTGAGTGTGTAGGAAAATATGAATGCATAAATAGTTATTTATCCATCATACACTTTGTTCTTCAGACATTGCATTTTAAACAGTGGGTGTATTAAATTACAGGAGCCATTGGCACTAGCAAGTGGAGCTCTGCCAGACTGGTGTGAACAGATAACTAGCAAGTGCCCTTTCTTAATTCCATTCGAAACTCGACAGCTGTATTTCACATGTACAGCATTTGGGGCATCAAGGTAAGAAACCTGACAAGCAAATTGCTTATTTGCTGCAGTTTCAGAATACTGAATCTCTTTAATGTCAGTATTTGGAATATCAGTGTTTCCTTGTGTAGAAATTGAATTTTTAGGTAGTAAATCCTAAATACAAGAATTCTGTTATGATATGGATGCTGTTTGGTTTGAAAATGGTTAACACTGTGAACGTGGGGGACTCTGGTCTTTTATTTCTAACCATAGTCAGAAAAGATAGTGTTGAGGGGGTTCAGCTGGCATTTTTCTAGGAAGCAACTAGACTGCTACAAGAGGTGTTTTGGTTACAAATTTGTAGAATTTTCTATTATGGCCATTAACAACAAAATCTAGTTTTTGTGTGAATTGGGAGAACGGAAAAGGTTAATTGTGAGAGGACGTTTAGTGCACATTCTATTAAAAATTATTGATTCTGAGGGGCAGATGAATGAGAGCAGTCAATCAGTTGGCCAGAGCCTAGGAAGAGGCAGAAAGATAATAAGGAAACACTGGTGTCAGAGGCTGAGGAAAGCTAGCCAAGAAAGAGAGATAGAGAGAGAGTGTCTTCAGAGGCAGTTCTCCAGCATAGCCTCTGGCAAAAATGACAGCAACTGACAAAGGAGATCACAGCTGTGACAACAGCAATAGTGTGTGCGGATGGAAGGGACAGAGCAGCAGTGGCAGCGTTGTGTTTGCTGGGATGGGGCAGGGTGAGGTGGTGTTGAGGTGGGGGTAGCTTGTGGCAGATATGTGTGCCATCTGTGGGAGACAGGGAGTGCCAACCCATGGTTCTCCCAGCCTTGCTCCACCCTGTCCCATTGAACTCAGTGCTGTTGCAAGGATATCACTTGTTTTTTATTTATTTGAAATATTTCTTACCCATCCTTCACCCTAAGGCTGCAGGGTATTAACAATGATATAATCTACAATATTAAAATTAATAAAATTAAACCTAGTTATTTTATAAACTATAGATTATTTATTTTTTAAAAAACTCATTTTTTGAAAGCAAACAGTGGCCTAAGGAAGGTCTCATTAAAAAGCTTTTCTGAGTCATGATGCATATGAGTTTTAAAGCAATGTATCTTCATTTTTTCCTGATATCAGAGCAATAGTGTGGCTGCAGAATCGACGTGAGGCCACTGTTGAGCGAACGCGGACTACAGGCACGGTGCGAAGAGATGATCCAGGAGAATTCAGAGTTGGGCGCCTTAAACATGAAAGAGTAAAAGTTCCACGTGGTGAATCCTTGATGGAGTGGGCAGAAAATGTAATGCAGATTCATGCAGACAGAAAGTCAGTCCTAGAGGTAAAATAGGTTCCTCTTAAAAAATAATACTTCACTGTGTCTCTCACTTCTGTAGTGTTAAGTGAGCACAATTGTTTATTAGAAAAGATATATTCCAAAAGACTGCTAGTACTATTGTTGTGGTCTCTGGTTTCCAGGTGGAGTTTTTGGGAGAAGAAGGAACAGGATTGGGACCCACCTTGGAGTTTTACGCACTGGTGGCAGCAGAATTCCAGAGGACAGAACTGGGAGCATGGCTCTGCGATGACGACTTTCCGGATGATGAATCGCGTCAGGTATATTTTGTCTTTGTAATCAGTCAGTAGAGCTGATAAGTTACATTCTGTTTGTGTATCTCTTGAAATACCTTAACACTTTCCTTCACTTTTTTTTTGGATTTTTTAAAAAACAGGTGGATATAGGTGGCGGATTAAAACCTCCGGGATATTATGTACAGCGATCTTGTGGTCTGTTCACAGCACCATTTCCACAGGATAGTGATGAACTTGAAAGAATAACCAAACTTTTTCACTTTCTGGGGATTTTCTTAGCCAAATGCATCCAAGACAACAGACTGGTGGACTTGCCTATTTCTAAGCCGTTCTTTAAACTCATGTGCATGGGAGACATTAAAAGCAATATGAGCAAATTGATTTATGAGTCGCGGGGTGACAGAGACTTGCACTGCACAGAAAGTCAGTCAGAGGCGTCTACGGAAGAGGGGCACGATTCTCTCTCAGTAGGAAGCTTTGAAGAAGATTCCAAATCAGAATTTATCCTTGATCCACCAAAGCCTAAACCCCCAGCTTGGTTTAATGGGATTTTAACGTGGGAAGATTTTGAATTGGTAAACCCTCACAGAGCAAGATTTTTAAAAGAAATTAAAGACCTTGCAATAAAGAGACGTCTAATATTAAGCAACAAAGGACTTTCAGAAGATGAGAAAAATACTAAAATGCAGGAACTAATGATGAAGAACCCATCAAGATCGGGACCTTCTCTTAGCATAGAAGATTTAGGGTAAGGTATTACACTCACCCCCCTTTTGCTCATATATACATGTGGCCGCCTTGTGGAGTAATAAATTGACTTATGCATGTTTAGACATTTTGTTCCATACACTGAGAATTATTTTTTTTTAGTGCTTTATCCATATCGTTTCTACTGTGTTTTTTCAAATTTTGCAATTTTCAAATTTTGTGAGATGATTCCCACTTAAGAGCAAAGCAAACTGCCTTGTACAAACTCAGAACATTTCTCCATCTTGCTCAATATTATGCAAAGTGATTGATGGCAGCATTTCAGAGTTTCCCAACCCTTCCAGGAAATGCCAGGGATTGAATCTAGGCCCTCTTTCATGCAAAGCATGTCTTCTGCCACTATTGCTGTGTATCTACTAATTCCATCTCCTACCTTACAGGCTGAATTTCCAGTTTTGCCCTTCTTCCAGAGTATATGGCTTTACAGCAGTGGATCTTAAGCCTGGTGGTGAAGATGAGGTAGAGGAAAAATTCTTCATATGAGAGTTAAATATTACTTGATTCTTCTGTGATGTGATGTAAACATTATCTGTCCATTTACTTCGATTTCGTTACAGTTGGTTACTATGGATAATGCAGAGGAGTACGTGGATCTGATGTTTGACTTCTGCATGCATTCTGGCATACAGAAACAGATGGATGCTTTTAGAGGTATGTAATTGACTAGCATATATGGGCTGTTTAACCATTTAAAGGAAATATTTATCAGTTAAGGAATTTCAAACATAACATGGTTCTCAGCTCGTGCTTATGCTTTTTTACTTTTTGTTTCAAGATGGCTTCAACAGAGTCTTTCCAATGGAAAAGCTGAGTTCCTTCAGTCATGAAGAAGTGCAGATGATTCTTTGTGGAAATCAGTCACCGTCATGGGCAGCTGAAGATATAATCAACTACACAGAACCTAAACTTGGCTACACTCGAGACAGGTACTTCACCCAGTGGCAAGATATTCGCGCTACTTTCAGGACTTGGCAACAAGGAATTGTGGGGTGTTGACACTGAAAATGTGTGGCAGGTGCAGAAAATTCAATCTAGATAATTACACCTGACAGCTTCTAGGAGCCTCCGGTAAGAGCCGAGTGCAGGGTGGGGGACCAAAGCTGGACAGGCTACCCCAGAAGTAGCATGATGTGTCCCCCACCAGAGGTACTACTCCTCACCTAACACTCCATACACTCCTCTGGATATGAGTGCCTTGTTACTCAGTGGTGCTTCGCTTGAGCAGCACTTGCTATCCAAATGGGTGTCTACAGCTTTGCATATGCCACTGATCTCCCAGTGGGTGGCAGGCTTGCATACCCAGACACTTTTCCCACATTGATGTTTATGGCTGGATAGTTCTATCAAGTTATCTCTGAATGTTTCATTATTAAGCTGGCTAGAACAAGCAAGGTTTTTTTTTCTTCTTCACATGTACCAGGTCTCCTCCATAAGGTATGGAGAAGAAACATACCAAGTGTAAAACACAAGAGAAAAGGGAACTTTTGTCACTCCCTCACTGTAGCAATTCATTTGAAGGTGCTGTTTAATAGGTCCCTGCTTTTAAAAGTGTAATTTGTCTATTATGAAAAGAAAACAGAAAATACTTTTAGAAAATCACAGTAAATGGACTATTGTCAAACAACTTGGTTTGATGTGTTTGGTGCAGTAATAAAACAAAATCAGATTTTTATAGTTCACTGAACTGATGTCTACATGGGTACATCTCAATTGTGCAATCTGTCTTCCTTTGGGGGGCGGTGGGCAGGGGAAGGTAAATAAGATAAGGCTTAAAAGTACACGGCTAGGTATTGCTTCACAATGTTCTGAGCATTGGTCCACCTCATGCAGAGTATTGTACAATGTGGATTGTCCTAAACAGACTTGAAACTAGATGCTTGTATGCTGTTTTCATGATCTGTGTAGGTAATGAGGAGGAGACTGCTTTAGGAGTGAACACACAATAAGTAAATAAACTTTCATGCCAGCAAAGAGGAAGACAGGGAAATGCTATGTTTACATACTAACATTGTCACGTAATATTTGGGAAATATTTCTTTAATAATAATCTCCCCGCCCCCGAACAAAAATAAAGTATACCTACGACATATCTTTATCTTCAAATGCTAATGTTTGATAAGGTGATTTATTTAGGAATTTAATATATTAAAAGACAAGCATTAAAAGCCATTTGGTTATGTCAACCATTTGACACTTAGTTCATTATAGAGCAGTTGAGCAGCAGTAACAAACCATGGCCTTTGGTTTAGCATTTGTTTCAGTCCAGACAAACCACTTTTGGCTTCATATCATGGTTGGTTCGGAGCAAAAACCAGGTGCATGGTTTGTTGCTTGTGCTAGGGGAAGAGTGAAGTGGTAACCACTTAACTCTTAACTAGGGTGTACAGTGGTACCTTGGTTCCCAGACAGCTTAGTTGTCAAACAAATTGGCTCCTGAACACCGCAAACCCTGAAGTAAGTGTTCCCGTTTGTGAACGTTTTTGGAAGCCAAACGTCCAATGTGGCTCCCGACTGAGTGCAGGAAGCTCCTGCAGCCAGTTGGAAGCTGCGCCTTGGTTTTCAAACAGTTTTGGGATTCGAACGGACTCACGGAACGGATTAAGTTCGAGAACAAATGTACCGCTGTACTGTGATATGCAGATGCATGTTCATGCACTAGTTCAACACTGGTTTGATTATGCAACACATAATCAACACTGTAGGTATATTTAACATCCATTCTGTTTTGTGCTTTAGCCCTGGATTCCTGAGATTCGTTAGAGTTTTGTGTGGCATGTCTTCCGATGAAAGAAAAGCATTCCTGCAATTCACAACTGGCTGTTCAACACTTCCCCCAGGAGGCCTGGCTAATCTACATCCCCGTCTCACTGTTGTACGCAAGGTATGGCCATTTCTTAAAAGTTTTGACTATATATCTAAGCAAAGGTGTGTTAGATTTTTTTAATGAAGTCTTGTCTTTGAGATGGCTTGCACTCCACAAAGTGCCTGTCAGGCCTTTGGCAGAGGTCTTCATGGACCCTGTTAATGCAGGGGTCAGCAAACTTTTTCAGCAGGGGGCCAGTCCACTGTCCCTCAGACCTTGTGGGGGGGCTGGACCGATAGATAAATAGGTACCGTTCCAGCAGGAAGGTAAACGGCGTTTCCGTGCGCTGCTCTGGTTCGCCAGAAGCGGCTTAGTCATGTTGGCCACATGACCCGTAAACTGCGGACAAATGCCGGCCTATAGAGCGAGATGAGCGCACAACCCCAGAGTCGTCCGCGACTGGACCTTACGGTCAGGGGTACCTTTACCTTTAACAACACAGAATTGAAAAGGAAATGTGCGCTACATTCACTATTTTAAAAGTTGATTGTGGATTTTTATTCACAGGTTGATGCTACGGATGCAAGTTACCCATCTGTGAATACATGTGTGCACTACCTTAAGTTGCCTGAGTATTCTTCTGAAGAGATTATGCGAGAGCGCCTGCTAGCTGCTACCATGGAGAAAGGCTTTCATCTCAACTGAGCTGATGAATAGGACACAGGATATGACAAACTGGTTTTGCATTGATAACTAGTGAAGCCTCTTGTGTTGTATGTGCAGAAAATACAATCTCCACGCTGTGCTCTACTGAGACTTGCCTTTCCCCCACCCCATCCATGAGGCTTTGGAAACACATGGAAAAATTGTTAGCTGCTAATGAAACAAATCCCAATGAATTACACAGCCAGCAAGAAAAAGGCAAGAACACTGTGTGATGCTTCCAAGGGCTTGTGCAACCAGAAGCTGAAGCAAATGTTTGACTGTTCCAAAGAGCAGATCTGCCGATTTTCAGTGTTCACTGATACAAGATTTATAACAGTGTATTTGTGTAAAGTTTAGTGTTTAATACCCTGTACACTACAGTTGCCATCACTGATCCCTGTTTTGCTGGCTTTAAGCTAACTGGTCAGAAATCTGCTTCCATAAAACTTAGTCATTGGGCATCTCAAGCTTTCTTTCCTTCCTTTCCTTCCTTTCATGGTGCCTGCACTATAGGAGTATGCTAGTGTTGGGGGGGGTGTTTGCGTATAATCATGCACAACCTTTTATTATTATTTCAAGTGGGAATACATTTTGATTTCTAAATGCCCTGCTATAAAGATTAAATCCTTGTATGTGTGTGTGTGTGTGTGCGTGCAGCTCAACAATAAAGCTTTTAAAAGACACTGATCCCTGGTGCAAGGCCCACTTTAAAGCAAGTTTTACTTTTGGTTGTATTTTCTTTGTATATTAAAAACATTTATTTAACTTGTTGCAGTTTGAAGTTTAAAAAAAGATTTCCAATGTGTATGCTCAACATTAATCATTAAAAAGTTTGCAGCGTATGAAACCGCTTACTAGTTCTTCTGTTATGTTGGTATGCAGAATAGTGCCTTGAATTCTAATGCTTTATTTCTTCAAATAAAAATACTTGGTCTTGTACTACACAGTTCTGTTTCCAAACCTCCTCTAAAAGTACAAAAAGGGCTCCAAATATCAGTGGTTTTTTAAAAATCAGGTCAGTTGTATAGCAGGTGGCTGTTATGCATTATGTCCCATGAGCCAGTTGCTTTGCCCTACAAAGTATTACATTTACAGTTCCTTGCAGCTTTGCCAGGTGAATTTTAGCATTAGTTATTAAACTCCAGACCAGTTCTTTAAATTGCATTTGCTGATTTATTTAGAAGCAATCCATGCAAAACCATTTCTGATTCAAGGTAGTTTTGTATCTGGTAGTTTTTGGTATTTCTTCTTAGACAAGGCATTCTGCACACTTGCAGAGTTAAATGTCCCCCTTCTTCCTGTGGCCCATAATGTTTGCTTGAAGCCACTCCTGAGAGTCATAGATCCTTCATAGTTGTAAGCTTGCATTGTTACTAGCACAGCAAATAGTCAGGTGGTTTTAAAACTTGCTAGCCTGACTGGCCTATTGACCACAGCAATATTTTAAATAAAGGATAACTCCTGGTGTGTGTTAATTTGAAAGAACCTATCTTGCAAATATGGTAATTCTTCACTAGTAAATGTACTTGGATTTTTCTTATATAACTAAAATGGAATGATAGTCTTTTACAGTGAAGATTAGTTTTGCACATAATTTAGCTGTAGAATCTAACATTATTGAAAAACATCAGCAACTCATATCTTTGCAATATCAGGCCTTATATCCTTGTATAACCAGTGTCAAGTTCACAGTGTTTTGATACTTCGCTGGCACAAGAGTGCTTATATCATAGAATCAGAGAATTGGAGTAGGGAGGGATACCGAGGGTAATCTAGTCCAATTCCCTACAATGCAGGAATACCCCAATGAAAACATTGCTTTCTTGACAAACTTATATAATACATTTACCATTATTATCAAAACCTGAATGCATTATATGACACATACAGACATATTTTGGTTAACCTTGATGATGAAATTATATTCTTTTCTATAGAACTGATGCACCATTATGCTGAGATAAATTACTCTCAATAGCACCAACTGCTTAATCTCCAGGTGCTTTTAGTTCACCAGAGGAATGCACTCTTTCTTAACATTCACAACAAGCCGATTTCAATCACTGCTAGTTCAGCACTTTAGCAATCAAGCTGTAAATCCACTATACAAAAATGGGTTGTCAGCAAACAAAGGCAGCTATTTAAACTGAATGCAGGGAAGGGCCCTTATTGGAGGTTAGAATAATTAATATTCCAGAATACAGTCATTTCCCCAAGTGCTTATAATGCCTAATTTGTTGCATTACTGCTGGTAAGATTTTGTTTTCGGAACTGACCTATTAGGTTATTTAATAATCCACTCTTAGGTGTGTTGAATTATCCTGTAATTTTTATGTGTCTCTGTAGAATTGCCAAGAGTCAATCAAGAGATGCATCTTCATAATAAGCCATGAAAAGATGCCTCTCTTCTTCTCCACACTCTTTATAAGAGTTGCACAGAGTGAGCAGTTGGATGACAGGAGCAGCAGCTACACTGGCTCTAACTACTTCAAGCCCCTTTAAAGTACAGGGATAGTTTTTGAGTTGATACCCAAAAAGCCAATTATCATGTAGGTTATCTTAAAGGTAAGTCATGGTAGCACTTCTTGGGCTTGTGTGCCTTCCCCTAAAGGTAAAGGTAAAGGGACCCCTGACTGTTCAGTCCAGTCGCAGATGACTCTGGGGTTGTGGCGCTCATCTCGCTTTACTGGCCGAGGGAGCCAGCGTTTGTCCGCAGACAGCTTCTGGGTCATGTGGCCTATAGCTTCTGTCTCTCTCCAAGGATGGTGGAGAAGAAAACCTGGGTGTGATCATTAGTTCCTTTTCCCACTCTGGTCTTGCATTTGGGGGATGTTTTCCCCTTAGTACCCCAGACTACATTAACAGGTGAAAGCATCAGGGAGATGCAGGCAGTTGTCTGCTAAGTTGGACCTATTCAAGTAGGTGGTTTCCCAGCAGGCTTTTGATCAAAAGCATCAAAACTCTTCAACTTAATCAGGGGGACAAAGAGAATTTGCTTACAGCTCTTGAGCTAGTGGATGAAACAGGATCAGTAGCCTATTTTTCAGAAGTGTTTGATTACATGATGAGATAGGATGGCGCCTTCTCAAAGGCAGAGTACATGGAGGACCCTAGTAAAATGTTTATATACTTTCCATGGTACTCTGAACGTGTTACAAGTTCACTTTCTACATGCCCTGGTCATGGTGCTTTCAAAGATTTTATCCCCAGAGGTTGGCCTCAAGAAGCCAACAGATAGAAGATAACATTCACTGTGTTTTGCCCTTGCTATTCAAGCTTCCTCGAGAGCCTCAATATGCTCTAGGGGAGCTATCTTGTCAGCTAAGTAGCTCAAAGCTCTGTATCCCCTGACAACAACCATTACACCCAATCTACATAAAATACTTCCCTGCAGATATATCTTGAAACTTTGTTTTAGTTTTCTTCAAAAGGTTTTTACATCCACATACAATCTGGAACCCTCTATGGAGGTGAAAAGTTTATGGTTAGACCAAACTTAAGGAAACAGTCCCTGAAGGTGCTAAATCATCTATCTGATCATCACCTCTCTTCTTGCCAATCTTTTCATCTTCAGTCTCAGTTCAATCCCTCCTGGCCCAGGTACAAGTTTCCCTTCCAGGGAGGTCATGATAGAGATCTGATATCTGAAGATAACCTATTGAGGGTGCCCCCCCCCAATTTGGAATTAGGGGAGGAATCACACAAGTTCAATGAACAATAGAGCCTTTTCACCAAAGTCAAATGGAGATTTACAAAGGGTGTTAACTCTTAAAGACTAATACATTTATTAAGGTATAAGGTTTTGTGGTCGAGGGTCTACTTTCAGATACAATGGATGCTAGACCTCTGCAATTTAGGCAAACATGGTTGCTTTTGCATGTAGTCAAAGCACACCTGTCTATTTTTTTTAGCATTTCCCAGCCTGCCTTATTAATTTTGTTTGATAAAAAGAGAGACACAGGTATATTATTAAAGAGTCTATTTATTTCACCAGCTGGATTACAGGCTACACAATGAGAATATTTTGTTATCTTAAAAACTTAAAGCAGTAACTATGCTAATTAACCTTTCACAGGTAGATAGTAAAGGTGTGGCACCTGCTTCCTTCAGTTGTCTTTTAGCATGAAAAGGTTCAGTTCAGCCCATTTGGAATGTTGCAAGACTAGCCTTTGAATCCTCAGAGTTCATTGTTCCTTCTTTCTGTTTTGAAGAATTCCGTGCGAACACACCCTTCACTGGCATAGTCTTCCTAGCTTTCAGCCATTTTGTCAAGAACAAGAAGAGGTGCGAGAATTCTGGTCTTATTGGTTTCTACAATGCAACCATTTAATACCATTTCATCCAAAATTATGTGCACTCTGTCCAATTTGAACATGATCTGTGTACATATAAAGTTAAGGAATTTATTTTGGAATAAGCAAGACTAAACTGAAAAATGCCAGAACTCAAATTTGTTTTTTTATCTAAGTGCTTAACAGATGAACTTTCTAATGAGTTTTTCGGTAACTGCAAAAATTATAACATTGTAACTCCAGTTTCACAACCAACTATACAGTTATTGTGTATAATAGTATGTAAATTAAAAGAGCTGTAGAAAAGAGAAACAGCAGAAGTAGCAAATGATGTTGGTTAACACCAATCTTATTCTAACAGCTATCAGCCTATTGTGACTTGCATTAAGAGAGCCAATCCAGAATAATTGTGTAAAGTTTCACTGAAAAGCTTGATTTTCAAATTAATTTTCAAAATGCTTCAATATGTTTAGCAATTGCTTAGCAAAGTGACCATTCAGAACACAAGGGAAATAATGGTTAACAAATTCTGCTAGGGCAAATCAGTGACAAGAAATCAGTATCATGCTTCCCCAAAATGTTCCTGGGAATTGTAGTCTGAGGGGAGTCACCCTGGACAGAGATCCCTAGTCCCCTATTTTCCCCATAGAAATACAATTATATGTGTAAATGAGGTGGAATCAGTGCTGAAAAGACATTCTTCCTCTGCTTAAGTGCTCAAATGAAAAAATTGTGTATCCAGCTTTCAGTCCCTCACTGTTCCAGACATGCCTTAACTTGCAAACAGCTGTACTGAGAAAACATCACAATTGCTTGAAAAAACCCTTCCTATCTTTCGTTTGACCTGCTGAAGGTGTCTTCTTTACTGTATTAAAGTATTTACCGCATATGGTGGAAATACGGGTGCACTGAGATGTAAGAATTCATACCAGCCTTTCCCAACCTGGTGCCCGCCAGATCTTTTCGACTAGATCTTTGGGACTACAACTCCCATCAGCCCCAGCCAGAACAGCTGTGTAATCTGAAATTTAAAAGAGGTCCACAGAGATCTAACATTTCAGTACTACTAACTTAGCCAGCAAACAGCTAGAACACGTTCTGTATTAATCGCAGCACTCCCCACCTGAAAACAAAACGAAGCCCCTGTACAAAGAGTAAAGAATCTCAACATTTGCTTCCTTGGTTCAGGATCTGATGAGACATGCATTCCATCTTACTGTCAAGTGTTTTTAAAATGTTTCTACAGAGATAACTGGAGGTTGGTATTATGACTGGAAGCCCAAAGAGGCTTCTTTTCTCCCCCAGTGAGATATGAGCTGCCCCACCCTGTTGGGCAGCATTCCACAACTAGCTACTCTTCATTCCACCAACAAGTACTTCATCTGCTATTGGGAATCAAGTGACTGCAGCTCATAGTCCGTCCCTCCCCACTCAGGCTGTTCCTTCCTCATCTCCCCGAGCTGCTCTTCCCAAAGGTGCAGGGCAAGTTGCTTGGCTCTTTTAGGCACGCTGGGTCCTCTTGCAAAAGCCTTGCAGCTAAACGATGCCACTCCTTTGCAGACAGCATCGGTCCAACGCCCAACCCTCACTTAAACATGAATCAGAATCTAAAGGGCTTGCTTATCTTTTTAAATGAAATTTTACCAAAAGCTTCAGAGAGTAAACCAGGAATTTTCACATCAGGATTATACTGCAGTATTATATTGAAAGAATATTAATTGGCTATACGCTGGGAGATAAACTAGTGACAAACCTGTACAGTACTGTTTGCTAATCTTTTGGGGAATCCAATATAATAAATATGACTACTTCCTTTTTAAAGATGGGAACCTTAGGCTGCAATGCTCAGTTGGGCTAAACTGAGCGGCAGAGCCACTACCATATCTGAAGCCCACATGCTTGCCCTGGCCAGAGTGGAAGGTGGTAATTTGAGCATTTCAGCTGCACTAGCTCCAGTTGAGAGGCCCAGATCAGGTCCACTGCTAGTAGCTTAGTTGGCCTAACTCCACCCTTGAGATTTTAAATCTCAGTGATCTAAGGTTAAGATATATCCCTAAACCTGTAACTGTATATTAATTAATTAACTAACACCGCTGTCCCATTCATTCTCCAAAGAGCGCAGGTCACTATATATTATCTTACCCCTTCCCATTTTATCCTTACAACAATCCAGTGAGGTAGGTTAGGTTGAAAGAGAGGGAGTGGCTCAGGGCCACCCAGCAAACTTTATGCTGAACATGGACTTCAACATGCATCTTCCTTGGTAACTACGGCTGGTCACTAAAAATTTTGTGTATTTACCATTGAAGGAACAGGCTGTAACTTATACATGGTTAAAAAACAATGAAAGACACAGGATTGCATAAAATGGGTGCTATACATATAGGGGTGCTTGCTTGTTAATATCTGTTCTAAATTGCTATGTTCAATCTGGAACTTCATGGTACTGGGAGTGAACTATATTATGTGAAGGTACTATGGAATATTTGAGGGCTCCACCTTCTTTCTCTCACACACATAAGGCAACTGAGGAATGGAAGAGAGAAAAGTTTGAGTTCACCAAGAAGAGAGAAGAATGTGGGGGTGGGTTGAAACAATGTTTGAGCATGCCGAGAAGGCCATTAGAAAAGACTCCGTTTCATTACCTTCTATGTTGCACCCATTTCTCCTGGTTAAAACTGGGGGGAGGGGGAACCCTGTTTGGGAAGCTTTTGATGTTTAACAGACCACTGTATTTTAATATTTTGTTTGAAGCCGCCCAGAGTGGCTGGGGAAACCTGGCCAGATGGCTGGGGTATAAATAATAAATTATTATTATTAATTATTATTGTTGTTGTTGTTTTTTAAACCCTCAGTGTTGTTTATCCATCCCTGCTACATTCAAACCTCTGCCATTTTTGGAAACTGCCATTTCCCTCTCAGTGTTTCTCCGTCCTTGCTTTACTCAAACTTTTGTCATTGTTTTAAAACATTTTCCCTTCTCAGTGCAGAAACTGTCACACATAGCGAGACCCTTCTTCCCCGTTCACCAAGGCCTCCGCTTAACCTCCCAAAGTCATTTCCATTCTTTTTCTTCCTGCCCCTCCTCCTTCCTCCCCACACTCACGGCTTTTATAACCTTAGGAAATAGGCAACGAATACAGCACAGTGGTGAACTTGTGCAAATATAGTATAGACAGAAGAGAAATTGCAAAATTGCTATAATTTTAGTAAAACTACCCTACATCTCACCATAGAAGGGAAGACTGTGACCAGGTGACTGTCTCTGCTGCCCTATTGCTCAATGTTTATGACCAACTTCAAAGCCTCCACGTTTCCTTCTTAAGGTTATTTATGTTTAAACAAAATTCTGAACTGCTCTTCAAATAGAGGGCAAGGGGCTAATAAAGGTAGGCCGTATGAACATGCTTTGAAATATATTTTATTCAAACACAAGGCCGAAATATAATTTGGCGATATAGCTACTTACCACTGATGATTTCTATACCCAGTATTTTCTCAAGTTTCATAGAGCCAGATGTGTCACCCCAAGACAAAACAGTTTTTGGCTCAGTGACTGGCATAGCTATTTCAGTCACTAAATATATTTGCTTCCATTAGCATATGCCTCAAAAATACCTGTGTTTTATTAGAAGTATTGTGCATTGATGTGATTTAATGCCTGGGCATTAAGTTGGTTCTGGCAAATATTTTCTTACCAAAGCTTTTGGCCTTTAAGTGTTGACAGACCGCAACTGAAAAGTGGCAAGTCTTTAGCTCAAAGGTGAGGAAACTGTCCTGCAGTAGGGCCCCCACCCCCCAAGATTGATGGCAAAACCAGTGATGCTACTGCTATGAGATCTTAGGTCTCAGCACATATAAATGAGTGCTCTGACCTCCAGGATTGGTGGCACATGTGAGGGAAAGGTACCTTTGAGGAGAGGGCTTTCCTCAACACCTCAACAGTGGGATAGAATGAGAGGTTCCTCAGACTGAGCAGAAGAGAGACAGAGGCTTTCCTCCCCATCACAACATTCAGCTGGGAGAAGTTCCCTTCCTCCCAGGCCATCACAGTGATGGGAAGGGAAAATGCCATCTCTGATTTTAAGAAAGTGATATCTGAATAGCAAAGAGTGTGGTTTTCCTTCCTAGCCTACTGCTGGGCTTGGAAGAGAGGAACCTCTCCTCCAGCTTAGCATGATGTTGATCTGCAGTAAAGAGGTCGTTGTGCTCATTGGGATGGAGAGGAGATTAGAGGGAGGCTGTGGTGGGGTAGTCAGGGTGTCAGTGGCCCTGCAAGACTGCCAACCCAGGGCTCCGCTAACCTTGCCACTGTCACTGTGGGAATGCCACAGACTACATCTCCCTGCACGAGGCATCACTATTGGACTTTATTTTCTTTAGGTAATGTTGTGAAGTTTGCGTGTCACCCCTGGTCTCTGCCTAGCAGTAGCAATATTCCAGGGGGTTCCAGGCACTTACCCAGGGTTCTGTTTCTGTTGGGAAAATCAAAGCACAATGGAAGCTAGTGTCTTTACGATATAAGGTTTATTGTACACCTGCTTACATCTTCAATGGAGGGAGTGCCTGTGTGTTAGCTAAATTCAGTAACATCTCCTGAAAATGGATATGCTCTTCTTAAATGCTTTTATGTATGTAATGCACAGCACCAACCTATGTTTATTTACTTAGATGTCAGTCAAGCTGTGCTCAAAGAGCCATACTTACAAGTACATGTGCATGGGAGTGCAACCTAGGCAGCAATTCATGCTTTTAGGAGCAGGTCATCTATGTCTTACCTTCATGTGAAAACCTGTGCTCTTGTTCCTTACACAGAAATACAGGCATTAAAAAATAAAGTACTCCCACTCCAGATCCGTTTTGCCACACAAAACTTGATGTGATAACTTTCAACTGTTGCTTTTGTAATCTTTTTAAATGACTCATCTCTCCCAGATATCAGCACCTACTGCAGTTGTTTTAAAGAGCTTAATACAATTCCACCCACTTCTCCATGCACATAACTGGGACTTGTCAAATACACCAGCATGCTAAGTAGCAAAACTTGAGATTTTAATTTATGGGGGTGGGGGTGGTGAGGAAATGCTTAAATTCTGGCTATTTCCACAAAGATGTATTTTTTATTTTATTTTGCTGTATTGCAGTTACAATACTGAAAACATTTTGCTTCATGTGTACTCTTAATTAAGAGGATACTAATAAGCTTCCTCTTTAAGTGGAATCCTGACTCAAATGTAATGGAGCCTCCCTTTCATTGCAAAATTTCCTTCCCTAAGATTAGATTAAGAGTCCCATTCTCTACCGACTGAGCTAATCATACAATTATTTAGCATGCAATTAGGAGAGTGTTTGTAATGTCACCCTTTAATTGTCTTACTTCCATCAACACAGGTGTTGTTGTTGTTGGTTTCTCAGGACCATCCACTTCTGATGCTACCCTCACTGCTCTCCAATCCAAAAAGGGTAGAAGTGGGAGAATCTGGGTTGGGAAACTGCCAAATCCTGAGCCCTGCTGATCTCATGCTGATGATGGTAGAAGGTGTCAGGACAGCTACAGGGAAACATAGTGTACCATTTCTGGGGTTGGCATATTTTTCACCCAGGGGTATGTTACGGGATTCAAGTCTCACCTGGAATGTCCCCTTTTGTCTTCCCCAAATATTAGACGTACCGTATTTTTCATCCTATAGGGCGCACCGGCCCATAGGATGCACCTCATTTTGGGGGGGGGGGAATGAATAAAAAAAAATTATTCCCCCCCCTCCGGAGGGCTCCCCGTGCTTCGGGCTGCAGGCTACCGCCCCAAGCCTCGCGTGCCCGGCGGGACCTCCCGCCGGGTGTGCGAGGCTTGCGCACACCCACCCGAAGCATGGGGCGCCCTCCGGAGGGCGCCCCATGCTTCGGGCTGCAGGCTGCTGCCCGCAAGCCTTGTGAGCCCGCGGGAACTCCCGCCGGGCTTGCAAGGCTTGCAGATAGCTTCCTGAAGCCTGGAGAGCGAGAGGGGTGGGTGCCTGCATTCGCCTTCATTTTTGGAGGGGAAAAAGTGCGTCCTATGGGGCGAAAAATACGGTAGTTCCATTTCCCTTAAATAAGGCCAGATCATGGGGGACACACCCACCCATAACGCCTCCAGTAGCATTGAAAGTATGACAGAAGATAACTCTCATAAGAAGAAAAACCTGTCCCATCAGGCATGAGAGAAAAAACTGAGGGAAATGCGCCTGCCTCTCAGAGTTCTTTGCTTTCCTGCCTCCGTCACATGGAGAGAGATGTTACCCAACCCATTTGGGTCATCAGCAACCATCTCAAATCCTCTCCCACTACATTATGCCAGCAGAATCAATGAATGGATCTGATACTAAACACTGTGCTCAGCTCAGGCAGGTTCGTGCAGAAGGAGATGGTCATTCAGTTGAACATTAACAGCTGTAATGAGCAAGCAGACTGCATTAATCTGCATCCCTAGTATTCTCCTGTATCTATTCACCCCATGTGCTGAAATCTCCATTTGAGACTTTTGTCCAGATGCCTGTGCCATTGAAAAGCAGGTAGCAATCAGAGAAAGAGAGAGAGAGAGAGATCCCTTTCAATGGTAGCAGTAAATGCTCGGAGCTCGGTTCCTTTGAGGACAGAGCTCTTCCTTTGCCCAGCAACAGATTCTATCACAGCTACTGTGTTCATGCACTGAAATCTATTAACGTTATGCATGCAGCAAGTAGAGCAAGGGGAAATTTCCTACCTTTAGACAAAATGTCTCCATTTCCCAGCATCCACTATCATATCACCACCCATATCATCAGCCTTTTAACAACTTACCTCCACACTGTCACTATTCACATACTATTCACATACTTCAAACTATCCATCCATATAGCTCAGTCACCTCAGCTGAACACAGTTTAATCCAATCATGGCAACATTTTGATTCCTACGAATGCCACGCAGCCCGGCAGACGCAGGAAGGAGCAGGAACATAGAGAAAACTGAAAGGATACATCCAATTCACTCTAAAAAAAGAAGAGGAAAAGGGACATTTCAGCAAGAGCAAAGAACTGATGTTGTTCCATTTCTGACTACTGTACATTATTATTAGTGTTTTTAAAGTTTATTTGTATATTGGTTTTTGGACCAAGGGATTATCATGGAGCTTGTAAATATTCACTCATCCTTTGCAGCCATTTTCAGTACAATCTTTTTATTGTAAAGCAGAGTTAAGGGACTATAACTCCCATCATCCTCGGCCATTGGTAGGGCTGCCATGCATCCAGAATTTCCTGGACATAGGCAGGATTCGGCCATTGGAAACAGTGTCTGGACAGAAATCACTGTAATGTCCAGGAAGATCCGGACATATGGCAACCCACACAACTTTTGTGTCTGAATTTTCACTTTCTGAAATATGGCAACCCTACCTTTGGGCATCCTTGGCTGGGTCTGATGGGAGTTGGGGGTCTAACAACGTCTGGAGGGTCACAGTTTCCCCACACGGTAAGCAAAACCTATTGCATACAGTCATCTACTAGTTGTTCATGCTTTGGATGAGGCAAAGATGCACAGCCCTAAACTATGGGAAATCCTACTGAGCAGCCCTCTTTTGAGTGGGAGCTTCCACCAGATGCTGGTCTCACTTTTAAAGCTACCTTTTGCAGGTATAAAGATTGATTGTTTTCGGGGAAAGTGGGCAGCTGAACTGTTTTGCACTTCTGCCAAATTGCTGGAAGACACATAAGTCCTGGCTGTGTGTCAGTCATCACATTTCTGCTGGTGTGTTATGAGGCGATCCAGTGTTAAAAATAGCCATGGCATTCCTCCTTGAACGTGTATCTTTCTGCATGTCGGGCATCATAATACACATACACGTGCATCTGCATTTTATGATCAAGGCACTGGCTCTGCTTTTTATATAGAGTTATATAGTTTATATAGGTATTTCTTTTCCTGACAGTGTTTGTATGGTTTTGTCATGGCCTTTGGCTAGTACAATAAAGCTTATTTTGTTTTTTGACCATAATGCACACAGTGAAAGCCCCAACATGCGTATGTGAAGCTGCCACCCATTTAAGAAAGCACATTTCCTAAAAATCTGCCTGCCTTATTCTAAGCACTGCCTCCTAATACCAGTTTTGTCTGAATTGTGATTATAACACAATCAACAGATGCAGCTATATCTCTATTTCTGAATGATCATCTATTGGCTGAAAGACAGAGTCTAATGTACAATTTGCACCACCCCATGGAGACTGGCCTTGCTCGAAGCTGCTGGCTTGTTCACTCTAAAAGGGTTGAAAAGTGTGGTACATCGTATCATGCATGTTTCTATTTTAATTGCTTGTAGCACAGAGAACAAGTAAATGATATAACAAATTGAACTGTTAATTCCCAAGAGATGAGCTAGTGAAAGTAAAATTAACATATAATATCTGCAGAATTCTGGCAGTATCTCAAGCTAGGATGATAATGGAGGAGGAAAGAACAAACTGTGGGAAAGAAAAGAACATCTGTCCTTTACTAGAGAGATGATTTGTCATCTCAGTATTTTTAGATTTGTGAGTTTCAAAGATTCTTTCAAAGTGCTATATTTATCTAATGACATAGGCAGAGCTTACATTCAGATGTTGGACCTCTCCTGGTGTCCCAATAGAAACATCCAAAAGTTGGGAGCAAGTTATCAAAGCTCTCTTTTAGCTTTTGCTCAATTTCTCCTCAATTTCCAAGGCAGCTACAAAGCTATAATTCTATACATGTGGAATAATACAGACTTGAGCCACCTGTGTACTTGCTTAATACCCAATGACTTAAATGTTGATGTCTTTTGATAAAAATAAATCCAAAGGTCAAATATCTGCACTCTATCATGGTGCAAATGTTTCAGACTAATAGGTCTATGATATAATAAATCATATGAAAGCTTTCTAAAAAAAGAGAAGAGTTTGTATTTGGTTCAATATCATACTTACCACTCTACTGAAATACTTGTCCAAAACCTCCACAAAATTATGAATGAGTTCATAGACAGCCATTTCATTCTGAAAATCAGTTGGAACATCAGAGAAACCAGTGATCTGTTAACTTTTCTACATTACTTATAAAGCTCACAGTTGTGATTTTTGTTTTAAGTTTTAGGAAACAAAACGAATAGTCTGATCCTTAGACCTTAACATTCACTGCACCAGAAGTATTAATTCAAAAGAGTGTACCAGGGCAGCATTACAAACAATAACACACTGAATTTCACATCAGGTTTAATTGCATGCAGACCATGCCAATGCTGATGTTTGTGCTCAGAATGGCCTGGAACCCATGATTGGCAGGGGGCACTGCTTCGTGTCCTGCAGGCAGGCATGGCTGGCTGTGTGGTGACACAGGACAGGGCTTCCTCTGTAGTAGCACCTGTATTATGGAACTCTTTCCCTGGCACAATGGATGGTGGCATCCTAGCTGGGATTTTACTGTCAAGTTAAAACATACTTGATGTTCTGGGCTTTTGGAAGAAGCCAGGAGAGACTGACAAAGACCTCAGGCTTATTTTATGCTGCTATGTTTTATTGATGATTGATATTATTGATTGTTGTGTTTCACTGTCATTTTATGTCGTATGATGATGTTTTATATTGTGCTTGAAAACTGTCCTTTGATCACTGTTATGTGTTGAAAGGCAGTCCAGAAAGGTTGTAAATACATACATGAATAAAACAATTTCTCAAGGGTGCTTCCTTTGTAAACAGGTCACTGAGATATCGCTAGTGGGTTGTGAGCAACAGGGGTTTTTTTTTTAGCTTATCAGATTTTCCCTCAAAATAATAAATTCATATTACATGAGAAAAAAATACAGCCTGGCTTTTTGATGATGACCTTGTATGGGTGCTGTAAAAGGTTTGCTTGCATGTGGTGTACCAATCCAACGATAAACACCCACCTGGAAGCACCCTGGTCTCTTGTCAAGTCTCTACTTGCAGTGTCTTGCTTACAAAAGCTCATGACACCCTGCTTGTCTTTGAGGTGCCAAGCTTGGCTCAGGCATTGGGAGTTATCCCTCCCCAGTCCCCAGCCGGGGATCTAGGGAACATCAGGGTTATCCAGTGTGTGGGGGGGGATGGGCCGGCTCTGGAGAACATATGTTCAAGCAGAGATAGCCGCCCCCGTTACGCCGCCGTCGCAGGGGAGAGCAATGACTTCCTCTCGGCGTACGGTCAAAGCCTCCCCTCAGAAACCCCTTTAATGGGGAACCCTGGTATCGCCAGTTCTTGGTTTTGCTAAAAGGGACTATGCTGCATTTCCTTCATCTCTTATGATGCAACTACATTGTGGGAGAGCTAGATATTGCAGAGTGAAGGACACAATATAAGGAACTGGATCACATATGGAAACCAGGAAGAAACTGAAGCAATGGGCATATATCAAGTTCAGTATTTGTCTTTAGTTCATAGATCAATATTTGTTTTTTCTTTACATAGTTAAGAAATAAACACATACCTCGGTTTCATTAATTCCGACCACTATGAAAAGAGCAGCATATTGCCTGTACACCAGCTTAAAATCTTTGTATTCAATAAAGGAACACTAAAAAAGACATAGATAAAATTTGATGGATGACACATTTTTGTAGATATTTATCTGCTTATTGTAGATTTCATCTGGACAGTTTTTTAGTTTATACAGGCTAAGTAAGTTATTAAAGGGCAGAACAATCAATGCCAATATTGTTTTTATTTACCAGTTCTAAAAATGCCCTGTTTACATATAAAACAAGGATGGGTGGAGGTTTGTTCTCTACTTGTAAAAACAGCCCACTGGCATTTGTTTTGTGTGTAACAAAACCAGCCCCCCCGCCTACGTTGTTGCACTCCGTTGCCTTAAGCAGTTTCTCCCAGCCCAGGTCTTTCATTGGAGCTCAACTGAGAGAAAACTGCTTAAAACAAAGAAGAGCCAGTAAAGTTGTGCTCCCCTTACTTAATGTCATCTGTTCCTCACATGCTTTCCCACCCCTTGTTTTTAAGTAAACAACATATCGCTCACACACCACTATCACATCTAGCTTGATCCTTCAAAGAACCTGAGCTGACTCAAAGTCAGTGTCATAGCCTTTGCTAGGATCCTGAAACTATCCTGGTGCCTAGAGTACAGTGGTACCTCATGTTACGTACTTCATCCGTTCTGGAGGTCCGCTCATAACCAGAAATCGCTTGTAACATGAGACACGCTTTTGCTAATGGCGCCTCCCGCTGCTGCCGCGCTGCCGGAGCATGACTTCCGCTTGCATGCCGGGGCAAAGTTCACAACAAGGGGCATCTACCTCCGGGTTAGCAGAACGGTAAGGGGGACGGTACGTAACACGAGGTACCACTGTACACACACCCAAAGTCTTCCACTGTCTTGCTGAAATGAAAAGGGTTTAAAGATTATTTTGTTTCTGTTACCTTAGCAACAATTTGCAGATGAAGGAAGGATTGGCTAACAATAAAAAAGATGGTTTTCTTGACAGAGCACATATCTCTATATGGAGTGGACCTATATGAATTAACATATTAGAGCATTTATTGGCAGTGCTATTTTTCTAGGGAAAGAGGTGCTGGAACTCACCATAAACATCTCTCGTTTTCTTAGAATGGCAATGGTGCCCACCTGAGAGGTGCCAAGACTGAGTTCCTATGAGTTCCCCCTGAAAAAGGGCCCCCAGATGTTGTTAGACTACAACTCCCATTGTCCCTAGCCAGCAGGGGCAGTGGTGAGGGATGGGAGTTGTAGTTCAAAAACATCAGGAGGTCCAAAGTTGGGAGCCACCATATTAGGGGTGAACTGAAGAAATCATCATACTATATATATGGGCACAAATAGCACCTAACATGCAGCAGTCAAGAGTTAATTTTTAAACAACATAAATTGGTGGGAGAGTGCCATTTAAAAAGCAAAGGGGTTGTACAGGCAAGGGATGCTGAACCATCTGCACCGCTGCCCCATTCCATCATCCTGAGGTTATCCCCCCCACCCCTCAGCTAAGCTCTTATGTTGGAAGTTGGGACAAAAGTGGCTGTGGGGAAGAGCAGAGATTAGGTGGAGATTCCAACATCTTGTGTGCACACACCTTTTGCATGCCAAATCCCATTCAAATACACACACTTGTGCTATACACAGAATGTACCCCTGCTGTGAACTTGGGGAAGGCTCAAGTTCAAAGTCACAGGTCTGCCCCAGTCAGATTGTTTGACCCTAAAATGTCTACATAAAAAGACATACTTGCTCCTTTGAACGGGAAAGGCAATGCTTGATTACTTCAGCTTCTAGTATCGTCCGTTTATGAAGGTCCATGTATTCATAATATCGAGAGAGTCTTGTTTGCCCTTGCTTGTTCACCATAAGAAAAAACTTGATCATGATTCGTTGTCTGCTCTTTCAAGGCTAGATGGTCAAACTGAAATTGAGATTAAATAAAACTGTAAGGAAATTAACAGCTTCATCTTTTGAATTGGCACTGGGTTAAGGACAACCTTTTCTAGGCTATGACTGTGGGTTCAGGTGAACGAGGCTTCTAAAGCCACATAAAACATTCCAGCCAGCTGCCTGAAGGTGATCCCATGCTGGGATCCCATGCTGGGATGAAGCTTTAGATGTGCCCCCCTCAACATTTGCTACAAAATGCTTTACTAGCATATAAAGTATAAGCAGACATTTCCCAGAACGAAACCCCTCCCACTCTGCAAATTCCAGCAAGGAGATATGTTTAGCAGGCATGTGGGAGGAAATGCATAGCTAGTTACTGTGGAAAAATAGTGTTCTGCAGAAAATTGAAAAGCTAGAAATTAGAACTGTGGGCATTTGCCCCCCTCCTTCTGCATTAATGTGCCAACCACCAAAAGTTGGGGAGGGGAGAGCGAGGGTGCATTTATTCTGAAGCCTATTATAATGGCAAATTATAGTATCGGGCTATTTTTATAATATATTGCCATTAATTCTAGATGTGTTCTTCAGCATTTCTTAACCCCAAGCATATAAAGCTCATAAAGATAAAAGGCAGAAATTGGTAATACCCTATCATAATTGCCTAGGGCATTGCTCTTTGTTCAGTATCTAACTCACATGGTCTAATCCTCACTCAGTGATTAATTTCACTATGTGGTTTTGGGAAAATCACTCTATCTCAGCCTAACCTGCCTCACAGAGTGACGACCCCCCCTTACCCTTACCTGGGTGGAGGAGTTAACAAGCAACTTTTAAAAAGTGAATTGGCTTTTCGCCAATTCCAGACTACACTGGAACCTAGTGTGATCCATGCCATCAGCCAAGGTTTGCAAAAATACCTTTATAAAGGCTGAAATTAGCCAAGCACAGAACTACTCCAGGGTCACTTTCATGACCCACTTATGAAATAATCATGAGGCATTATTCTGTTAATTTTGCAGAGTAAATTTCATAATCTACCTACCACCCGGACACTATCATGCTATGTTTTAACATGTCATGTGTTGGGCCAGTCCCTCGCCTAGTTCAAGCAAGCTAAATGAACTACTGTTCCCACACCACCCCTCTCTAGGCACTCCTCCACAGCAGCAACCTCCATATCAAGCAGCAGCAGTGAATCTATTGCTCACAATGTGGTGAACAAGCTTCTCATTTGTTCCACTAATTCCGAACTGAATTGCTCCCATGAATACCCTTTTAGCATGAGTAATTGTTGCAAAACTCAGTCTGTAGACAGGTGTGACGGTTTCATTTCCCCAGCCCTGGTTAAGATGATAAGTCATCAGCTGTACCCATGTTAAAGTAATAATAACAAATGGCTGCTTATATTTTTATAACTCAGTGTTCAACTTAACTTTGGATTCTAAAGGCTAAATACAGTTTAGATGAACCTTTATCAGTTCTTCAAGGAAGCTCTAGCTAGTTCAATTGTTTAAGCCCATAGTTTTCATTCATAACTTTTCCATTTGTATGTACCATTTTGTGGTAACATAATGGCCCTGTTCACACATCACAGTAAACCATAGTTAATGGTATATGTGCCTAAGAGGGCTCCTTTGCTCCTCCCTGCTTGTGCATAGAAGAATTTCCTGCTCTGCATCATGTCTGAAACAGAGATCGTGTTTGTTTCACTTCCAGAAACCAAAATCAGCTAAGAACCCTTGTTGTGCTTTTTAAATCACATTTTGCCTAGTTTATCATCTTCTAGAAAGAACAAATGTCTAAAGGTATGCTGTAAGTCTTTCCCAGCCTGATCTGATGCAGAGTAATTAGAAAATTAGTTTCCCGGATAGTTTTAGTAGAGATAAGCTGGGATCTAAAGTGCTGTGTGTGAATGAAACACTGCCGTGCGTGGGGGGTGTGTGTCACAAATTCCAGAACTGGATGCATCTGAGGAAGATCTGTGGAAGATCTCTAAACTATCAGGGGCTTTTGGGAAGCCACAAGAGCTGCAGGGGGAAACAGGGCTGAACAAGCAGAAGTATATGTGGAACACCACTCCCAGCTGCTTTGATCCTGCCCTGCTGTTTGCAACTAATGGGTCCATCCCATCATGATTTGGTGATTCTGGCACTGTAACTAACTTTAATTCAAGTCAAGTTATTTTACTATGGTCAGTGACCAGTACAGTGATACCTCGGGTTGAGTACTTAATTCGTTCTGGAGGTCTGTTCTTAACCTGAAACTGTTCTTAACCTGAAGCACCACTTTAGCTAATGGGGCCTCCTGCTGCTGCCATGCTGCCGGAGCACAATTTCTGTTCTCATACTGAAGCAAAGTTCTTAACCTGAGGTAATATTTCTGGGTTAGCAGAGTCTTTAACCTGAAGCGTATGTAACCTGAAGCGTATGTAACCCGAGGTACCACTGTATCAAGAACTTTAATTAATTATATTCAAGTTTGGATGTTCTCTCCTCTCCTCTCTAGAGGCAAGAATGCTAAAATACAGTGGTGCCCCGCAAGACGAATGCCTCGCAAGACGAAAAACTCGCTAGACGAAAGAGTTTTCCGTTTTTTGAGTCGTTCCGCAAGATGAATTTCCCTATGGGCTTGCTTCGCAAGACGAAACGTCTTGCGAGTTCTTGCGAGTTTGTTTCCTTTTTCTTAAAGCCGCTAAGCCGTTAATAGCCGCTAAGCCGCTAATAGCCGCTAATAGCCGTGCTTCGCAAGACGAAAAAACCGCAAGACGAAGAGACTCGCGGAATGGATTAATTTCGTCTTGCGAGGCACCACTGTACAGTGGTACCTCAGACGGCTATCTTTGAAGCCTGGAGAGCGAGAGGGGTCAGTGCGCATCAACCCTTCTCGCTCTCCAGATAGCCTCGGGTTCCTTTCGCTTGTGGGGCTGGCAGTGGGGAAAGCCGAGCTTCCCTCACCGCCAGCCCCGGGGAGCAGCGGGAAGGCTGCGCACAGCCTTTTCGCTGCTCCCCGCAGCTTGTGGGGCTGGCGGTGGGGAAAGCCGAGCTTCCCTCATCGCCAGCCCCAGGGAGCAGCGGGAAGGCTGCACACAGCCTTTCTGCTGCTCCCCGACCTGCTGCCTTCGGAGCGCAGTGTGAGTTCCCGCTGCGCTCCGCAGGCTTCGGGTTACTTTCACTGAAGCCGGGAGAGCAAGACTCGCCTGGCTTCAGCGAAAGGAACCTGAACCTTGCGGAGCGCAGCAGGAACTTGCGCTGCGCTGTGGGAACTTGTGCTGCGCTCTGAAGGCTTCAGGTGGCTATCCCTGAAGCCTGGAGAGCGAGAAGGGTCGGTGCGCACTCTCCAGGCTTCAGCGAAAGCAATGCGAAGCCTCCAGAGCACGGAGGGAGCGTTCCCTCTGCGCTTCAGAGACTTCGCGTTGCTATCGCTGAAGCCAAGGAGCCTGCATTCGCTCCATAGGATGCACACACATTTCCCCTTAATTTTTGGAGGGGAAAAAGTGTGTCCTATAGAGCGAAAAATACAGTATTTATCTACTTGCACTTTGACGTGCTTTCGAACTGTTAGGTTGGCAGGAGCTGGGACTGAGCAACAGGAGCTCACCCCGTCGCGGGGATTTGAACTGCCAACCTTCCGATCGGCAAGCCCTAGACTCAGTGGTTTAGACCACAGTACCACCCGCGTCCCCTGTATGTTCTAGAATTGTGCAAAACAGCTTCATTTAATAGGCTTTCTCTCTACTTCCCCAGACCCTAGAGAGGCTCAACCCCAGTTTTATTTGTACAGTTATCAAACTACCCAGAGCAATTGGATTGGGGCTGATGCCACAGTAACATTATAAAAGAAATCAACTATGATTATAAGTACTGGACAGAGGCAGAAGGGCCAATTCCTACTGGTTTCAAATTGAAGATACAGTCATATCTTGGATCCCGAATGACCTGGAACTCAGACGTTTTGGCTCCCGAATGCTGCAAACCCGGAAGTGATCGTTCTGATTTGCGAACGTTCTTTTGGAACCCAAACATCCGACAGGGCTTCCGCGGCTTGCGATTGGCTGTAGGAGCTTCCTGCAGTCAATCAGAAGCCATGATTTCGTTTTTGAACGTTTTGGAAGTCAAATGGACTTCCAGAGTGGATTCCGTTTGACTTCCAAGGTAAGACTGTACTGGTGAGAGAACCAACCTGTAATATTTCCCACTGCATTTGCATTATACATAGTAACTATAGCCACCATTGCCTGATTCACTGCTGGTTCTACTCTGAAGTACAGTATTTTACACTCTCTCATTTGCTTAATGTTTGATTTTATTTATAGATGGATGCTGAATTTCCTCATGGGGAACTTCTTGCTATGAAACACAGCCACTGTGTAAAATAATAATATTATTATTATTTATAGATATAGGCATATGTCTTTATGCCAAATGCAAAGCTCAGCTCGCTCTTAAATATGGAGCTGTTTAAGAGAATATGAGGCTATTTACAGATCACAGGAGGTACTCTTTCCTCATAAGCTGACAATAACTTTCACTCCCATGTCAGGAGAGTACTCTTAAAAGCTCACAAACGGGCTTGTGGCTATTGTTAATGGATTTAGATACAACACCTTTCTAAGGAGACAAAAGAGTAATTGATATGTGAGGCATTTAAAAACCTTAGGGGTAGAGCAAAGATTCTCCAACTGTGGTCTGCTAACTCCATTTGGGTGGTCCACAGAAAGGTTGCAGAACATGCCTATACTTGATCTATTTTTATGACAATTGAGTTAAAGGTTGTTTTGATCAAGGCCAGAGTACTGAGCAGGATAAAGTCCAGACCTAAGGCCTGTGATTTTCATAGAAACTGGGTGCAGTCTACTTAACTTTTCTATTAAAAAAAATACCTAACCCCTGATCCGGACTGGTGTTTGTCTCCTCCACTGTGAACCTGAAAGGGCGATGGAGTGCATACTGCTTTTTACCAGTGTTCCTGCTGGCAATAATCATATTTGGTCCTAAAACTGGGTTTGAGGGGCAGAGCAGGACTGTGCCAACAGAGCTGCTGGTTCCAAAGCCAGCCTGTTTTCTAGTGAAGAACCTGATCTGAGCCCTGTGCTGTGCCAGGTTGCAGCTAGTGCAGCAAAAATGGGGGGGGCGGGGCGGGGCGGACTGCTACCACCCTCTGTCCTGGCTGCTCCATGCCCCAGTTAGGATTGGGAGAATCTGCCACTCTATTCCCCAGTTAGAATTGCTCTGCACAATCTGTTTTCAGCACAACCAGGTTGATCAAGGAACATGTGGGATTAAAATAAAGAAAAACATGTCTTTGAGCATGAGTTACATGCCTTTCCCTCTGTAATTATAGGGAAACAGCTTCCAGGTCAGAGAGGATAACTTCCAGACAAATTTTTGTCCCAACACCTTAGTTTTGAATTAAGCACATGGTACACAGTCTCTGAGCACAAACACTGTGGCTCTGGTTATTATAGTTAAGAGTTACAGATGAACTTCATCCTCCACATATTTACCTAATCCTTTTCAACACCACTAATTCTAATAATTGCAACATTATATGGAAATGCATTCTATTAGTTAATTATGTGTTGTATAAGTACTTCCTTTTGTTTGTTTTAAACATGCTACCCATTAATTTGAATTAATTACTGTGTTGTTTGTAACTCTGAGACTGTTCTGTTTCTCTTTTCACTCTTTCCATTCCCTAACTTATATTATAAACCTTATTGTGTCCTCATTCTTCTCTCAATTATATACATGTGTATATATTTAATAATAATAATATTTAATAACAACAGTAAGATGCTGGGATGAGTGGGAACAATGTGTGTCTCCTCTTCCATAAAATTATAGGAGTCGTATAAAAAGTATAAATTTTCTTACGTATCCTCAGGTTATGTGGTTTCAACTGAAGAATGGGCAACTTCAGAATGAAAAGTAAACAGCACAAACTCAAAAGGAAGCCTCAAGAGCTTCTAGCCCATAGAAGAGGTAAATAAAGATAGCATAATTAATGCCCCTTAGGGTTATGAGAGTTTATTTTAATTAACCCACTCCAAAATGGCATTGCAGAATGTGATCTTCAGAAATATTCAGGTGGAAATGATGAACTGCCATGGTCATGATGAGAATATCATTCCAAACCTTACTTTAGGGTTGATATTGATTAAATTATTGATACAGATTAAATTTTTGAATTTAATTATGCTTCTTTTTATGCTATGGGAATGAGGTTATGAAAAGATTCAGTCATGTAGGTGTGACACAACGTAGTGCGTACACACTCAGAGGATGAGCTCCAAACCATCCTAAATATCTTTGAAGAAGCATACAAAAAGCTTGGCCTATTGCTCAACATCCAAAAAACCAAAGTTTTATGCACCAACAAGCATAAAACAACCCCTCTGCAGCGCCACAAATCCAACTCAGTGGTGTAATGTTGGAAAGTATAAATCACTTCTCCTACCTGGGCAGTTATCTTTCCACAAGAGCCTTCCACTGTGGAAGGACATGTGGATCCAGAATTGGGCTCCACAATCACCTGTGGACACACCGTTAAGACCGTGTACATGGAAGACAATCTAACTCGGCTTCAAGTGATCGCCAAAGAAGAAGACACTCCAAATTAGCCACTTTAATACATAAAGCCCTCCATGACTAGAGATCTAGGTGTAGACTGTTTCAAACCATGAGATCGGCAGAGCGGGGTTCTGCTTCTGGTCCTGCCAATAAACATGTTGTATTGGGATCTGGAAGATCCCAACTCTCTGTAGTCGTGGCCCACCTTTGCAATTCCCTACCCTTGGCAACATGATGCCCTCAATATTAAGGGATTTCTTTGCCATATGGTGAAGACACCTACTTTCTGAAGTCTTTGGGGCATGAAACTTGTGTCGATCCCTCCAGAATCTGGATCTCTGTGTTCTTAATGGAACTGAAACTGCATGTTATTTTTCAATTGTATTTTATGAGTTTTATCAATATTTTTCAATTGTAATTACTTTGAGGTCATTATGATAAAAAAAAATCTATAAAAACCTGTGATCAATTAATAAGCATTAAAAGCTAATAGTTGCCATCAGGAACAGTCATACTCTGTTTATTCACTTTACAAAGAGAATCTAGAAAACAGTTAGCAACCAACTCACATTCCAGTGTTTTCTGTTCTCAATTTTTTTTTTTTTGGAACTGTTTTTGGATTATAAAAATGCAAGTTTAAAATGCATTTGCAATGCTTAACTGTCCAGGGTGTACTAGCAAAAACACTTTAGGCTTTTCAGGGATACGTAGCCTTTCATTAATAACTCCCACCTGTACTTTGAAGTACAAGTGTGTTGCTTATACAGTGGTACCTCAGGTTAAGTACTTAATTCGTTCTGGAGGTCTGTTCTTAACCTGAAGCTGTTCTTAACCTGAAGCACTGCTTTAGCTAATGGTGCCTCCTGCTGCCGCTGCGCCGCTGGAGCACAATTTCTGTTCTCATCCTGAAGCAAAGTTCTTAACCCTGAAGCACTATTTCTGGGTTTGTGGAGTCTGTAACCTGAAGCGTATGTAACCTGAAGCGTATGTAACCCGAGGTACCACTGTACTTTTATTACTTCCTAGTCAACATTTAGGGCATACTTCTACATAAGTACTCTACTGGATCAGACCAAGAACCTATCTAAGCTGTTGTATATATCCATCAACAAAGGCATAATGCCTCTAAGAATAGACTAGAGAATAGATAGAGCTGAGAATTCTAATCTGAGGAAATTGAAACAGGGCTTTATTCCAGTTTAGTTAATCCAGAACATTTATGTTTGTCTCTGCCCCACTGCTGGCCATGCAGCCCACAACAGAAAAAGACCTCTATAGCCATGGTTTCATGACTGTAGCCTTAAAAGTCCAGGTCTCTGTATCAAATTTACTTTGGAAGAATAAAGCATTTCTTTTTTGATGTGACTCGCTCAATATCCAGTACTTAGGATGTGACAGAACACTTTAGTGCAATAGCTATTTTATTTAAAGGAAACCTACTTTGAAGTACAAGTGTGTCAGCACTAGACTCCTGTATTTTAATTTCATACCTTCAATTAAACATTTTATTTTGTGACGTGTTTACACTGTAGATGTAAAACGCTCCTATATATAGTTTACATATTAACTTGCTCCTTTTTAAGGATATGGTTTGCAAAGATGACTGAGTAGTTTACCAAAGGCTAAAGAAGGCATGTTCCCTACGGCTCTGACTAACCTTGTTTTAAACATCCCTGTGATGGAGTTTCCCTCAAGGGATTGCTCAGAAAGCTCTCCCTCCTTCTACAAAGGTTAGCCTCTCTTAATTTAATCCCATACTCATAGTAGTAATTTGACACTGGTTTGCTGACTGCCAGTACTCTGGTTTCTATTTGCTGCCTTGCTACTTTGGGTGACAGAGTAATAATAAGAACAGCAGTGGCAAAATCAGCGCATGTTTCATGTCCTGGGGGAGGGAGGGTGTGTTGTGCGTGTGGTGGGAGAAATAGCCTCTTGTCCACCCCAAGGAGTCAGCTGTAGACATGTGAGGAATGCAACTGCAATGCCAAGAATCTTTTGCTGGCACAGCCCATCATCGGGGAGACCATTTTAAATGAGCTGAAGGAGCAACAAACAGTAGCAGCCTACTGAAAAATTATAGACTGAGGAGAGAAAGTAGTGGCAAGAGACTGTTAAAGTGGCAGGGAGTTAAGTATGGAATACACTCCTTTGCAATCTTTTAAAAACATACCATCAGGGAAAGGTACACAAAACCTGGGTCACAAAACCTTTTATTCCTTCCATGTCTTTATCTCATGGAAGTGGGATGAAGAAGGACCAGAGTTTGTGGAGCTGGGTAAAATGCCAATTTGGACATTCAGAATGAGTGGATGCTTTGTAGACTACCAGCAATTATTGTTGCTGTTTAAAATGCCAGGCAAGAAAAAAAAATCCCTGCAAGAGGCTCATTTGATATAGGAAGCTTTCTCCTAAAAATGGAAAATGCACTCTTAGCATGGTCAGATAACTGTTGAATTTATATGTTCTTCACATGCTCCTGGTGGTTCCTCCTGAGCTAAATAAAGCCCTGTCTGCAACTATCAACAGTTTACACCAGTGTGTAAACTGGCAAAAAGACTGAGATACTAAGGAATTTCAAATGTCACATTTGCCAGGAACTCAGTAGGTTGCCTTAGGCAAGCCACACTCTCTCACCTCCACCGCCCAGATCGGCAACACGGGGAAACATTCTGACCTACCTTCCAGGGTTGTCGGGAGGATGACAACTGGACAATGCACAGTGAACACGTGAAGTGCGAGTGTCATGCTCACTTTAAAACCAGAGAGCGACCATCTCTGCGGGCAGCTCTGGCTCTCCTGGCCATTGACAAGCGAGTTTTACCGAGGAGTTAAAAAGTCGGCCTCGGGAAACTGATTTAGGACTGAAGGAGCGAGATTTTTTTTTCCCCCTCAGCGAACACCAAATACCACCCAGAGCGCAAGAACCCCCTACTTTCTATAATTTCTTCTCAGGCAGCGCCCGCGCATGCGTGCAGGGCGGCGCGGGTGTTGGAGCAAGGCGGGTGCCGTTTCCCAGCATGCCTCGCGTCCCTCCGCCTCTCCCCCCCCCCCACCCCGTGGGTGGGTGAGCCGAGCTGCTGAGTGAATCTGTCCGGCTGATGATGGAGCTGAGACTGTAATGGCGGCCGGCGGCGGCAGGAGCAGCAGCGGCGGCGGCGGCTGGAGCTCGGCGCTGCCCTGACACCCGGCTACTGCTCCGCGTGGCCTTGACACCCCCGGGCCGGTCCCTCCCCACAAGCAGCGCCGCTCCGGACTCGGGACACCAGGCGGGAGGAGCAGCAGCAGCAGCAGCAAGAGGAGGCGGGGGAAGGACTCCCCACAGACAATGGACGAACATCCCGGAGCCGGCGGCGGGATCATGGCAGGGCCCAGCCCGAGGCCGCAGCAGCAGCAAGGGCCGCTGCCGCCCGCCGGAGGGAACGCGAACTCCCAGCTGCTCGGCCAAGGCTGCGCGGGGCCCGGCGGCGGAGGCAACCTGCCGCCACAGCAGCAACCCCAAGGCCCGGCGGCGGCGGCGGCTCCGGAAGCGGTGGGCCCCGGCGGCGGCGGCGGCTCGGAGCTGTCCCGGCCTCAACACTACACCATCCCGGGGATCCTGCACTACATCCAGCACGAATGGGCCCGCTTCGAGATGGAGCGCGCGCACTGGGAGGTGGAAAGGGCCGAGCTCCAGGTGAGGGTCCTGGATGGGCGGAGGGGACGCACACAAGCACAATGAGAGAGAACGGCTGGCTTGAGGCGTCCGTAACCGGGAAGGAAGGAAGCTGCGGTGGCGTGGCTGAGGAGGGAGGGGAGCTGGGTGCGGGGCGGACGACGACGCGGCGGCGAGGGAGGAGAAAGTTACCTGTCCGGCGCGGCGGGCGTCACTCGGCACGTTCCCCCGCTCGCGGCTCCTCGGGTTGGGCAGCCTTCCCCGGGGCAGCCATTTTGGTTCCTAGCATGGCGCCCGCCTGGGCCTGTCAGGCTAGTCAGGGGAGGGCTGCCGTCTCCCCCCGGCCCCGGATTTTAAAGCACCGACTCCGCAGCGTCCGCGCGCCCTGACAGTTAGCTGGGGCTCGAGGGCGGGGGGGGGGGGAATGCGACTTTCCCGCTTGCGGCTGTCGGAGCCCTCGGGACATTTGGGAGGCTTCTACGGCCTACCGGGAGGGCGAGTCGCATCATCTTTATAAGGACACGGTGATCTCAACCTGCTCTTAGCCCCCGACCTTATTTATTTCCAGCTGTTACCTTGGGAATACAAAGCCGCGCACTTCCTTCTTGGCGAGGGACCCCGCCTTCTTTTTAGGAATAAGAGGCGTGTTCCCCCTTCAATCTCTGTTCAGCACCCACATGGGTGACACTACCACTAAAAATAAATAAAAATGAAACGGAAAGTGGGAGACGTGACCAGAGAGAAATGGATAAATTTGACGGATCGACCATTTCAGGCTGCTGCTGCTGCTTATTCTTCATCCATTTGTAATCTAGGGTTACCTCAGCAAAATACAGTAAGGTGTAAGGTGTTTGCCAGAACCAAGTATTACATAGGCACATGAGTCAGGGATCCAGGAGTGGCCAGGACTCTCTACTTTGCATGCATTGCTGGGTAGTTAATCTGGTTTTGTCATATGTGAATGACCATTAAAATTGGGTGCCTAGGTGTGAAGGTACATGCTTCTCTATAATTAAAGTCTCCAATTGTACACATCTGAGGTTTAGCTACATTCTAAAAGGTTTTTAAAAAATACAAAATAAGCCTGCATTCGTACTGCATCCTGTGATGTGTTTCCCCATATAGCTAATGAAAGGAGCAGTGTGAGGCATGTAAAAGCGAAGGTGTGCTTTTCTTGATTAATATGGTTGATTTTCAACGTAGTTAGATTTGGATCTGGAAGCCCTAGGTCTGTCAGAGGACAAGTACTGACTTGTGCACAGCTGTGCAATTTCTCACCTGCAGTTTCCTGTTGGGTGGGGGGACAGCATTCCATCTTACAGGGTTCTTGTGAGGCAAACACTGAATTTTATAATGCACTGCAAAGCCAAAGAGATACTGCAAAGGAGAACAAACAGTAATAATGTAATCGAGACTAAAATGCCTGCTAGACGTTGGGTGTCATGACAAGTGACAACTATATTTTGGCAAATCTATTATTTAACAGAATTACTTTTGTTGTTGCTGTTGCTGCTTTGCGGGATCACGTATATCATATTGAAAGAGAAGTCATGTTTATTCATGAGACTAGCTAAGCAAGTCAAATTCATGATCATATATGTTTATGACATATAGGACCCAGCTTGGGCTGATTATAAGTCTTTATCTTCAGTTAGATGCTTTATCTGCTAGCAGTGTGGCTCAAACCTTTTTTATTATTGAGATTTTTACAATCTGGTAATGGTTCTAGGACATGGAGAAATAATATAGATGTCAAACACTGATTCAGATGAATTATGGTGATTGTAATAGGAAAGATATTAGGTGAAGCTTTGTGTCTTTTGTGGCATTGAAGACCATTTAATACAGCATTAGATGACTTGCATCCCTGTATCCAGTTATCTGGGACTAAATCCCATCAAACTAAATGAGACTTACTTCTTAGTAGACATGTGTTAGTCCTTTGAAAGTTTGATAGGTCACTCCAGGGCAAGATTAGTCAGTATGATGTCCTCCAGATGTTGTTGGTCTTTAACTCTCATCAGCTAGCATGGGGAATGGTCAGGGATAATAGAAGGTAGAGTCCAATGACATACGGAGAGCCTCACTTCAGGATTTCTGTCACGTATCTTGCAGCTTTTGTCATTAACTCGTGTTCCCTTAGTTTGTTGCAGTTTCCTAGATTAGTTTTTATATACATTACTGGCTTTTTCTTTCTCTCAAAGAAGGACCAATAAAAATCTCCAACTGATTCTAAACAGGATGGAATGACAAGTAAGAGGCTGCGTCTTGAGAGGATAATCCATGAAAATTGGAGATCCCCTCTATGTAAACTGTAGTACTGGGATGGAGAACAGAGTTTGGCTAGTAGGCCAGCTTCAAAACTCGCCCACAGTCCCACTTACCAACATTGACAGGTGTGCAGGACCACTCACCTGTCAACCTTCTACTGTTATAATGATGTCATTTGATTGACACCTGTCAAGGTTTGGTCACTGTAATTGCTGAGCAGCTGATTGGTGGTTATAGCAAATTCCTTTGAAGATGCACTTTAAGTGCCAATCAGCTGTCCAGTGCTGGGATCATGCCTTACAAGGGGTGGGCTTTGGAGAAAGTTCTCACTTTTTAATCAGAGATTTCCCCCCTCTGCAAAGGAAACTATTTGGCTACAAAGCACTCAGCTGCATTAAGGAGTTCTTAGCCGAAATTTAAACTCCTAGTGCAGGGGTAGGCAACCTGCGGCCCATGGGGGTTGTTTAACCGGCCGACGAGCTGCCTGCTCAGTGAGTCCCTGTGTGCTGTGCTAAACTGGCGCGGCGCGGGGACTCGCTTCCGTGGCACCGGAAATCGTGTTTGCGCAGACACCGGAAATCACAGGCGTGTGCACTCAGGTGTGCACGCAATCCAGCCCACGGACGGATCTCCGCTGGAGTGAACCAGCCCAGGCGAGGTAAACCTTGCTGCCCCCTGTCCTAGTGCTTCATTTATGCCCACACAGTATAACCACGGTAGGTGGCTGTGGTTCATGGGAAGCAGTGCTGCAGACCAAACTGGGACCCATATTGGGCCTTCTTATGCCCATGAGCTGGAGTTTTCTGCCCCTGCTATCAGTGTTAGAAACTGAGATTTGAAAGAGGTGATATGATAGAAGTTTGATAAAATGAAGCACGGCATGGAGAAATATGACAAAAGAATAAAATGAAGCATGGCATGAACAAAGTAGATAGAGAAAAGTTTTTCTCCCTCTCCCCTAACACTAGAACTTGTGGTCATCCATTGAAGTTGGATGCTGGAAGACTGATAAAAGAAAGCATTTCTTCATGCAGCATGTACTTAAAACTATGGAACTTGCTCTCATAGGAGGCAGTGATGACCACCAACTAAAATAGATTTAAAAGAGGATTGGACAAATTAATGGAGGATAAGGCTATCAATGGTGCTGCTCTACCTCCATAATCAGAGTCAGTATGCCTCTGAATACCAGTTGCTGGGAATCAGGTAGACAGAGTGCTGTTAAGTTCATGTCCTGTTTGCAGAATTCCCACAGGTATCTAGTTGGCCACTGTGAGAACATGAACTGAACTAGGTAGGCCATTGGCCTGATCTAGCAGATGGTTCTTATATTCTTATCTTACCCATAATTTGTACCTCTTCAGATTTGAAAATACAGTGGTACCTCGGGTTAAGAACTTAATTCATTCTGGAGGTCCGTTCTTAACCTGAAACTGTTCTTAACCTGAAGCACCACTTTAGCTAATGGGGCCTCCCACTGCCATCGTGCCGCCACCATGCAATTTCTGTTCTCACCCTGAAGCAAAATTCTTAACCTGAGGTACTGTTTCTGCATTAGTGGAGTCTGTAACCTGAAGCGTCTGTAACCTGAAGCGTCTGTAACCCAAGTTACCACTGTAAAGGCAAATGAATTGAAGAACTGGGAAACCTCGAATTCGGAAATGTTTTTGCCTTTCAGAATATAACCCAGGATACAAAGTAGGTAAAGTTTGGTCCAGTTATTTGCTCTGTATTCCTGCTACAAAAGATGTGTTGGTGCAAAAAGCAAAGCAGAACTTTTTTTGTCAAAACTAATGTTCAGGCAGCTAATTTCTTCATGACGAATTTAAGGCTGTAACATAATGATTTTATTAAAAAGAAAGGAAAAAATAATAAAACAATAGAATTGGAGTTGGAAGAGACTTCAAAGGTCATCTAGTCCAACCCCCTGCAGTGCAGTAATCTCAGCTAAAGCACCCATGACAGATGGCCATCCAACTTCTGCTTAAAAACCTCCAATGATTGAGAGCCCACCACTGTTGAACAGCTGTTACTGTCAGAAGGTTCTTCTGATGTTTAGCAGGAATCTCCTTTCTTGTAACTTGAATCCATTGCTTCAGGTCCTACCCTCTGGAGCAGGAGAAAACAGGCTTGTTCCATCTTCCATGTAGCAGCCCTTGAGATATTTGAAGAAGGCTATCATATCTCCTCTCTTGTGCAGGCTAAACACACCCAACTTCCTCAACTGTTCCTCATAAGGCTATGTTTCCAAATCCTTGATGATTTTGGTCACTCTCCTCTGCACACATTCCAACTTGTCAATATCCTTCTTAAATTGTTGTGCCCAGATCTGGACGCAGTCCAGTGGTACCTAGGGTTACATACGCTTCAGGTTACAGACTCCGCTAACCCAGAAATGGTGCTTCAGGTTAAGAACTTTGCTTCAGGATAAGAACAGAAATCGTGCTTTGGCGGCGCAGCGGCAGCAGGAGGCCCCATTAGCTAAAGTGGTGCTTCGGGTTAAGAACAGTTTCAGGTTAAGAACGGACCTCCGGAATGAATTAAGTACTTAACCCAAGGTACCACTGTATTCCAGGTGTGGTCTGGCCAAGGCAGAATAGAGCAGTGCTATTACTTCCCTTGACCTGGACACTATACTTTTGTTGATGCTGCCTAGAATAACATTACCTTTTTCCCTGCTGCATCACACTGTTGACTCATGTTAGCCTTGTGTTCTACGAAGACTTCTGGACCCTTTTGACATGTACTACTACTAAGACAAGTTTCCCCCATCTTACATTTGAGTAGCAAGTTCTTCCTGCCTAAGTGTTGAATCTTACATTTGTTCCTGTTGAAATTCATTTTTTAGTTTAGGCCCAGTGGTCCAATCTGTTGAGGTCAACTTAAATGACTGGAAACAATATTGAAAGAACAGATAAATGGGGAAAACGGTATAAGCAGAGTAGTGGCTGCAGGTTAAATATTACTGCAAGAGATAAATGGTGGTAAGTGTTTGCAGTACAGCCAAAACTGCCAGTTATGCCATAGTGACAGTAATTGAGTTTGGAAACTAGGCAAACTGCTTCCTTGATCATAAGGAAATGTGGAAAAGCATCCACTGGGTCAACTGAGAATATATACAAAAATAAATATACAGTGGTACCTCGGGTTACATACGCTTCAGGTTACATACGCTTCAGGTTGCAGACTCCACTAACCCAGAAATAGTACTGGACCATAAAGAAGGTTGATCGCCAAAGAATTGATGCTTTTGAATTATGGTGCTGGAGGAGACTCTTGAGAGTCCCATGGACTGCAAGAAGATCAAACCTCTCCATTCTGAAGGAAATCAGCCCTGAGTGCTCACTGGAAGGACAGATTGTGAAGCTGAGGCTCCAATACTTTGGCCACCTCATGAGAAGAGAAGACTCCCTGGGAAAGACCCTGATGTTGGGAAAGATGGAGGGCACAAGGAGAAGCGACAGAGGTTGAGATGGTTGGACAGTGTTCTCGAAGCTACAAACATGAGTCTGACCAAACTGCGGGAGGCAGTGGAAGACAGGAGTGCTGGTCCATGGGGTCACGAAGAGTCGGACACGACTAAACGACTAAACAACAACATAGTAATGTGGCTGAAAAACTTGATAAAAATGAGATTCAGAACTGTCCAGTAAACCCCCATTAATTATAGAAAAGCAGACCAGGACAGCCAGTTACAGTGAGGGAAGCATTAAAACTATACAGTATTTAAAATAAAGCAATTCATTAGTTTCCTATAGTTTTAATGCTGAGTTTATAAGTTATGTGATATACTGGTTAAATGATGTTCTTAGCTAAAGGTTAAATATGTTCTATGTGGAGAAGGATCAATACGGTTTTAAAAAGACAATTATTAGATGTGTTTTAAATATTTATCTCAACGAAGTGTAATCCCAACATCGTTGCAGTTAATGGATTTTGAGGTGGCTTTCAATTAAGCGGAATGGCTGTTATTCAAATAAGCATTAATATATTTTTGGGACATCAATATCATGAATGACAGTAATAAACATAACTAGATTGGTTATAAATGGTTAATTGTGGAAACTGGTATTTCTTGAAGGGAGTTGGGTGAAACTGTATACTCTCTTCACTATTCAGTTTTTGTGGTGAGACTCTTACTATCTTAGTTCAGTCTGAAAGGAATATAGATGAGTTGATGGGTTGCAGCATGAGAAGAAAGTGAAATCCCCTTCTCTGCATCCTGACTACAGCCCTTCTCAGGGTAATATACTGGTTGAGTCCAAGATGACTGAGCCACAAAGATGATAGAACGTGCAAAGAGGATGACTGTACGTCTTGGATATGTTTGACGTGGTATTTTTATATGAATTGGAAATCAGCAACATTTTTGTACAAAGCATTTCTGATGCTGCATCTTGAATATAATATCAAAACAAGGTAACAAAGTATTTTACAATTTATAATATTGGAATAAACATGCTAAAAAAACATTCAGGAGCCAACTTAAGGAGCTGATATGACCAGCTCCCTTGTCCTGATTTCTGCTCTTCTGCCTTCCTACAGGTCTTAAGTAGCTCCAGGGGAGGTGGGGGTGTTGCCCTAACAACTTAATGATTTAATCATGGTAACAAGAACATGATACATTGTCTATGAATTACTTAATTTGTGAATTGGAAGGGTGTTTACTAGAACAGGTGTAAAGTTTAAGAATAGTATCTCATTTACAAAGCATATTCAGAGCCTTTTTTAAAAAAAGGGGGGGTACCTTGTGATTTCAGTGTTAATACTGAGACTGACGCCACTGGAATTGAGTTTGGTTTGGTTTTAAATCCACATGTCTTGGTCTTTCACACTTTCTCTGCGTTATTGGTGCTGGTCACAACTAGAAGCCTGCTGAATAAAATTCCCTTTGGAAAGTAGGGATTGGAGGTACAGTGTTGTGGTAGTTTTATTGCTATCTAGTAGTTCAGTTCTAGAAGATGGTACCCAGGAATTATTGTTCAGCCTCTTGACAGTTATGCTGTGGGCTTTCATATGGCTTTGTTTTATCTCCCATGCTATTCAACAACTGCATGAAACCAGTGTTAGAAACTCAGACATATATGTTAATCGCCAAATGAGATCTTAAACCTAGGTTACAGTCGTCACAGCGAAATGTCTAGGTGCCTTTTTGCGGTGAGATTTATTATTGTTATTAATTTCATTTCTATACCGCTTTAAATTTTAAAGAAAAAATTCAAAAGTCTTCTACAACACATTAAAACATCAGATACTGTAAAACAATCCAGAATAAAACGAATTTAAGTTTCAAGGGAAATATATCACTTTGCTTTCCTCATAGTTATTTACTTACTTAATTTATATAGCTGCCCCATAGCAGAAGAACTGTAGGAAGCCAGTGTGGTGTAGTGGTTTGAGTCTTGGACTAGGACCTGGGCCTTCTTGGTAGTGGTGCCCTTGGTAGTGGACAGGGAATAACAACAACAACAACAAATCATCATCAGGGTTCAAATCCTCCTCAGTCATGAAGCTCACTGGGTGACCTTGGACCAGTCACAGCTTTAGTCTACCTCACAGGGTCATTGTAGGGATTAACTGGGGAGGAGGGTGAGCCATGTACTCCTTGGAGAAAAAGGTGGGATATAAATGCAATAAATAAGCTTTTCTGCTTGCCTGCTTAAGAAAGCAGTAGGGGCCAGCCAGATAGAGATGTCAGTCGCCAACTTGGCACCCACAGATTTCCAGTGGTTGCAGTTGGACCCGCGCCAGTAGCATAACTGTCCTGGCGCCTGGGGAATTTCTATCACTAGAAACCACTGTGGGTGTGCTGAGGTGTTACCAATATGTGGCTGGCACCCAGCTTTATATCTCCTTTTCATCTAATCCAAGTGAAGCAGTGGGTGTTCTGAACAAGTGCTTAAACTAGGTAATGGACTGGACTAAACTAAGACTTAAACTGCAGTGTGTTGTATTTGGGACTGCCTTTGAAAATGTTCTTGAGACGTCATTTGGTACATAATACAGCAGCCAGGCTATTTATTGGAACTGGTATTAATTACTCCTCTACATGATCACTTGCTCTCTCTTCCAGGCAGTTTCCATTGGGATCCTTATCAGCTGCTCTTCTTCGGGATCATCTGCTTAATGAAGTGAACAATGTGGTTACTAGGGAGAGGGCCTTTTCAGTGGTGGTGCTCAGTTTATGGAATGATTTTTCTAGAAAGCCTTGCCTGGATTGTGGTTTTCCTGGAATCATGTGAATACCTTTTTCCCCCTCCCAGGACTTTTAATTTCAGTTTTAATCATAGTGGGTACATCTTTCTGGTGTGCTAGATCTTTGCACCATTCCCCTCTTTATGTTGATGATTTTATATTGCTTTCATTTTTTTTAGATGCTGTAGTCAGGCTAGTTTTAGATTAGCCTTGCTATTTTTATTTTTTAAAAGTTTTTGGCATTTCTGCTCCGTAACAGTTCGAACAGTATTGGTATATGTTTTGTTTCTGTCAACTTCCCAGAGAACTATGTTGTATTTGTAGTATAAGTAGCTATAAGAATAGTGAAATAATAAATAAAATGCAGCATTACAGATGCACTTTGTGCCGCTCATATTAGAGACACAGTTTTTGCTCTGATTAGGATGACTAATGTAGCTGGCGTTCTCATGCTCCTTTCTCCTGTGGCATGTGTCTAGTCTCTTATAATAATAATAATAATAAATTTTATTTATATCCCGCCCTCCCCAGCCAAAGCCAGGCTCAGGGCGGCTAACAACAAACAAATAATCAAACAATCAAATAATCCAACATTCTAAAACATTTCATTATAAAAATTAATTAAAATCAAATTAATGGCAACCGTTAAGCAAAGTTCTGTGCAGGTTGCCGGAGGTGGGAGTCAGGCTGGGCCCTGACCAAAGGCCTGGTGGAACAACTCTGTCTTGCAGGCCTTGCGGAAAGATGTCAGGTCCCGCAGGGCCCTAGTCTCTTGTGATAGAGCGTTCCACCAGATTGGAGCCGCAGCCGAGAAAGCCCTGGCTCTAGTTGAGGCCAGCCTAACCTCTCTGAGGCCTGGGACCTTCAGGATGTTTTTATTTGCAGACCGTAGGTTCCTCTGTGGGGCATACCAGGAGAGGCGGTCCCGTAGGTACGAGGGTCCTAGGCCGTATAGGGCTTTAAAGGTTAAAACCAGCACCTTAAACCTGATCCTGTACTCCACCTGTACTCTTCCTTTCATTGATGTGCCATAGGTGGTCATGGTGTGGGAATGACAAAATAAATTTATTACAGAGTACAGTCATACCTCATGTTACGTCCGCTTAATGTTATGTTCTTTCAGGTTACGTCCTGCGGCGACCCAGAAGTACCGGAAAGGGTTACTTCAGGGTTTCGCCGCTCACGCATGCGCAGAAGTGGCGAATCGCAACCCGCGCGTTCGCAGACGCACCGCTGTGGGTTGCACTCTTTTCATGTTGCGGACGGGCCTCCGGAACGGATCCCGTTCGCAACCAGAGGTACCACTGTATAACAGTATAACAATTTTTTGTTGGAATAGACTTATACCTTTGAAGTAAATGAGTTTCAGAAACAAGCTTTCAATATTATTTAGATTCCGGTACAGAAAAAACCCCACAAATGAACAAGTGGTTTTCAAAAGGGAAGGAGTGTCTGTTTATCCTGTTGATTCACTCAGCTCCTTTTGAGATGAAAAATTTGCAGTGCATCTTCACACTCACTCAGTTAAAACTTGCTGAATTTGTAGCAGGAACACTGCTTCAAAATAATCACATGCCTTCCTCAAAGTGATTTACAATAAATAACTATTAAAAACAGTAACAGAAGAAAGCCACTTTGGGAGCATTTGAAATGCGGACCAACTTGATTTTGCATCGGATCTTGTGTAGTGATTTTTCTCTGAATACTTAACATTGTCTTCCATATAAAACAGTTGTTTCTATTTGAACTCTCTTGTACAAGCTGTTTGCCCTCCTGGACTACTTTATGTGAGAAAAACAGTTCATTCCACCTTAATCAAGACTCTGCAGTTCTCCGTAGGAAAGTCCCCTGTTGCATAAGAAACTGACATTAGCTGTTCTACTGTCAGCCTTCACACAATATCTGTATTGTTCTTTTTTTCTGTCATCTCTGCTGCTGTTTTTAACATTTCGCTTTCAGTTATAATTAACACATATGAAGCTGATACATTTACATAATGCATGATGGAAAACTAAATTTGTGAGAGATATAAGAAAGTAGCAAGGGGTGTCATATCAAATTTGTTGGGGAGGGTTACGACTTAGTGTGTAGAACCCATGTGTATGATAGCGATATAGGCAGTCCAGAAGCTGATCGTGCATTCTTTTCAAGCATAAAGGGATGTGTGAATGCACTTTTGCTTACTTAAACAGCACTTCCAAATAATCCTTGAATAAATCCAACTTGTGATCTTGCTCTCCTCATTCAGATTCATAGTTTTACCAACTTTGTAAGCAAGCTGCATTTAGAAGAATTCTGTAGTAAGCATCGGAGCTCCAGTTTCACAGGGAAAACCTTGGGTTGAGATCATCCAAAGCAATACAGTCTCAATGATACATGTAATATCCTTATAATATTGATTGATATATCATTGATTTTACATGTAACCAACAAAATATAACCACCACTATTAAAATAAATAAATAAATAAATAAATAAATAAATAAGTGAGTGAGTGACCATTTTTGGCCCAGAAACCTTCCCCTAAAGGAACATTTTTGACCATCTTATGGAAAATTGTTCCCTAAGGGGGCAAAATGAGCCTGCTTGGGAAAGGGAGTTCTAGAGCCAAGTCTTACATACTAAAAAGGCTCTCAGCATGGTCTCCAGAAGGCACATTTCTGTGATGCTGTGATGCACAGTAGGGTCTATACTAATGATTTCAGTAGGCAAGGAGCTTCTTATCAGAGATGGTGGTCCTTCAGATATCACTGTTCCAAACAAGGAGTTAAGACCAGCACGTTGAATTCAGCCCAGAGCCTCTATGCTTTCTATCAGCTGCCCTTGTCAACAGCTTGGTTATACCATTCTGGACTGATTGTAGTTTCCAAGCACTCTTACAAAGAAAACGTCTAGGAAGGTCTAGGATTGGCTCACTCTTTCCTGGATATTGTAATTTCTAGAGATCTTGTGGTCTGTATTCTCTGGTTCCAGCTTTCCCCCTAACACCATCCTAATCAGTTTCTTCTTGGAGGAAATCACCATTATCCCACTGATGGAAAAAATACACTTTAATAATTTTTGTTTAAGCATGGACACTGCCATGGCTTTCATATGACTGACATTGTTTCCTTGTTATGACCATTTAACATTTGTTCAGTCCTTCCACAAGTATCTGTACAACTCATTCTCAGAATGGTGTTGCGATTGATAAATTATTATTAGGAGAGCCTCGCTCACACTTATTAATGCCATGTTATGCCGTTGTATACTTTGAAACAAACAGAGAATCAGGCTCCATTGAAGAAGGGAGGAAGTGGCATTGAACACAGTCACCAGATATTCCTGTTTTCTCCAGCTGCAGCCTGGCTTAGGCTTGATTGAAGAAGGATAATCAAACACGGTTTCTAGGCACTACTGTATTCCACAGCACCAGAAGTAGAAAGGGAGGCAATTTGCAGTCTTTGGAATTTATAAGCTGTGTTAAGAACATTCATATAACTGTGAATATCATAGTGATTCTTCGTAATTTACAGAAGTTATTTCTGTCTTCATTTTTTATATTTTAGAAAAGTATTGGTGTACTTTGCTGAAATAATAGCCAGTGATATGAATAAATCTAGTAGCAACACGTCCTATATATGTCTATTTAGATAGAAGGCAGTTCCAGTGGGTGACATACAGTTTTGTCCATCTGCAAGCAGAACACTTGTGCAATGGGACTTCCCTTTCCTCTTCTTCCTCCTGCACCACCCCTAAAACTGCTGTGAAGAGTAGGAAGAACATCTGGAGCTGATTTGGGAGGGTGCTGCAGGAGGGAATGGAGGAAGATGATGTCCTGGTACTTCTGCTTGTACCGCATTGAATATCACCTGTTGAGTTCAGTGGGATTTACTTTTAGGTAAATAGAGAATTTGCAGACTAATTCTATATGTTTATGGATGGATGCCTTCTAGTGTTTTCTTGATTCATGCAAAGTGTATTTAAGATTGTTTTGTAGCTGGGCCAGGTACAATTACATACCAGTCACTTTAATGGCTCTATTTTCACTATCCTTTTTTTAACATTGGATTTTTTTATTATGTTTTGAAATAGGCAGGTGGAAATATACAACAGGTTCAGTGGTAGAACTAGACTATTTTAAATACACATGGCTTAAGCATCATGAATGATTCCAATATAAGTAGAGCACCCACATGATTTCATGTATATTTGCCTAATATCAGATTGGAATATTACCTACCAAGAAAGATAACATGCCATATAATGGAAAATCACTGGTGCGTTTCTAATTTCTTTCTGGCCATTCTTGACTATTTAGTTTTTATGGTAACAGTGATGTACTATGAAAGTGGTAAGAAAGTAAAACTCATTTCTCAATATAGGCTAAGGTTAATAACTCAGATTGTGTCGTGTACATTTTTATGTACATCTTACCTGAGCAGATTGCAGTTGATCACTCTTCCTCCGCACAATGACAGGAAAGTAGGCTGACTGTCAGATTTTTCTTTCTTCTCCTTAGCTATATATCACAACCCACTTGTGTCTCAGTCGTTAATGTAGTCACTCTGGTGGGAGGAGAACCTGTGGATTTAGCTGGCTGGCACTTAGCTGTTACCTCTGGAACTGTGTTTTGTTTATTAAAATTATTCGTATACTGCCTTTTATTTCAAAGAAATGTCAGAGTAGTCTACAGAATAATAAAACAGGATGTAATTAAATAGAACAACAAAAACCTTTTCAATAAAAATATGTATCAGTCAAAGTAACCAGAAATGCCAGGAAGTGGGATTAACAGTTGGGGAAAGTTCAGGTAAAGAGGTATATTTTTAATTATTGGCAGAACCATTTAGCTATCAGTGCCTGCCTTATCTTCATAGGGGGATTATTCATTCTCTGTAGTCGCCACCAAAGAAAAAGCCATTTTGGTGTTTTGTTTAATACTCTGAACTACTCTTCCACCAGCTACGTTGTTGTTCTAGGAAATTAAATTCCTTTTTACTTTGCTTGTAGCCATTTTGTTGGGTTGTGAGGAAATCCTGGCTGCTAAAAAGGTGCACAGAATTTTCATCTACAGTTTGGGTAGGACCTGAATGAATGGATTCAAGTTACAAGAAAGGAGATTCCAACTAAATACAGTGGAACCTCGGTTGTCGAACGTAATCCATTAAGGAAGACCGTTCGACTTCCGAAACATTCAACAACTGAGGCACAATGGGCGGTCGGCAGTTTCAATGGAGAAACGTGCCTTGGAAGCCATTCGACTTCCAAGGCGCATTCGAAAATGGAAGCATTCACTTCTGGGTTTTCGGCGTTTGGGTTCCGAATCGTTCTGCTTCCGAGACACTCGAAAACTGAGGTTCCACTGTATTAGGAAGAACTTTCTGGTGGTAAGAGTTGTTCAACATTGGAACAGACTCCCTCAGAAGGTGGTGGACTCTCCTTCATTGGAAGTTTCTAAGCAGAGGTTGGGTGGCCATCTGTCACGGATGCATTAGTTGTGATTCCTGCATTTAAATTTTTCTCTGATGTTTATTTTCCTTTTGTCTTTTTCCTTTTATTTTCCGTTGCTCCCCCCCCTTTCTCTTTCCTCTCTTCTTGTTTCTTTCCTTTTCTTTTTTCTTCTTTTCACATTCTTTGCCTTCTTTCTTTTTTCAGTGGATATATTTAGCTCCAAGGTTTGTGTACTCATGGGTGGGAGACAGGGTAATGTTGGTCTTCCAGGGTGAGAGGTTAGGAGGAGAAAGGAAAGATGCCAGGTGAGAGCTGGGAGGAGTTGCTACCTTCTGTTGGAAGTGGGGGCTGATAATTGTTTTTAAGAGAGGACTTCATTCTCTTGTTTTTATTTTTTTGTAATTGTTATCTTATTGTATTGTGATGATGATGGTAATAATAATAATAATAATAATAATAATAATAATGGCTGAAGGTGTGAGGAAATTCCACGATAATGGAATTTTTCTTGTGCACCTCTGAATCCAAACCAATGAATACTTTATGGTCCAATTTCATAAAACTTTAAAAGTAGATACTAATGATCCTGTTTGGAAAGGACATGCTAATTATGTGTCAGAGTATAATGTTTTCTGCCAGAATATAATGTTGCATTTGACAAGGCTGCACTTCATTTATTTGTATATGGGAACTCTTTTACCCCAGAGTTTTTTCTGTCACTTCAAAGTGAGGAATAGAGCACAGGTTTAGGGATTTCATATGCAGGATAAACACAATAGATCCAGATTTTACTGTTACATTTAATATGTGAGTCAAGTGTGCAGACCTGTTCCTTCTGTTGTCAACTATATTAATAATGCAAAATCTTTGACAAGCTGGTTAATCTCTCAGAGGGTTTTGAAAGAACATTTATGTTGACTGTAGAATTTGATTTACTGGAATTTATTGGAAATAGTTTGTGTGTGTGTGTGTTTAAAATCGTTTGGTTTATTTTTAGTGCTGTTACTGGCATCCTATTATTATTTTTAAAAACTGCAACACCTGGCAGATTAGTAACATCAGTTGAAATTGGTCAGACTAATTGACTATTAAATCATTTTACTTTTTCACGAAACAGGAATTTCTATTAGGTCACATATAACTTAAGTCCATTGAGCTCAGTGGGTCTGTTCTGAGGATGACTAATATTGGATCTTACTCATTGTTTATTTGTTTGTTTATTACAGGAGTTTTAAAAATAAAACTTAGAATATATGCCTTGAAAACTTCTGGCAGGAGTATACATTCAGTGATGATATATGTGAACAAGAGACTTGAATTGAAAATTCTAATTTGACTTTTATGTTTTCAGGCTCGGATCGCATTTTTGCAAGGTGAAAGAAAAGGTCAAGAAAACTTGAAGAAAGATTTAGTAAGAAGAATAAAAATGTTAGAATATGCATTAAAACAAGAAAGGTATGTGTACCATTTCTCTAATCTGAGAAATTTATTGGATATTTTAAAATGTACAATTCCTGTAAGGAAATTGGCCGCAGGTTAGAAAATATATTGACTAAAAGAAAAAGGGAAAAAGCAATCCACTTAATGTTTACGTGGCAAAATCTCATTTCTGAGTTGGATCTGCCCAAAATAAACTCTCCTGTTACTTGAAGTGCTTTGACAACTTAGTTCAACATTGAAACTCACATCAGCAATTTCTGCCATCAGTTTTTTGTTGCAGACACTGGGATTGTTTCTGAATTCCACTCTGCACTATTTTCTTAGGGAGATAGCCACCTAATCGTGCAGTGGATTTCTGCTTGCACAACAGGACTTCTTTTCTGTTGACATTCAGATCACATTTTGGGGGCATGTTGGGTTCTGTACAGGAAAGGAGGAAGAGGAAGTCCCATTCTGCAAGTGAAAATCTGCCTGTGCAACACTGGCTGCCACTTTTATGTGTGTGTTTTTGTATGCAATGTAAAGTATTTTAACTTACCAAGACTTGATTAACAGAAATTAATCCATGGGCCTTTTCTCCCTTATAATAATTCTTACTGTAACGTGTTGTCATAGATGTGATAAGTAAAGGAGCCTGATGGGATGAACAATGTCAGATTATGAGTATACTTGGACACTGTATTTAAAATCCCACAGATGTGACATTCCATTTTTTTCAGATATGTGGAAAGCCTCCCTTTTTCCTATGACAGCACTATTGTGAATGCTTCCTGCTTAAGAATTTTGCTGCAGTAATGATCATGACAGTTGCAAAACAGTATCTAATGACTGAACAGAAGCAGTAAAATCTCTGAAAAGTTACAAGTTAAAGGAAATGAAAAAGACATTTTGTTACAATTTGGGAAAGTAACATTTTCTGACTTAATAGGGAAGTTGCAAGCTTGTAAAAGAAGCATGCCTGCTTGAGACTTACAGGAATAATAGGAGTTTATAGAAATGAAAATTTTAAAAATGCAAGAGAGCCAAGCCTTCATGGCTACAGTGCTTCAATGCAGTATAGTTGTGCAAGCAGAAAATGATTAGACCATCAGTTAAGAATTCTACACTTCCACTCTCTTTAATGAAAGGCAGGAAGTCACTGGGTTCAAACAATGCCCTGTTTAGCATATACTTAACCATCCTCAAACACAGCATTTAAAATAGAAACAAAATGGATGGGTAGCTGTAGCTCAATTGCAAGGTTCAGAAAAAGGGAACTAAATGATCAAGGGAGTTAGGGCAGGTACCCTGTGAGGAAAGGTTGCAGGATGGAGGAATTTTTAGTTTCAGAGAAAATCTGAATAAGAGGTGACATAGAAGTTCATAAAATTATGCAAGGCATAGAGAAAGTGGACAGAGAAAATTTTCTCTCCTCTTGTACCACTCAACGTTGTGCATATCCATTGATACTGAATGTTGATAGACTCAGGAAAGAAAATATTTCTTCACATAACATATAGTGGAAGAAGTGGAAGAAGGTGGAAGATAGGCCTATCCAGCGTTACTGGTCGTGATGGCCATTGGAGCCGGTATGCTTCTGAATACCAGTTGCTAGAAATAGTAGGAGTGGAGAGTTCTCTTTTGGAGGAGTGGAGAGTCTCTCCTGCTTGCAGATTTCCACAGGCACCTGTGGTTGGCCACTGTGACAACTGGATGTTGGCCTAGATGGGCCACTGAGAGTAGATTTTCCCTTGGCATTTCAGTGCCTGACATCTGCTTAGTCATTTAATGATTACAATTTCCTGTTTGTTTTAGGAAGTGGGTGACTCTTTTGGTACTCCTACCTTTTTCACTAGGTCATTACATGAAATAAAATTTTGGAGGCTGTATGCAGAGTCACGTGTGTCTGTTTTACAGTTAGAGAAATGAGGTAAAACTATTTTTCCGTTGTACATTTGTGGTTCTTATTTTTTAGAGAACACCAACTGCCAGAAATAGCTGCTATGGATATGTACTTAACAGGAATATTAATTTGTAGTATGTTGCATCTGAAGCAGCACTCATACTGTATTGCCCTTCTCCCTTCTGCCCCCTGGAAAGAATCTCCTGAGAGTGGAGGCCATTCGCGAAAGATTTTCCCTGACCTATAGAAGAAGCTTTATGGGGCTGCAGAGAGAAGAAGGGGACAAGGATTCCCCTTGCATGTGTCTTTGTGAGCATTGCTTTTAGATGCAATGCAGTGGGAAAACACAGAGGGAATTAATTTTCATTGCTGATCAATATGTTTATGTTTAATTTTTTAAGGGCAAAATATCATAAACTAAAATATGGCACAGAACTGAACCAAGGTGACTTGAAAATGCCAACTTTTGAATCAGGTAACAAACTATTTGCAACCGTTGAATTTAGTTTAAATTCTTCTATTGCTCACTTTTTATATCGAGAGAAATCCCTTCCCAACTGTGTAAGCAGTATCTTTGTACAGATCCAAGTGAATTTATTTCTATGCTAGTTTTTCTTGTATGGCTTTGTCTTTATGCTTTGATTAATTTTCAGTATGATTTATAAGTATGATTATAAATCAGAGATAGATCTCAGTACCTGGGCTGAATGATGGGGTATGTGGAAACACTCCTTCAGATGGCCCTAATAGTATGATATCCAGATATTTGAAAAAATAGGAAAGCAGAGATTCCGAGAAACAAAGAAGAGAGTATGTATGTGCGTGCGCGTGTGCGCATGCAAATTCACAAATGATATTCTGCTAAAAGTATAAAGTCCTCAGGAAAAACTGGGGAAGATAAAAAGGAACAGGTCCATAAAGTATCTTGTTAGTTTTTGAAAAAGCAGAGTCTTGTATGGAGTAAGAGCAAAAATTCCTTGGCTGTTACTATCTCAGGGTTTAAGTGCATCCCCATGTATAAACAAACGTTCACATGGAAAGTTGGCATAGTAGGAGTATATGCATATCAGAAGCTATAGCGTAGTCTTCCAAATATGCTTGCTTTCCCATGCATTTTTAACTGGGGAGCATTCAAACATGTAACCTTTATGTGCAATCAGAAGCGATAAAAAACATATCAACTAAAAATAGAATTAGTTTTTCTGTCACTGTTTCATTTTCTACTTTGCAGCCAAATGGCTCTTAAAGACAAAAAACAAACAAACCCTACAAATTAAACCAGATCCTTAATGGAGCAGAATCTTCATCAAAATAATATCGACAGGACATAGAATAAGTAAAATGTACTATTCTGTGTGCCGCATTCTGTACAAGATTTGCAGTGAAAGTGTTACTAAAGTGTTATTTTGCATTTCAGAAGAAACCAAAGATACAGAGGTTCCTACAGTACCTCATAATAGTCAGCTAACCTGGAAGCAAGGCAGACAGTTATTAAGACAGTAAGTGTTACATTTGTATACTTTTCATATATTTATATATACTGTATTGTTTTATTTTGAAATTGTTTTATGATCGCTTATGGTAGCCTATACACATAGAAGCAAGTATTTTAAAATATGTCTTTCTTATGGGGAAGTGTTGCATGGGAAGGAACACTTGGAAGTGCAAATCAATAGAGCCTGGAGGCAATTCAGTAATTTGTTTTTAAAAACCCAAAACAATTCAGTATTGATACCGTAAATCCTTGTAAAGCACATCTTATTTAGATATGTGGGAGTTTGTGTATGTATATGAAGATAATGCTTTCACTCTTATTCATTAGGTATCTTCAGGAAGTAGGTTACACAGATACAATATTGGATGTACGGTCACAGAGGGTGAGGTCTTTACTTGGGCTTTCCAGTTCAGAACCAAATGGCTCAGTGGAGACAAAAAATTTGGAACAGATTCTTAATGGTGGAGAATCAAAACAAAAGGGACAGGACAATAAAAGGTAGGCAATGCAATGTTCTTTATTCATTTAAAAAACATATCCTGTCTTTTGGCTGAAGCAGATGTCTATATATACCTAAAAACTGACATCTTTTTTATCTAGAAGAATCTACTGCATTAGAAAGTGATAATTATAATATGTATAAATCCAAGATGTGTTTCTTCACTTAGAGGGTGCTTCTATTTTCAAGTGAGAAGCATTCTGGGCCTTCATTGCATGTGAATTGCTGCTTACTTTCCTCAGGGGATCTTTGGTCTAGTTTGGAGATACTAGAAGCAACCATCCTGCTTTTGCTGTCTTCTAGACCTGACACTTTTTACCACTTCCTTCAAACTGTGGCACAGACAACCTGCTACAGACTGAGAAAAAAGCAACATACTGCCCTGCCTTCCTAGAGAATAAAAAAGTGGAAGGAGGTGAGGCAGTAATTCAAAAATACCTGTTCTGTGTGCCAAATCCTCGGAGGAAAAATCTGAAAATTTAGCTAGAAATCTTTGAAATCCCATATTCCTTGTTGTCTTTGTGCATATCAATGAGATTTTTAAAAGGGTTTTCTTGACCATGGAATCTTAATTCAGAAAGCAGCCATAGCTGTTTACCAACATTGAAAATATTTTTCTCTTGTAGGAACCCTGGTGATGTTCTTGAAACATTTAATTTCTTGGAAAATGCAGATGATAGTGATGAAGAAGAAGAGAGTGACATGATAGAAGATATTGCAGACGGAAAAGAAAAACACCGGATAAATAAAAAACACAAAGTAAAAAAAAGTCTTAGTTTTATTGTTCTGTTGTTCAACCCAACAGCACAGATAGGGTCATCTTATTACCACTGTCAGTACACAGCTAGTAATCCAACAGATTTTGGAATAAAGTTAATTGAACCTACTTGAAGAGTTTAAGACTGTAACTTCTGCAGTGCTTCCCTGAACTGAGGTAAAGCAGGCTGAAAATAACTGGCTGGAATAGGTACATAATGTATTGAAATGTAGAACATATAATGCTTCCTTATATCTGTTCAGATGGTTGAAAGTCAATATGGCATGGTGATTGAGTGTTGAACCAGGATTGGAAAGACCCTGGTTCTAATCTCCACTCAACTATGAGGTTCACTGGGTGGCCTATGGTAATCTCTATTTTAGTCTAATCTCCCTCACAGTGCTGTGAAGATAAATAGGGTGAGGGAGATGATATATGGTGAGGGAGATGACAAGGTGCACTATCTTGAAGATCTTTGAGGAAAGCGGGTGGTATAAATGAACTAAGTAAACCATTTCTTTTGCACATCACAGTAACCCACAGTTTAGTGCTACAAGCTGCAGTGAGCCTTGAACTCCTCTCATGTGGCTGACAGGAGAAGTTTGAAAGCTTATGCATCTGCTTTTACGTGGTTTCCTGTTTTGCCCAGTCTAGCAACTGTGATTTATTCTAGTTACGGTGAGCTTCAACAAGCCAGATTTAAAACAGTGGTTTGAAGTTGTCTTGCTTGAAATTCGCCTTCATTACAGTTTGTTGCACCAGACAACACAGCAGTTAAAGGAAAGTAAACACAATAGCTTATGAACGCCTTCTAAGTGGGGAGAGGAGTGTGTCTGGTTCCCCATTGTCATGTACATCGTGCCAATCCACTGGTGGGGAACCAAACAACTGATTAGATGAAGAAAAATTTGAGTGTTTGAGGGGTTAATAATATGGAGGCATCAGTAGTAAAAAGGGTTCTCTACTACAATCACAAACCTGTGTTTTCAGATAGTGTGTCTCCTTATCAGCACTAAAACAATTCCTTGCAGATTTTAACTTCATATACATAGCTGTAGAGTAATAGCACAGTTTAATCTCCTTCCATATTTATTATTTTATTTGTATACTGCCCATCATCTGACCTTCACATAGTAGTTCACAACCCAAAATACATAACACAAACAAACAAAAATAAACTAAGAAGCCCCTTTCTACAAACACATGTAATGGATTAAGTACATTTAATGCATTGCTCTTTATTTTAGACAAAATGATATTTGTATTCAGAAGTACACCAAATGGCAATCTTGGGGGAGAACCTAAAAAACATGGTTTCTCAAAGCGTATTGTCCCTAAAACTGATTATGTCACAATCTATTTTAGATTGGAAATGAAGGGCTAGCAGCTGACCTAACAGATGATCCAGACACAGAAGAAGCCTTGAAAGAGTTTGATTTCTTGGTAACTGCAGAAGATGGAGAGGGAGCCGGAGAGGCAAGGAGTTCAGGAGATGGGACAGAATGGGGTAAGAAGTGTAAAGAAACAATCACATAAAACTTAAAGATAATTCTCTGTGTGCCCGCACATATGCATCAAAACCAAAAACTGAATTATTTGTGGTATTCAGATGCTATAAAAAAGGAAAGGGAAAAAAAGAATGAATGGTAGATTTCATACTCTTTAATTACAAAAGTCTAAATGTATTCAGATTTAAGTATGACATCTGTTTCTCCTTGTATTCCATTTCCCTGTGTGCTCTTATTTCTTAGAATTTTAGCCTAAGTTTGGTGGTCAACCTTTTATTTCTTATCCTATATCTTCTATTCTTTCCTTGCTTAAGCAGATAATAAATTTTCCAATCATTTGGGTGGTTTTCTAAATAAGTAATTTGTTTTGTTTTTATTTGTTTAAGATAAACTAATACTGGAAGCAGATGGTGCATTTACTGTTGGCAAGACCGGCAGCTTAGTGTTCTAAATTGGTTATCTTTTCCCAGAATATTTAGTGAATTTTAAAATAATGCAATAATATAAATAGTAAAAAAGCATACTTACCTAGAAGTTCCATTGAAATCAATGGGACTTACTTTCAAGCAAGGTAGCTAGGATCAAGGTGCCTGTAGTTATAAACAAAGTATCAGAAGTGAGATCACTATAGATGTATTGTGTAATATAAAGTAAGCTATTTGTTGCAAAGATAGCACTTATTTATGTGCTTTTATTCCCTAATTTGCAAATAGTAAAATTTATTTCCTGAATTCAATTCGCTTGCCCCAATTCAGAGAACTCCACATATAACAAAAGGCTACAAAAGTGCCTGTTGTCTGTTGTGACTGCTTATTTGGAAGTGTAGAGCTGAAAGCCTTTATAATCTGTTAACAATGTAGGCTAGTGCTCCTCAAAACACCCAGGGTGTTAAATGTAAGGGTCTTTACCCACTTCCTAATGTCCTAGAAATTGAGTAGATGAGCGCGCTAAAGTGTTTCTGTACTTTGATTAATTTATCTGGATTTGTGTGGCAAACTTGGCTTTATAACATAAAACTTTTCTTTTTGAACTAGCAGTATTAGTTTTTGTATTGAGCTGTAGCACTTCAATCAAGAGTTCAGAATGCTGAAATAGAAAGATCAAACACTAATTTAATCCACCATTTATTTTAAAAAATTAGGCCACTGTTTAGATGTTTATCTAAAAGTCATGGAACAAGTCTTATGCCAAGATGCTTGGCCGACTCCAGACTTTATGCTGGCGGAAGCATCCCGCTGGGATTGTAAACTGCAGAGCCATACTTATTTAGGTGTCAAAAAGTATTGATCCAGTTCAGTCTGCTTGATATTTCGTAATGCCATATCTTCACGATTCCTGGATCTTTTAGATTTTCCCATCACTGATAGGCAACTGTTCCCATTTTTGAGCAATACGGTCTTAATCAGCTCTTCCCAGCTGTGTAATGGTTTTCATGTTGACCTCTGGCCCTTGGCTGAGAACCTCAGAATGGGAAACCTAGAGGAGGCAGACACTGAAAAGCTCAGCAGTCCCAGCCATGCCCTTCCTGCAGTCAACAGAGTTTGGTGCAAGGGGTGCTCCTGTCAGCAGGTGGGAGGTTCTCTGCTTTGTCTGCAGCTCTTTGTGCCACTTCTGACACTGCTCCAGAGGCTTGGGGGACCCTCCAGAGCTGTGTAGGAAGGTGGCACTGGGGGCTGCAGAGGCTGGGGGAAATCAGCAGAGTCAGCCAGGCAAGCAGCTTTTCCCTATCGTATCAAAAGCAATCTATGGGCATAAGGAGCCTTTCGTATAGGAAAGGTGAAGCTTGGCTCCAACTATTAGCAATACCATTTGAAATGCAAAGATAAAATTTCCTGTTGGGTTTGCTGCTTTTTCTTTTAAGTGGGGTTTATGCCACATCTGTTACTTGTGTCTGTTTCGGCATTTATATTGCGATTTAGTTATTTTTGATAATGAGGGTTCAAGTACCACTTGGGCAACAATCTACCTTTTCTCCTAGTATTGTCTGTTTTTCACCCCTCCACTGGGTGATTAACCATACTTCTGCTCAGTGAAATTCTCCTGGTGGATGAAGGGAGCTAGTCACAACTGGGTTAATATTTCCAACTGGCCTAGACAGGAAGCTTTTCAAGTAATTTGCTTGTACTCCTCATCTCTTCTAGGCTTCAGTTTAGTTTCCTATCTGACTCGGGGCAGAAGCTGATTTTTCTCATTTTGCCCATCCAGAAATAATTTAAACTACGTCCCCCCTATTTTTCACAGCTCCTCTGTTTTTAGCTCCTTTATTTTTCCAGCTCCTTCTTTAAGAAAGTTTTTCCCTTGAGGCTTGGCTTCACCTCCCACTGCATGCCTCCCCATCTGTTGTTATTCTTCGGACTCTTGTTTGGATACTTGTTTGGAGGGAACAAAGATTGGCCCTGTTTTAGAGTTTTTTATAGTGCCTGGATCCCCCAAACCACCTATTCTTGTTGTAAAGATTGTATTCAGTAGTTTTCTAAAGCATCTTTCAAGGTTGGGACAAAAAATGAAAGTGAGGTCTCCTGCAAGAGAGGAGGAGCAGCACATGCAAATTACTTGAAGAGTTTCCTAACCAGCTTTATTGGAGGCATTTGTCCAGTGGTGACTGGCTCTCTTCATCTTCCCAAGAAGTGACCTTCATGACAAACAGAATTTGTAATGAAGAAAATGGATAGTTGATTTTCACAGATTTCTCCTTCCCCATGCAATCCCCTGAAAAGGTGTTGCTGGGAGCTGCAGGGGGAATCCATTCTATCCCCCTTTTTCCTGTGGGGAGCCTCTGCTGAATCCCACGCCCGTCTACCATATCTCAGGAGAGCTCTCTGATTCTCAGGAGAGGCTTTTTTGGAAACTGGGGGGAACAAAGGTCTCCTACTGCCAGACCCTTTATGTAAGAGCTTCTTAAGATAAAAGCCATTGAATGTGTTGCCACTTCAGATTGTTTTCTTGATGCCCACATAAATCCGCCCATAGGGAGTTACCGTAATCCTTTTTTAAAAAAAATTTGAGCAAAATCTAATGAAATTGACTCTTTCCTAATTCATGTTGGGTGGGAAGAACTCGAATTAAGTACAGCTGCTTCTTCATCACTAGAACATAGGCTTTACAAATCAGATAAATTTGATCAGTTAACTAGAGTTGTATCATTATTAATATAAAAAGCATAGGAATCTGTCAGACCAATGGTCCATCTAGCACAGTTTTGCCTATAGTTAATGTCAGCAGCTCTTTGGAGTTTCAGACAGGAAGTACTTTCCAGCTTGTCTGGCAGGTGCTGGGGACTGAATCTGTGACCCTCTGCATGTGACGCAAATGTTCTGGCACTGAGCTGTGACCCTTTCCCATTCCTTTGGTAGTACTTAGTGTACTCAGCACCAGAAACAGTTTAGTCATGCTGGCCACATGACCCGGAAAACTGTCCGCAGACAAATGCTGGCTCTCTCTGCCTGAAAGTGGAGATGAGCGCTGTAGCCCATAGTCAAATTTGACAGGACTTAACCGTCCAGGGGTCCTTTACCTTTATGTTTACCTACCTATTCAGTGTAAGGAACAAAGGGGAGAGAGAAGTGAAGAAACTCGTTTCAGCATCCACCCTGTGCATTTCACGTTGCTGTCTTGGTGAAGTCCTAGCACCTTTCCCCAATAATTTTGTGGCAGCAAGAAAAGTCTTGGATATTGCAAAAGGATTCATTCCATTCAGTTAGCATATGATCTCAGTCCATGCTTGCTCCCTTGTCTGCCAACAGGTATTGGTTGTTGTAATAGACTTTATTCAGCAGATACTTGAATAGTATGTTTGCCACCAATTGGAATTGCTTCTTGGGGATCCATTCCTTAGGTGTTTCTAGTAGCAGCTTTTGTGTTCTTTTAATGCAATTTTATCCCATGCTCAGGCAACTATAAAAATGCAGTCTTCCTTCAGTGAACCATGGTTAAGCCCAGTGTGTAAGCATCATTCCTATGGTCACGTGGGGATCATCATAATTTAATTTAATGGTTGATTTCTAGTAGAGAGGAAGCAACATTAAAGTGTCCTTCTGAACACCTATTATTAAATATAGCATTTAAATTGATTCTCTACCTGATCCTAAATAACTTACTCACTTGAAGCAGAAATAATATAACATTTGGTTAAAACTTTTGAGAGTATTCAGATCACACTTGTTTTGATGAAATCAGGTGTGGACCCCTCTAATTTTACATCACCAGCTATCTGCTCCTTCATAAGTAGCTGGATATAGTGCCAAATGATGGTGGATAGTGGCTCTTTTTGTTTGTTTGAACCCAGCCAGGTCCTATCTTGCAGAATCTCCTAGTTCTCAAGTCAACTTCTTTCCACAGTAAGATAGTCAGAGAAGGAAGTGCACACTTACTCCTAAGCTTATAATGTGTATTATCCTGGAAGTGTGAACTATCTCGTAAACAGGAATAGAGACTGAATAAAACAAAAAAGTACTTAATTGTGTAGGAAAGAAATCGGGTACTTATGCTTGCTTGCCTACACTATTAATAGGAATGCTGGCTGGGGACTTCTAAGTTGCAACCTAATCCTTTATATACTTCGAAAGGAGCAGGAGTAAGGCAGTGAGGAGGAGCACAGCTGCACACCTGGCTTTCCAGCAGCAGAGAGCTTGGAGCTGTGTAGTTGCAGTAGGGCTGCAGTGCCTCTAGACTCCACTGATCTGCCCACTTTGCATTGACTTCACTTGCCTCTTAGAGGAGACCAGCTGTGTGGTGCCACCACTCCTCACTGACTGCTCCTGGAAGTAAGTACTGTTGAGTTCAATAGGGATTAGTTCCAAGTAAGTAGAGCACAAGCATTAATCTTACAAAAATCCACCTTGGATCATGATTTACTAGCTCATTAAAATATTTATGTTTCATATGCTCAGAACACATCTATTGACCTTGCTGTAGAGTGGAAGTGAGCTCTCTTTCCTTACAAGCTTTCTCAACTAAGTGTGCCTGTGCTAATTCTTTTAAGATAACACCATACCCAAACTTATTTCATACAGACTCAGTGTCTTCAGTGGAAGTTCTATGCAATGTGTTTTATAATATGGGTATAAATGCTTTAATGTTCGTTACTTAAATTATAAATGTAGACAAGCCTATTCTGCCATCACTTTATTTTTTCCAGAATTTGTCGTGACTGCTTGAGTTACAGCATACATAGAACTGGTGCACTTTTTTAATTAAAAAAAGGAAACACTATGAATTTCGTTAATGTTTTTAATAACCTGAAACAAAAAAAACCCCTTCCCTTTATGATGATTTAGATGTGTTTTAGCACTACTAGATCTTATTGCATGTAGAGCAAGACCGGAGGAGAAATGCATGGTAGTTTTCATGAACAAAATGGTGCTGACACTTAATTCAGTTGCACATTCATGAGTTGTATTGCATGGAAAATATTGATTTGCTTATTTAAGTCTGGCTGAATAATTTGTTAATATTGTCTTACTAAAGATGCAGTATTTTCATACATTAGCGTTAATCCATTAATTTTTTCATATCAGTGAATGCAAAGAAGTTTTTCTTCTTTACTGTTGACAAATTATTATAATGTGTGGGGAATATTTCTTTTTACCAAAAGGGAAGCATTTTGCAAAACAGTAACAAACTGCACCTTTATAATACTGAAATGTAACTGAATAACATTTTGTATTGATGATTAACCTATAACACTCACAGACAGCTTGCATTGCCAACTGCTGATTATTTTTGTTTCAATAATATGCTGCATGTAGACAAAGATGACCTGTCCCCAACTGCTGAGGTTTGGGATGTAGACCAGGGACTAATAAGTAAACTGAAGGAACAGTACAAGAAGGAACGAAAGGGGAAGAAAGGGGTAAAGAGTAAGTGCAGATTCTGAATTTTGACAGGTTTTTTTAAAAATGTATTCTGTTTTTACTGCTCCATTTTAACACTTTGCTATTTGGGGGGCAACCAACTTTAACTTTCCAACATAAATATGCAAATCAGAACTGCATCTCAAATGAAATTTAAATATGCTAACCTGGTGAAGGGAGCAGGAGGTGGACCAGTTGCTTCAGCATTGCTTAGGAACAATTTGGAAAGAAAATGAGAACTTGAAACCTGAGACAAATTAATAGTGTTGTGTCTTCCTTTGTCTGTTTGCCAAAGTTAGTAGAGTTGTTTTTTTAAAAGGACTTTGAGGAAGCAAGAGAGTTTTCTGTCTGTGAAAGGTATTTCTAACAACAGTCTGCAGATTTTGGCTTGGCTTACTAATTAAGGACTAGTACTAGGACTTGGGAGGAGCCATATCTCATTGCACTTCACACTGCTACTGCTAAAATATCACTTGAAGTGAAGTGGGAATAAACCGTCCCCAAAATCCTCATGCTTGCAGAGGGTTTGGAGGGACATTATCTTTTCTACCAGTTTGTGCTGACTTTGAAGAATGAAAGTAGCAAAAGGGAACCTGAGCAAAAGGGGCTGAGCTTTGTCTGTGGCTTTGTCAACAGCACGAAGAGTCTCGTGCTGCTTCTGCAAAAGCCACCCAGAAGTAAGAGTTTTATCCTTTCTCTGCTGATCATGGAGAACTCTGGGAAAAGGATAGTTGTCGGTGCAGAAGGAGCTGCTCCTATTAACGATCAAGCAAGTCTGTATGAGTAGCCCTGGCAGCTAATTTTGTAGCTTAATTTTCACCATGCTGAGTGTGGGGCTGATAAATTCAGCATCTTCTTCGCTCAAACACTACTGGGATGACAAGAGTCTGCAGCAGTCTTTCATTTTTTAATCTGAGAATCTCAGTGATTCTCAAACTCGGCAGTGGTGGAACACACAGTAGGAACTTGAAATGGGGAAAGGATCCTGCAGCATAGATAGAGATCCTTTCCTCCCATGAGCAAATATTTAGCACTGTAATCACCAAACCTGCTGTGATAACCATAGAAGCTGCAGAAAGTCAAGGAACAGATCGGAGCTTCTAGCCACATCAACTGCTATCGCCCTGCCAACTAGTTTGAGATGTCCTATTCTAGTTCTCATCTTAGGCAGTGTTGGATTAGTTCACTAGTCCACAGATTCTTAAACACATCAGTTTCCAAGAATTCTGTTCATTCATATTCTGCAGCAATAGTTGCAGGAGGACTTGGAACATAGCCAGGGTTTTTAAGCTGGGGTTTGAGAAATGCTGCCTAGCCAAATAAACTTTGGTCAAGATAGAAAGTAGACTTAAGGCAGAAGAAGCAGAAATGTAAAATATATACAGGGGGCAAATCCAACACTGTGTGAACAGACTTCCTCTCCCCCTGCCCCCAAATCTGCTTCAGAATGTTCACTAAACTTCTGAAACAAATTTTGAGGGTGCATGGAGGTCTGTAGGCGGGGGAGAAAGAAAGGTGAAAGCAAATATCTGTTTTGCTCACACACAAACAGCATTAGATATAAACATCAGTCTGTAGATTTGACATTGTTGCCCAATTATAATTGTGTACTCAGAAGTTAAACCCATCAGTGAGATTTTCTTCCACAAATGCATGCATAGGAATGCTGTTATCAAAGCGTATCTTTTGTACTCTTGTAGCAAAATATTGATGCTAGATTGGCTTTGTATGCAAATATTTAACACTATAAATAGATTTGTGCATGCATTTTTTTCATTTTTTAAAAATAGTGTTGCATGTTCCTTGCATTATATGCTTAATCCAATACTAAATACTTTATTCTGAATGGGTCTTTCTTGCCTCCTCAGGAAATGCCCCATGCCCATTATATAACTCCATCCTGTGCTGACAAATACAGAGACGTCTGTTGTAAAGTTATTATGGAGCTGCAATATATGTTTGGAGACAGACTCTGCTTCCACATCAAACTATTTTGCAGCATATATATTTAAAGTATATAGGATAAAATGTTGGACTAATGAACTGTTTTTGCAGTAAGGTGTCTATTTCCTCACAAATAGTAATGAAATGGTGTACATGTTGCAAATCTACAGAAAACCAAAAAATGTAGAGAGGTTCTACAAGAGTTTAGAAATCAGAACAGCTGGATATTACGGGCACAGCTGTTTTCATTGGTTCTAAGGAATCAGTGTCCTCTGCTTGTAATATTCCCAGGTGATGCAGCTACTAAAATAACTTCAGGCTTTTCAACAGAAAAAAAAATCAACAGGATGCATCTGATTTATTAAAGAAAAATGTCTTTATATAAAAATGCATATCCCTCCTTTCCCAACAGAACCAAGGCAGCCAAATACCACAAAGAATGCAACTGTACTAGAACAGTAATACAAAAATGGTTCATCACATTCTGATTTGATCTCTACATAACAAATAGTTGGAACTTCCAGTGACTGCCTCTGAAAATGTTAATAGGTAGAAGATAGCATGATGATATGTCAGTTCTATATTGATTTCAATGTGACAAGTACAGAGTTTGCTCTTGGGTTTCACCAGTTGGGTAGCCTGACTTATAAAATATGTTCAGTCACACTCCTATTCTTGTTAGTGCTGTTCACAGTACACTCTTGTAATTCAGAGAACATTCAGGTGTACCACATTTCCCAAGTAAAGATGACACCAGTTCATAACACAGGGCTTCAGGTCTCATTTAAGAATCATAGCAGTTATGGAGTTCCTGTCATGGAACACAGTAATCTCTGTTTCTACCCATATCCCACATCATCTCTTTGTTCAGACAGAATCACTGGGCAAAGTGAGACCCACTTCAAATCCTTAGAAACTAGCATTTAGGGTATGATTGAGCACCCCCTGTTCTATCCTTTCCCTGTTTTGCCAGCATTCTTGCATTCTTTCTCTTGAGACAGTTGGCAACTGCCATAAGACTAGGCTGTGTGTTCTATTTACAACACAGACTTATGATTACTCAAGGTCCTGGTTTTAAAATGATTAGCACTTTAGAGTTTATAGCCTGCGGGATATCACTCTGCAGCTCTCCTCTGGCTCATCTCACTGTTCAGATATGCTTGCAGGTGTCTCTCAACTCCTTGTCCCAAGAGCAACTGTGTCCTTCCAAGTTCGTACTGTCCATCATTTTTTCTCAGTATAGAAGTGGAAAAATCATATCTTGTATAGTTTCAGAAAAGTGCAGAGATGATAAAAGTTTCAATATTAGATAAAAGCATTAAAAGCTTGGTGAGGGTGACCCGTGTTCTTTCTAAATGAAAGGGCTGTTCATAATTTTGGAATAGTAACTAAAAGCTGATTTGTCTTTTGTCACTTAAACATACTGACAGTGGGAGGAGGCATGGACACGGGGTAAAAGTGAAAACTAGTGCAAAGAGGGACCACAAAATAGAAGTGAGTAGTAGTGTCATCAGAAATGGGGTTGGGAAGGTGAAAAGCGAATTTAGCAGTTGCATGGAGTGGGAAGGGGAATGTAGTGAGTTAATGTGGGGGGAATGTAATGGGTTTGGGCAACCCTAGTATATACATATATAGCACTTTTTAGAGTGTCAGTAAAAAATGGCATGGTCTTTTATTTCGCTTCGTGTAGAATAACTCCATCTTTTGTAATCTAAGGACATTGTGTTTTATTTAGTGGTAAAACTTGGATGAGTAGGGATCTTGAAGTGAAAAGAGTAGTTTTAGAATTTATTGAGAAATTTATTTATTGTAATGAAGGACTTGTGGTTACCTGGCTAAGAAGAAGAGCTGGTAGTTCTGTCGGCCAAAACAGACTGAGGAGACTCCACCTCCTATCTCTCTGACTTTAAATTTATGATTATGGTTTATTATTTATGAAAATTTCTTTTGGAGATTCTGCACTCATTTTAGTTTAAAGCACTTTATAGGCCAGAGTATTAATATGAAGCCAAGTTTCCAGATACAAGAATTATTTTATACTACTAAAATTTCTTACAACTGTGGTAGATGAATATTTTTAAATTGCCCAATTACCTATTTAAAAACACAAAAGGGGAAAGTTAACAGTTTGTTGCCTCCCAGCCACCTATTCACCTTTACTTTTGTTCCTTCTTTTGGTAAAGTTTGTTCTTTCTTGGTGATGCTAGCTTTTAATATAAATACTGGATTTTTTTGTCAGTATATAATTAATATGCATTTGTTCAAGGATTACATTCTTAGGGAATTCAAACATTCAAGCTTCTCTTTTATCTTAAGCACAGCAAATAGCAATTACACAAAGAACAAGTTGGAATCCCTTTTTTAAAAAAGAGATCTTAATTCATTTTCCAACACAACATCATGTAAATACACACACACACACACACACACACACACACACACTCCATCATGTGTCTTATAACGAGATTACATTCAAACAACAATATTGATTAGCAAACTGGGCATGTAAATGGCTGTCAGGTCAAGCGGTGGCAATCAAATGAACCTTTGCTGCTGACATTAATTTACAGGGGTCAACAGGACTAAACTGCACGACATGATAGCTGATCTGGGCGATGATGAGCTACCCCACATCCCTTCAGGAGTCATTAATCAATCTAGGTCACCCTCTTCTAGAATGACTGATCATGAAGGTGCAAGAGCAGAGGAAGGTACAACAAATTCACCTACTTATTTTATTTTTAGAAGATTTTCTTTTAAAACCACACTTGTATAGCCCCTCCAAACCCAGTGCTAACATTTAGATGCCATTGTTGCTGGGCAACATGGCTTTGCGAAAGAATACCACTTCAGTCCTTTAGCTTTTTTGTCTTGTATAACAGAAATCAATACCCAGATTTTGTATGTTTACTTGATTATAAAGCTTAATAATATAACAGTGGTGCATAGCAAATATTAAGCAACAATAAGGTAAATTGGTAAATGATACCCTTCTCTGAAGTTTTATTAATTATACTTTGTTGAGAATATTTTTTTTAAAAAGTCTGTCCTTATCCAAACATATTGCACCAGTGTTCAGTGGAAATTATTTGTGCTTTGCTCACCATCTGAAATAAAATGCTGTTAGCTCAGCATTTTAGCATTGGTAATCAAAGTACATGTTCTGATGTTTTCAAAATTAGTCCCAAATTTGCTCCTAAAATATTCCCTAAAACAAAGGAAATCCTATCTTAAGGACAGTTCTATCTTAAAAATAAAAAATGAGGTTTTCCTTGATATTCATATGTTGGCCATGCAAAACCCTTAGTATGTGGTGTTTGAACAAGGTTTGTGCTTATGCACTGTTACTGTTAGTTGTCCTGTATTGACAGCAAAAGTTGTATGTGCAGTCTTGTGCAAATGGCACATCATGGGAATCAGTTCTCTTCTAAAGATGCACAGAACTACCTTGAAGCAACTCCCCAGCCTGATCCTTTAAAAAAGAAAAGAAATTAGGAAATAAACCATTGGAAGGAGGTAGTCATTTTAATGTAGAGCAGCTGGATGGATCAGTTTATATACATAGATGGATTGGATGTGTGACTTCATTCTCTCACTAGAGTGCAGCATTCCTGCACTTTATGTTGGAATTTTATTCTTTTGGCAAGCTGCATAATGTGAAAATAGCATGTTGTTTTGAGCTTTGCCTTCCTTTCCCACTGCTAGTTGTATAGTCTATTAACAGCAGCAGTAGATTTTTAAAGTTTTGTTTTCTTTTTGCTGTGTCTGATTCTCCTGGTTATTTTGCTCATTTACTTCTGCTAGAACTTCAGTATCAGGAAAATACAAACTTGACAAAATTTAGACTTCCTCATATTGTAGATAGTCAATGTATTCATTCTAAAAATAATTAATTATTAAATCGCTTGGTCTAAATAACAATTGTGCATGCTTTGAAAACTGATTCCTTCAGATTTGGAAGTAGAGAAAAGTCTGTAGGATAGGTAGCCTGATGATGCCTGCTTTTGAAAGTAAAGATACAAAGAAAACTAAAATTGAAAATGTGACATTATGGAATGTTATGTTGGTCCAAAAGCAGGTTAAATTCTCTTAAAAGAAAACAATTTTCTGAAATTGTAAATACATTTGAAAGCGCCACTTCACTGATTTTTAGCAAACTATTGAAAAATAAAGTAGGAATTAGTGAGGAAATCTGGTGGAATGCTGTTCCACTTGAAAACGGCTTTTGCTTGGGGACGGGGAGCATATGCTAACCTAAGAGAAAAGGGAGTGATTGTCTCTGATTTTCCCTTTCCCTTTCAGCCCCCACGGCCACCTTCCATGCTATTCTGGAGGGTCCCCCAACCCTCTGGAAAAGTTTTTTTGGGGGGTGCAGGAGGCTGAAGTAGGAAGGGACAACTGGAGAAAATTCCTATCCCCTTCTCTTAATATAGCATGTGCTGGATTTAAAGCCATTTCACTTCTACTGAATTTCACCCTAGGCTTAAATGAGTGAATGCCTCTTCATCTTATCTCTTAATAATCAAGTACAGACACTGTTCATTTGCCCTATTAAAACAAATCAAAACGTGATTTTTAAAAATATTCAGTGAGGCAGTAGTTTGGTAATTCTGTCCATGCCTTCTTAAGAAGTAAGTCCATTGAGTTCAGTGGGACTTACTCAGAGGGATTACATTGTTTATAGGATTGCAACTATTTTGTATTTTCAGTGAAAGGTTATTTGAGGGGGGAAAGGCACAAATTTCATTTTGAATAACAGTGCATAATGGCATGTTTGAAAAGGTAAGTGAATATTAAACGAAACTGAAACAGCTCTGATGCAATATTTATCTCTTGCTTATTCATGGTCATTAGTAATCAATAAAACAGATCAGTAAAATTATACTCAAAAGGGGAATCAATGTGTGGAAAGGGAAACAAAAAAATTACAGCATTATTATAGTTACAGATGTTAGTGACTACAAATATGTAAGAAGGGATTTATTAGTAGATACCATGTTTTATTGATGAAATTTAACATATAAATGTAAATGTGCCAATGCAAAATATACTTCTTTTGGGGAATCGTTGAGCTTTAATTCTTGGTTCTTATTAAAATCTTACCAATTCTTAATCTCCAGATCTTAATAAACTATTTTTTGTCTCTTGTAGCTGAGCCAATTACGTTTCCATCTGGAGGGGGCAAGTCATTTATTATGGGTTCAGATGACGTTTTGTTAAGTGTTCTGGGCCTTGGGGACCTTGCAGACTTGACTGTAGCTAATGATGCAGATTACAGTTACGATGTAAGTATAACTTTATTTTAAAATAGATCTAACAGTAGTACATTCTTAGAATGTTCCACATAATGTAGGTCTGCAGCTATGCACCATGCATATTATTTCATATGATTATTATAAATAGGTCTCCACAATAAAATGTATTAATGACACACACCAGATAAGATTCTTGTAAAATCAACAAGAAACTTACTGTAGTTGGCATTTAACGACAGTATCTTCGTAGTATTTACATTGTTTCAAGTGCATCCCGAAAAGGTTTTTATAATCAAAATCCTTAAAAAGGTAGCGAGACACATACATAAACTGAGATGATGTGAAAGAAAGATGACTCAGGTATGATGTATTGTGTTGTAATAAAGATAGGAATTAGGGGAGGAGAAGGACAATGGGATATGGAAGTTTGTCTTCTTTAACCATCAGAAATCCTCTTAGGTAGCTTGTGTTTACTAAAACTTCAGGAGGCTGTCATAAATCCTCAACATTTTCTATACAAGCAGCAGATTTAGAAAAACCTGCTTTCAAAATGAAAAGAAATACGTTATCGGTATTCTTATAAAAATGCAAGAGTTGGTACTGAAGGTCATTCCACAGCATTGCAATGCAATCCTAGCAGAACAGATTCCTTGATAACATTTATTGAACTTATGCTTCAGTTTGTGTTCTGTGATACATGTGGCAATGAAGAGGCCACAGCCGACAAGCTTTTAGCCGTGTGCCTCTCTTACTTAGATGTTAACAATATGCATTCTTACTTTAGCTGCCAGCCAACAAAGATGCCTTTCGGAAAACATGGAATCCTAAGTATACGCTACGCAGCCACTTCGATGGAGTGCGGGCATTAGCTTTTCATCCTGTAGAGCCTGTGCTGGTTACGGCCTCTGAGGACCATACCCTAAAACTTTGGAACTTGCAAAAGACAGTTCCTGCCAAAAAGCAAGTATACATTTAGATACTGTCGAGAGAAATCGCTGGAAGTGTCATATTGGGGGAGATCAATTATGCTGACCTCTTTATTTCTGACACCTTTCTTACAGGAGTGCCTCTTTAGATGTGGAACCTATCTACACATTTAGAGCCCATATGTAAGTATCTCCATGTTCTCATACATAGATTCCACAGGCAGACGACTGCCGGTACACCTAGAACAAACGATGGTTAGCGCTCAGGGTTTGTCTGGAGCGAGGTGCTGGTTTTGTCACTTCTGCTTCCTGGGAGATAGAGGAGGAGGGGCAAGGTTGGCTTGGTGCAGATGCACCAATAGGAGCACCGGATTGACTTTGCCAAGGTGCTTGTGCTGACCGCCACCTTAGCGTTGCCCCGTCTCCCAGTAAGTAGCAGTGATGCAACCAACCAGAGATCTGTTGAGTGATGCCATCACACCATGCTGTTCACTACTGGTTATGGTTATGGTTATGAAGTGTTAAAAGTTGAAGTGACAAGATAATGTAAGATGTGTTTGTTCCCTTGTTTCTGATAAACGAAGTACTGTTTATGTTATGTGGTGGGATGAAATAAGGATATGTTGTGTATTAAGAATGGAAGCAGCTTTTTGTGTGTGCTGGTAACTTGCTCTTCTCTCTCATAACTTTTCAAATGAGTTTGTTAAATTACCGTATTTTTTGCACCATAACACTCACTTTTTTCCTCCTAGAAAGTAAGGGAAAATGTCTGTGCGTGTTATAGAGGAAATGCCTACGGGTGGCATGCCTACGGATTTTCCTCCTCTAAAAACTATGTGCGTGTTATGGTCGGGTGCGTGTTATAGAGCGAAAAATACGGTACTAATCATACTTACTTTAAGTTCTTAGCTGTTCCTAAGTTCTTGATTTAGTTGAGTTTCTGTTTTTCTAAATGAGCACCTTATGTGTCCTTAGTATCTATTCTGTTAATAGTTCCAATTGTACTACTAATAGGATTTTTCCTCTCGAATCTTTCATATTTTAATGCTGATTCTTGGCTTTTGTACTATTTAACAAAATTGTAAGGTTACCAGCAAGTATGTGTGTTTAAAAGTGTAATTTTGATATTCTACTCAATCTTTGAAATTTAAAACAATAAAGCAAAATTGACTTTGGAATTTAATGTACTGCTTTTGTGTTTTAAAACAGTGGACCTGTATTATCATTGGCAGTTAGTTCCAATGGAGAGCAGTGTTTTAGTGGTGGAATAGATGCAACTATACAATGGTGGAACATGCCTAGCCCAAATGTGGATCCTTATGATACATATGGTAAGCATTATTGAAATATGTCATAATGTAGTTAGGTTGTTTCTGTAGTGATCCAACTGTGAGGTTTCCAGTGCATGGACAACTGCGGTCAAGCTATGCTGATCCGGGAACAGCTATAATTATCCAATCAATTAAAATTGGTGAAAGGCACTCGTAGCCATGAAGGACACCTCTGCCTGCAGTGGCAATGCTGGATCCTATCTAGGCAGGCAGTTTTCCAACTTCCTTGATGTGGGAACTTAACTGCTCACCCACAGAGTCTTAGTCTTGCCAGGAGTCAGACTCTTCTTTTTTAGCCCTCATCTAGCCCACCATTGTATTCAGACACCAGTCCAGGGCCTTCTCAGCTGTTCCCAATCAGATGTTAGTGAGAAATAGAGTTCGGTATCATCAGTGTACTGATGACACTTTGCTCCAGTGACCACTCCCATTGGCTTCATGTAGATGTTAAATAGCATTGGAGGCAGTTTGGTGCCCTGTGGCATCCCATAGCTCAAAAGCCTAGGTAGGACCCACGTAGCACTCATCCAGTGCTGCTTCCCGAAGCCATTTGTGGAGACAAGAAATAAGATCATTTATTATGACTATATAATTTGGAATCTCACAACAAATTGATAGATTATCCACACAGATTTGCATTATAAGAACCCATACATCTTTTGGTATGCTGGTTAGAAATGCTCAAAAGATTGACTAATTAATTTTGTTTTTCTTTTTTTTTCTAAAGAGCCAAACGTTCTAGCTGGCACATTAATTGCTCACACGGATGCGGTCTGGGGTCTTGCTTATAGCGGTATAAAGAATCACTTACTATCTTGCTCAGCAGATGGCAGTATTAGATTATGGAATCCACCAGAAAAAGTGCCCTGCATTTGCACTTACAATGGAAATAGAGGTGAGCTGTGAGGTTTTCTATCTGTTAACAAAAGTTTAAGTTTAAAACAAAATATTTTTGTAAACACACACACACAAGCCAAGAAATAGTATTTCTAGAAGCAAATCTAAAGTTCATAATAGCAGGTAATGATGGTCTAGACACCTGTGTTTCCTTTAACTCCAAGTCCTTTTGGTTTTTGTATGTTGTTGTTTTTCAATGGTTTGTTTGTTTATTGAAAATTTTAAATAATTTCCTTTCATTGTATTTTCTATTGCTCTGGCTGGCTAACAACAAATAAACCAATAAAATCACATTATGATCCCTGAATCCAAGCCATTTTATTTCGGGTGGCAGTTATACTTGGAAGCAACATAAATTGCTTTAAAATAAATATAGCTTGGTGTATGAAGTTTTTTTTTAAAAAAAAAGATCAGTACATTGACTTTAATTATTATATTTATCTTTGAGTAAATTAATTATCTTAGAAACTTAAATTGGATGTAGAAGTAGTTCTCTTAACAGATTCATTGTTCGTTCTTTTCTTTCGGCTCCAGAGTATGGAATACCCACATCAGTTGACTTTATAGGTTGTGATCCTGCTCATATGGTGACGTCATTTAGCACTGGCAACACCGTCATCTATGATTTGGAAACATCCCAGGCACTGGTAATGCTTTCATCACAGACTGATTCTGGTAAGCAAAAGAGGTTCTTTACTGCTCTTTTTATCACTTTTGCAGCTGGGACTTCATCTTACAAGGCCAAGGTGTAATATAAATATAGGAAAACATTTTTCTTCAAATGGATATTTTACATCAGTGAAATATGTGTACAGAAATCCTGGGGAGGTTCAGCTGAAGTAGTTCAGTGATGCCACAGTTTTTGTTCTTACCAGATATTTGCTTGCCGGCCTTATTTTTTGTTAAATTTCTACCCTTCCCTTCCTTTCAAAGGAGCCCAGGGTGACTGTGTAGTAAAACAATGCAATTAAAAATAATCTAAAAACATATTCGAAACATTTGAAAGCATCTCAGAACTTCTGAAAATGTATGAACATTCACATACCCTCACAACTAATAATTTCACAGTTGCCAGGAACACTATCTTTCTGCCATCAAATGCCTGGTAAACAGGAATATTTTTAAGTTCCTCTGGTGGTGTTGAATTTGGTTCTGGGAAACTTTGTTTTAAATCCTGCCTCAACTGTGTGAACTTACTGGGAGGTCTTGAAAGTTGCCATCAGCAAGTCCCCATGTGTTAAATGGAAGAATTAGGATGAACTGCTTCAAAGAAGAATGGCGAGGACAAACAAGATTTTTAAAAAACCACATTTCATTTGCCAGATAAAAAGTCCTTGATGTCCTTTTGCTGACATGTTCACCCAGACCTCTTCAAGTAAGGAGATGCCTAATGAAAGCTGCCTCTTAAAATGTTCATTTCAAGTAGTACAAGTGCCAGTGTTACACATCTGCTCATCCACTTTTTCTTCATTGCCCATACCCCAGAAATCTTTGCTAAAATAGTACATGAGCGCCCCAAAACTAGGGCCATAATCAGTTTGATTAAAGCAAGCATTGGCAAGCATGGTTTATTAGACGTTCTGTGTCAGAGTAATAGTAGTTCAGTTGCAAAACAGTCAAACCATCATATACACTGGTCTGTGTGGGTGAGGATGGTTTAGACTGAGCAGAGGCATCCCTCTACTCATCTCTCTCCCTGGTCTTCTGCTGTACATAGAGGAGGGGTTCCAAGGCCAGTGGAGTTTAGCAGAAATGGGGCATTCTGAGAGGGGGGGACTGAGCCATTATTGTTTGACTTGAAACTTGACCGCTGCTCCAGCCTGAAGCTTCTGCAGGGATCAGGCTCAGTCGTCCTGCCCTCCCACCTTTTGCTTCGCCATAAATGACTGAACTGTAGATGTGGTGGCGGCAGCTCAACTACTCCACAAAACTCCACTGACAGTGGGTAGGGGTAGTCGTGGTATGTCCTCTGGCTCAAATTTTCTTTCCTCCCATTTCTTTCTGGGGTGGGGGTGGGGGAGATGAAAAGCTTCCACTTCTAGTTTCTTGGCAAACCATCATTTGGCATCTTTTGTCTTGCTATAAGCGGAAGAGTCCAGTCTCTTCCGATTGTGTGCAAAGGAGGGGGACACGAGAGCCTGAGGCTTGCTGTTGCTCGTTCTCATAGCAACAACCCAGCCCCCACTTTTCCTGAATTGGAGCCAGTTTTGTCTTTGAATCCATCCTTTGACATACATGCAAACTCCCATAAGAAGCTAGAGTGACAGGGATAACTTGTGGAGATTAGATAGATAGATAGATATGCACCAAACATGTTAACTGAATTCATTGTGATTCCTTCCTCCTCTGATTGTCATCTCTATTGTGTTCTCAGGTTTACAATCAAACAATCACATTAACAGGGTAGTAAGTCACCCAACACTCCCTGTAACAATAACAGCTCATGAAGATAGACACATCAAGTTTTTTGACAATAAAACGGGTAAGGAAATGAAAATGCCCTTCTTCCTTTTCGTCAGCATCCTGCCAATTCCTCTGATACTTTTCTTATGCTCCTGCTTGTTCTATAGATTCTCCTGTCAATCATCCCTTCTTTAGTCTGTAACATTTGGGTCTTCTTTCAGCCTTTCCCACCTAATCCCCAGTTTCCCAAATCCTCCACTGGAACGTTGTGATCATAGCAGCTCAAGACAGTGGCTGAGGTGCAGTGGGGTGATGGGGGGGATGGCAAGCCTATGTTTATTCCTTTAAGATTGAAGTTAAAAGTATTTTATCTTTCACTGCTGTGGCGGGGAAATAGCTGGAGCTAGAATTGGCATCAGGAAATAGGAGCTGCAGATGGGATTAGTCTCCTGCCCCAAATTGAGAAGCATATCCCTGTCTCCATTATTCTGTTCTAGCCCTCTGGATTCTGTACTTTGTGCAGCTTCAGTGACTGGGAATTATTTTCAATATGTTATTGGCTTGGTGTTTCCTACGTTTGTTCTTGCTTTTTGCAAATCTATTAATAGCTGTTTAACTTTCTCAATAGAGTGTGTCAACTTGCCTTCAAGCGGCATTCATAAAGAATTGGCAATCAGAAACAAAATTACTATGATAATGAAGACTCTAAAAGTCATATGCCATCCCTTTAACATAATCGTTTTAAAACTGTTACTCATCTAAGGGCAAATGTTTATGCCTTTCTGTGACCTTCCTTGAAGCACCTAGCAGGCCACCAATGGAAACAGAATGCTGAGCTGGATGGAAACCTGTTCTGATCCAACAATGCAGTATTTTTGTTTCTTAAGGTTGAATCCTTGGTAACCGTTACATGTTCTTTAATTGCTGTTAGGTAAAATGATCCATTCTATGGTTGCTCACTTGGACGCTGTCACAAGTTTAGCTGTGGACCCTAATGGAATCTACTTGATGTCTGGAAGTAAGTCTATTGTATTTTAATATTCTGTTGGAAGCCGCCCAGGGTGGCTGGGGAAACCCAGCCAGATGGGCGGGGTATAAATAAAGTATTATTATTATTATTATTATTATTATTATTATTATTATCAGCAGCAGCAACGTCTCCTGTATTGCTAGCGGATCTTGTTGTATTGTGTATTTAGCTATGTCTGAAATCTTGACTTGTTTTTCTCTTCATTCAGGTCATGACTGCTCTATTAGATTGTGGAATTTGGACAGCAAAACGTGTGTGCAAGAAATAACAGCCCATAGGAAAAAGCTGGATGAATCCATTTATGACGTAGCTTTTCATCCATCGAAAGCATATATTGCCAGTGCAGGAGCCGATGCCCTTGCCAAAGTATTTGTGTGACATAACAAAGCAAACCTGCATCTCATGTAGCAGGTTTGCCTGGACGAAAAGAGGGAATGCGTCACTGCCATCACTGAAACGGTTACTGATGAGACACTACATGTGACCAGCCTCAGCAGAGACTGTGTGTTTGGGGCAGATTTAAATTGGTCAAATCACGATCTCGTGAATAACGCTGGGCTGATTCATTTAACTGTAATTACTGTATTTTTGAAAGGAAAAAAAAAAGCAAACCAGTATTTGTAGCCTTGACTGGATATGGACTGAGCGTTTGTCTGTTATTTAGGTGTGTCTTTAAACGAACGTGGAGTCGGATCTTATTAAAGACTTTTATTTTGGACTCTGTGTGCTGCCTTAGGGTTAGGAATGTGGTGCTCTTGTTGGGGGAGTGAGCTCCAAGAGTAGCTTTCTTTGCATCTCTTAGTATCTTCACTTATCAGTCAAATGCCACAGATTCCCCTTTTAAACTTTTATTTTGCTTTAAAGAAAAAGGAATTAACTTAAAATATTTAGCATTAGTTGCACAAAATATTTGGATAAAATTCTAGTTTTTATATGTCTTTTATATATTTAGCCTGTCACAACAGTGCTCAAGATTGTATGGATGATGTTTTTTCTGCATTATAGGACCCGAAACCACAGAGATCTTGCTGGCCCGCTGCCCTGTAACAATACCGTTTCCTTTGTTATCTAATGAAGCTCAACTAAGTCCTTTCATCAGGATGCTAATTCATCATCATTGCATAACTGGCTTCCTAAAGGACTGACTGTAAAGAATTGTGTAAGCGAAACACAAAGGAACTAAGTACCCCCAGCCCTCCCAATGAACTTTTAAAATTAATCTTGGCATCCTATCACTATGTGATATTTTGTACATCTTAACTGTATTTACGAGATTATTTATCAAGGATTACCCATCTGGCTAATGGCCTATTATTTATTTCATTTTTGTTGGTCTTTATATTCTTTTTATGTAGCGTATCAAGGGGCCCTGTATATCTATTATGGCACTCTTCGAACAGTCTAAAATAGATTAAAAATGGGACATGTAATAGTTTTAAAAGTTAGACAGACTTTTTCCAGTTAAGTGTCTGGAGTAAAGTTGATTCCAGGAAGTCATTTCAGAACTTTTGGAGTGAAAATGTTTTTATTTGCGGTTCAAATAGAATGCAAAAGTAGTTGAATCAAGAGTCAGAAATTGGCTGTGTTTGGAATAGTTATTCTCTGCTTTGATTTGTTTTTTTCAGATGTGCTTCAGTTTATGGTGTAACAAAAAGATTTTGTTTGTGTAACTGCATGATTAAGACAATAAAGTATTTTTTCTAGTCTTCCACAAAAATCTTTCTGATCAGTTTGCAAGTTTTGATGAGTTTTGTAAGTTTTCTGTTTTACAAACTATGAATCAGCAAATTTTTAAGATTGTACAACATAGCAAAAGTACAGCTGTTTAAAAAAATAATGTATATAAAATGCATATAATAAATACTAAATGGTGTACCTGTATGTTACTGTTGGTTATATTTTGTGTTGCAGAGTTTTAAGTGTCGTTTTATTCTTCAAGTAATTAGGAAAGGAAGGTTTAAATTTTAACAAAACTTGCTTTGCACATTTTAATAAACTGCATTGCTTTAAAGACTTGTAATATTTATCAACAGTTTCAACTGTGCCACTCCCTTATAAGAACCAGTTTCAAGAACAAATAGTGATTTGTATTTTAAAAATGGGAAACACAATGGCAGGGCAGCTTGTATTTTTTTAAATGAGAATATTGTCAAGCAATGGCATTAGAGTCAAATTTGAAAGCAAATCAGTTCAATTCTTCACATGCCTGCTCAGAAGTAAGCCCCACTGAGTTCACTGAGGCAGACGACTAGGATTACAGTTTTAGATATTTGATTTTACAATCTTAAAGGAATCTTGTGTTTATTCTTTATCATCTACAATTAATGAAATCATTGTGCCTTTACTCTAAAAGGTAGATGATACTAAGTAGCACACTTTTGAGTGTAAAACTTTCCATTTAATAGACTAGATTCTTAAAACACAGATTTTGAGTGGTTTTTCCATGCCTATTCCGCCCCAAAAATCATAATCATAAGATGATTGTTTCTGTAACTGTTCATGGCAAAACAGTTCATAGAACCTTTGTGTGCCATTCATTTAATCTTGTAACATGTCTTTCTTCCATAAATTGTTTCTACAAATGGACCCATTCTTTAAAGAGAAAATCGGCACAATACAAACTAAGAATGGGTGGCAGCATGTTTCTTGAATTAGTTGCTGAGCACATCATTGGGACATGGAAAATGTTCTTATAATGGATGGTATCTTGTGTTTCCATGTTTTACAATTAGATTAGCAGAGAGAATGTATTTCTCAGATTGAACAGGAGCAAAACAAGATGGTAACGTACCCTTGACAAAGTAATGTAAGCATATATTGCATAGAACCAGATTAGAGAAAAAGCAGCACCATTGTTTGCAATCCTGATGCATTAAATTTATACTGTAAATAAAAAAGGAAACCCCACCTTTGACCATAGAGCTCAAAGTGTGGTTTCAAAATGTGTCTGTGTGTAGAGGTTTTTGAAAACTCTTCTGCTGATTTGCACTCTTGGTTTTTTCCACCAATTTAAAGCATTAACGAATAGGCAAGAGTGGTTTTTATTTTATTATATTGGAATTAATTATATTGGAATTAGTTTCATAATTGCCTTTTCTTAAGTCAAACATTGTTCCTGGCAGCTTTTCCGGAGTGCTGCATTCTAAGGCTTAAATGAAATGTGACTCTTTAATAAACATTGCCAAACAAACTGCTTTTCTTTGAAATTGTATTAAAAATGGGGAACGTGGATACCACTATCCTTCCTGTTGAAGACACACAAATGCATACACATATTAAGTTTATATATGTATTGTCCTAGTATTTGTTAGAAGTTAGTTGTGAAATGCTTAATTCCATACAATACAGAAGATCACCAACAGGCACAGTCCACCATTGTTGCTTCTCTTCAGTACCACATAATGATGTGCAGGGCTCAGTTGTAGAAAGACTGCAAATAGTCAAGTTGAACAATCTCTGGTTACACACTATAGACCTTCCCACCCCTGAATTGTTTCTGTGGACAGCTGTAGCCTCTTTAATGTTGGTCTTATGGCTCAGCAGCAGCTAATGTTTCAGTGGAGGAAATAGAGCCATGGAGCATTGGTATGACTTTCTCCCCAGTTCTCAGACATAAAGAATGTTTTACTAAACTGAACATGGCCAAACTGTTCATAAAGCATTTCCAGCTTCGTTTTAGTTGTAGCTCCATAATCCAATGCTTCTGTTCTCACTGCCAATGCTATACAGATATACAAGCCAGGTTCATCTTGCCTATACTACAAAAAATCCCAGGTTGCACAGAACAACTTTATACCTCTCTGCTACTTCAAGATGAAATCCCAGACGTTACATACTCTGTTGTTAGATTTTGCACTGCCATGGTGGATATTCGTCAAAGGATGGTTTGCGCCACATACTAGGCCCAAAATGTAAGACCTGTGCTCCTTCACACTCCCTCATAGTCACTTTTAACCGTTTGTCCTTGTTTCTGTCTTTTTAAGTAAGCCTTTTAATTACTACTTTTTATCCCTTACCTGTTTTAAGTCTCGTGTGTTCGGTTTATCTGTATGTTTTATCTTATGCTGGTCTGTGACCGAAATAAAGTTTGATACTGTACCTTCTGTTCTCACAAACCGTTTAGAGGCTTGGAACTTCCTCAACTGCTAAAATGCTTTTTAAGAGTGTCATTTCCTTCCTTGGGTTTCTCTCTTTTGTGGAATCCAATAAGATGGTTGGCTGGGTTGTGTGTGATTTGCACTAATAAGTACAAATGAAATAGATTATGCATTAAGAAGAGCTAAAGTCTCTGAGCTGTGCAAATTGAACCAGTGTGCACTTTATTTTTTGTTTATTTTTGGTTTTGCTAAACATGGAGAACGAGGATGACCTACACGGAGCACTGCCAAGCAATAAGAAATCCTATTCTTGCACCTCCTCGGCCTTCTCAGATTTCAAGTATATCTTCACAACTATGGAAACTTGCTTTTAAAAAGCTGAGATGGTTTGGAAGATGAATTCTGCCTCAAATGCCACAGGCTGAGCTTTTACAGACTTGCAGTGTGGAGAAACAGTAAAAGTTACATGTGCATAGTATTAATATGTGAAAACTGCTCCATTTGTGAATAGTTAACTAAATGAGGATAGAGAGGTTGGCAGGTTTCATCTCCCAGGTGTCATTTAGAAGTAATAATATACAATATATAGGTGGCAGCCTGTCAAGAAAAATGTAGATAAAGTTACTAAATAGGTGACTATACCATGTGAGGTTTTCTATTGTGTCAGTGAACATTAGAGATCTGCTTTTATATACAAACATGGAATAAAAAAGTTAGGCTGTGATAGGTCCTAAAGTGGACATTTTCTTTCAACTCATTGGTTTGTTAAGAGCCTAACTTTTCATTGGTTAAAGAGTTCTGACTGAAGAGACTAAAAAGACAGACCTAGCACTGTGGGAGTCTGGAGTTAGGGACTGAAGAAGCAGCTAGAGGAAGAAGCAGAAACAGAAATAAGACCTGAAAGGTCCTAGTGGCGGCAGGCAGTGGCTGTCTAAGGAGGAAGTGAAGACACCAGGACTGAAACAGAAACTGAGTTGGTCTGTAGAAAGAGGAAGACTTCAGCAGCAGTCCTCTAGAAGAGCTGAAGGCAGACTGTCAGGTGTCTACATGCAGCAGTGAATTCCTGACCAGATGAAGACTTTGGATACAGTCTTCTGTAAAGCGAATGTATTAACTGGGGAGAAGATAATAGCAACTGGCTATTGGCTTCCAAAAAGGAAGAGAATGAGTGCAAGGAAATTTATCCCTCTTTAAAGTAACCCTTAAAGCAAATATTCACGTACCATTAACATCTAACTTACTAATAAACCTAATCTGATATCATAAGTAAGTTTCAAGAAAATTAATGGGGGCAGCCAATGCTGTTTGGATGTACTTCTGCTCATGCAATGGGGCCTTCCATGTACCCAAGCAGTTAGGGGACTTTACAGGAGGAAAGGAGGAAGAAGCCCCCTTGTGCAAGTGGAATTTCACTCACACAATGCTGGATTTCACCCAATATATTTGTTTGGCTTTTAAAATGGAAGACTTCTGGCACGTTTGTCCTATAGCCGAAGGCAGCCCTTGTCTACTAACGAGACGTTAGCAGTAGGAAAGAAGGTTGCTTCAACATACAAGGTGTAAGTGGCAGATATTTCATCTGAAATAATATAAAGGTGGCCCTCCTGGCAAAGGAGTTCAGTTTTAGAAGCAAGCCTCATGCCTGCTCTCGCCTCATCACCTGAACCATTCAGATCCAGCACAGGATTCCACCACTGTTCCCCCTGCAAACAGTTACCATGGGGTAGGTTGAGATTGATGACATACCCTTGCCTTACATTATACCACTTGCTACAATTCATCATTTCCCCCAAAAGTATACAATAATTATTTTTGTTTTCTTGTGATAATTCCACAGTTAATGATACAAACAGCTGCATTCTTTGTTATTGCTTTATTGAATTATAGCATACTATTGGGAGTTTTATAAAAAAACAAACAAACCATAGTGTGGAGAACAGCTGTCATGTAAGGTATGTGTATTTTCCATATCAAACAGTTTTAAAGCTATGAATAAAATAGTAATCTGAGAAAAGTGCATATTTTCCCCTCCCACATACTAAAAAAACAACACCTGTGTTGAAATACCTAGGTAATAAAGTAGAAAAATACTAGGCATTGTTGCCACTTATATTTATGCTATTGACAATCATAAATTATGACTAAAAGCCAGTTAAATATGATCCCTTCTGTACCTTTCATAATTGCTTATAATGTTTACAAACAAAACAACTTGTTGCGGGGCAAACAGTTCTGCAGTTGATGGTGGGTAGGCAGTTTACAGCCCAATTCATGGGTCTTTTAATCTGGTATAACTGGATTTAAATGAATTCAGTCCCACTGACAACAATTGAATTAATTCAGATAAAAGCTGAAAGTTGCCCCTTAAAACATTTTTCTTCTTAATACTTTCATTGCATTCCAGGCAATTAAGGAAGTGAGAACTCAATGCTTTTTATTTTTTTTAAGCAAGTAATTATTCATACATACAGTACCAAATCTTTGGAGATGCACATGACCAAGGTTTGTGTGTATATGTTGTTTTTGTTTTGTTTTAAATCCAAACTTAGCCAGATTTTAAACAGCTTTTATTTGTGCTCTGGAGTAGTCAAATAGTTTTTTAAGAAACTAATTGCTGTACATGAACCGTCTATCAGGATGCATACAAGACATTCTAAGCACTAGTCTGTGCTATGCAAATGCAGCGCTGATAGCTATGTACTCAGCAAAATATTCCTTTCACCACAGTTGATAGTATTCTAAAGCAATCTTTTTTACACTTGATAGAATGTATCTGAGATTATATTCAGCATTTAATGCCAGGAGCAGCTGTGTATTTTCTCTATATACATAACATGAATATCAAGTAACCTTAACTATAAGATCTGCATCACTTTAAACTTTAACTGAGAAATATTAAATATACATATGTAATGGCAGCTTTGGGCTAACTTCTCCGCTTACTGTTTATTCAAACAAAACTTCCACTGACTTCCGTACAAGATCTGCCTAAAGAAAGCAGAAGAGTAGCCCTTTGTGTGCTAGAATAACAGAACATCTATACCCTAGAGAGACCTCCTTGGCATTCCTGACGTGATTTAGAGTCATCTCCTGCAGCCTTCCATTTACTGTTTGGAGTCCAAGAAATCTCTGCAAATGCCTCTAACAACATCAGGAACAAGCTGCTCCAGTCCCATAAACTCTCTTGTGAAAAAGGTGTGTGTCTCCCTTGGTTCAGATGCCATATCTTTTAAGTCTTCCAGTGGTGCCCAAGCAATGCCAATGGAGAAGGTGGTAATACCTGCAAAAAAGAAAGGCTGGTTTAAGCCTCAAGCAGACATGACAATGGTTTATTGAGTCTTCCTTAAATAAATAAATAAAAGTGAGGCCTGTGTCATTATCCTATTTTGTAGCTATAAAGAGGTTATAGGACCTGCCCATTGCTGCCCATAGTGCTGCTTCAATTTCACAGGAATACAGAGAGCAGATTTTGTAAAATGGCTTGCACAACAGCATGTAATGAGGCAAGTTGGTCCAGAATGTAGTGGGAATCTCTGTTAAACCCAGGATGGGTATCCCAAAGTAATGGATGGTATCTGACTAAATCATAGATGGAGTAGACCCACTGACATCTGTAGAGTTGTTAATCAAGTCTAGCTTCAGTCCACCAAGTATGACCTAGTCAGACACAACCTAATGAGTTCTAATATACATAGCAATGAACAGCTATGAATTATCTTTCACAGCTGTTCAGATCATTAGCTTCAAAAGCAGCCACACTCACCACACCAGACGTAACTTGTATGAGCACAGACAGTGACAATCATTTTACCTGCTTTGTGAGCAGAAACAGCAGGTCCTCGGACATCATCATAAGACTGGCCATCAGTCAAAATCACCAGGAAATTTTTGTTGGCCCCATCTCTCACAGGTCCAAAAACATTTCTGGTTGTATAGGTAATGGCCTCTCCAGTAGCTGTGCCACCACTCATGTAACGGATTCCTCGGACGGCAGAAAGAACCCTCTCTTTTGTGACGTAGTCTGTAAAGCTGAACTCAGTGCGCTGGTCGTAGGTGAACTGAACTGCTGCAATTTTGGCACCAATATCTGTGATCTCAAATGATTTGGCAACATTGCTGATAAATTCAAGCATGAGACGGAAGTTGCTATCTCCAACGCTGCTGGAGCCATCTATCAGGAAAGCTATGTTGACTGAGTTGTAGCATGTCTTGCTGCACAACATTTGTTCATGAGCACAGAGTTTTTGAACAAGTGGCTTCACATATTTTGTAGTACCAAACCAAGTGGGTATGTTGTAGGAGAAGAAGCCATTATTTTGACAAACAGCCTGTTTAAAAAACAAAACAGAAAAGCTATGGATTTTGGCTCCTACTGAATAAATGGATGTTAGCTACTTACCTATACCCTTTTGACGTATTCCTTTGGTGGGGGGAGGTACTGCATTAAATGTTTGTTTTTGATGCACGGTGCTTATATGTTCCCTTGAGACTGTCTATTTTAAAAAGGGCATATTTTCCTATACTTCAGCAGAAAGAACCATTGTACCTACCTGAAAGGTAGATTTGCTTGCCCAGTGTTGTATCACTGAGGAGGAGCTTTTACAAAAAAAAGTCTGTCCCCTCTTCAGTTCGGCATACTCACTGAGCATGAACAGTGGGGAACTGAAGCTCAGGATATTGTTAACCTATTTCCAACAACAAACCATTACCTGAAAGCCAAGTGTGCAAACAGAGATGGGAAAAGGTGTTGCAGGGTGTGGCCCCCAGTGTTGCTACACTGAACAAGCAAATCTACCCTTCAGGTAGGTACTATGGTACTATTCCGTTTGTCAGTGTAGCATCACTGGGTTGGGATGTACAAAAGCTTACCCAGCTAGGGTGGATCCCAACTGTAACAAGTTACTACTATGGGAGAGCCTGCTGCCGCCCGCCCCCTGCCAAATGCCATTTCAGAGGAAGCAAAGGTGTCTGGTGAATGTGCTCAGGGACATTCAGGTTGCTGCTCTACATATTTCTAACATTGTCACCGACAGGACATTGATCTCAGAGATTCTCTGGGCTGAGGTGATGGCCACCAGGAACAGGACTTTAAAAGAGAGAATCTTCAACAGTACTTGTTTCAGTGGCTCAAAAGTTGGACATTGGAGAGCTGAGAACACCGTGTGAAGATCCCAGAAAGGAAAATGATGGACAACTGGAGTATAACGGAGGAAGTGGTTTGCTAGTGGGTGAGTGGTCAGAGCAGGGCTATCTAGCCATGCCAGAATAGAAGAAATGGCCACTGCTTGGGGTTTTTTTGGATATTAGGTTTGAACCTTTGTCAAGGACCTTCCTGTAGGAATACTAATAAGTCAGGGATGGATGTGGTTTCCACTGAACCTTGCTTGTGCCCAGCCCATTTAAGAAAGCCCCTCCACGTTGCCTGGTAAATGCAGATTGTGGGGAGGGAATGGTCAGTACCTTTACTAGTGCTGACCGGACTTGTCTCCAAGAATCCACCCCAGCTGATGCTGTCTTCGTAAGGGCTGATTAAAGCCTGTGGGGTGGTAGATCTCAGTGTACTGTAATCACCATTATGGAGGACCATCCAATGCTCCCTAGACTGTTTTGCCCCAACAAGGAAAGAAAACAATTGTAGATGAGCAGCAAACCCTGGCGGCCTAGGCGAGCTGCTCTTGTCCCCCTCTCAAAAGCGGGTCCATGGATTCTAATAATTGTGTGCGTGTGTATGTGTGTGTGCGTATGTATGTATGTGTGTGTATTTATGCTGAGAAAGAACAGTAAAAAGAGTGGAATAACAGAAGAATAAAATTGCTAAGCCAAGATGAAAGAGTAAGAGAAGCCAAAGGAGAATGTGATATTGAGGCAAAAAACTGAAGAGGGACCAGACTATTTCCTATAAAAGCTACTCCTGCCTTCATTCACTAGAGACACAAGTATGCCCAACCTAGTGATGCTACACCGGCAAGCAAAATCAAGGCTGTATCCAATTTAATTTCTACTTAGAGCAAAGTCATTCAAATTAATAGGCATAACTAGCTTAGGCTCATCCATTTCAATGAGTCTACTCTGAGTTGGATATAGCCCATAATATTTACTACTTGGGAAAATGCTTTCCTTCCCCAGCAAGCTTACCTATTGTTACTGAGATTGCTGTGTAGAATGTTTCTTATGTATATGACAACGATCCCTGTAGCATGAGTGATGACTAATGGTTATTTCTAGAGCACAGCTGCACCATCTCCTGAACTTTACCCTAAACTTCTCAGCTCTCAAGAGCTTTTAGTTGACATTGCCTTCCTTTTATAACACTACCTTAGCAAAAGCGTAGATTACAACCTGTCAATTTTTCAGTTGGGGATCTTGTCCAAAATCTACTGAAGCCCCACCCAGAGGCGGGAAATTTAGGAAGTCCTTTTCTCACCTTCTCAACAAAACCAATGTCTTGAACCATCCCAAGCTCTTCGGGTGTGGGCTTTGCAATGGACACAATGAATACATTAATACCAAATTCTCTGGCCACTATTCCAGCTTCTTCCAGATTGTCTGATGGCCAGCCATCTATGAAAACCACGATGACTTTAGGAATGCCTTTGCGTACCCCATTTTCAGCAGTAAAGAATCTTTGTGCTGTGTGTTTCAATGCTTTTCCTGATAAGGCAGCAGGAGGGGGAGAGAAAAGAAAAACGATTTAGATTGTCAATTTTTGCTACTTTTGAAAGCACAGCTCATTCTGTTTAGATGTCTAAAACATAGACTTCACAGACCAGGAACTTAAGAACAGTAAATAGAAATAGTTTGTTAAGATGCATAATTGGGACATACCATAAATTATTAGAGCGTTCCTAGTTGTGCTGCAGAATCTGTAAAACCTAAGTAGTGTGTGTGGCAGTAAGGCAGCCACCCTACATGCTGGGGGGGGGGGGAGGGCTAGCCCTTTTCAGACAAAGAGCCACTGCAACCTGTGTTCAGCTTAAGGAGCCATATATCAAAGACAGTGTGAATTTTTTAAAAAAAGGAAATTAGATGACAGGGGTGGGTCACAAATGTTTTGGTATTACAAAATCATAGCAGAAGAGGCGTGAGAGTTATCAATACATTATTTTTAAATGACAAATTATCAACATTGTGCTTTTACAAACAATCCATCAGCACACATATTTCTGTTTGACCGAATGAATGATTTCCCCTCTCTTCACCCCACAAGCAATTTTGGGGGTTCTCCTGCCCCCTTCCCCACCAATTTGGGTCGTGGGGGGCTGGAGAAAGAGAGGGAGAAAAGTTCCATTGTGCTCACGGAAGTCCTTGAGCTAGTGGGACAAGTTAGCTGAATCTAGCCCTATGCTTTTCTGCAGGGATCACACACAGGAATTATAGATACAAGTGTGAAACAGTTCCAGAAGAGATTTAGTTGTGATTCTCTATATCGGGGGTGAGGGACCTGTGGCTCTCCAGATGTTGTTGGACTCCAGTTCCCATCAGTTAGCCCCCAGGCCTGAGGTCCCTCACCCCTCATCTAGCATATGTTGTTCAAGGCTGTCAATCACTTTGGTTGTTATTTCAGAAGGCAGCATTTCTAAGTGCAAATAGCTTGAATGCCTTTAGTCTAGATAAAGGGCCAGATTCAACTGCATGGTGCTACTAGTGGGAGCTTGCACAATGACTTCTGCTCACGCAATGGGCCTTTCCTCTCTCTCCTCTTCCTGCCCTCCAAAATTCGTTCAGGGGTCTCATGGGCATGCAATGGGAAGAGGGGGGAGAATGTTCCATCAGACAACCAGAAATGTGCTGACAGAGCCACCTCCTTAGAGCTACATTGAATTCCTCTCAAATACAGTACATCATTATTTGAAAATACTATTTTTTATCTTTTGCCTGCCTGGGCTTGTACTTACCTGTATTGGAATTGCCTCCTTTGAAACCTATCTCTTTTATGGCAAATAAAACATCTTTTGATGCAGTGAAGTTTTTCAGGTAAAATTCTGTTTTTGGATGCTCACTATTTAAAAACAAACAAACAAACAAACAAACAAACAAACAAACAAACAGAACAAGGTCATAATGTAACAGTGCTAAAATTAATGCTTTGGAGTCTGAGTGGCATTATTTAATCTATGAATCTTTTCAAAACTGATTTTACTACATCTGTTTCTGTTAGTTTCTTCTCCAATATAGAGTCAGATTCAGACCCACTGGTGCTCCTAGACACAAGTAAATTACTGCTTCCTTAACAAAGATAGCTGCAGTCCTCAGATATGTCTGCACCCTATCTCAGAACAATCTTTGGCAATTTCCACAAGCATCACTTAATCAGTGATGACATTTTCCAGGTTTGTAAATTAGAGGCGGAAACACACATTGAGTAAAAGGTATGTACAGTTTTCTTTCACTTTCTAAGCAACACACATATTAATAACTCAATCAATCCCATTGAGTTCAATGGCAATTACTCTACAGTAAGTATGCACCAGGTGGCAACCATAAAATCACTTGTGAAAACACTTCAGGCATGATCTAGCTGCATGTAGGGCCTGCTTGTAAAGAATCTCAAAAGGGCTTAATAGTTGTCTTAGTTTCTCCTCTGTCCCATGTGTGTTATAGGCAGGGTGGGAAGTAATGGGAAATCTGAGCACATCTTCTGCATCTCCACCCTGCTCCTTTCTCTGTGCCTTGCAAATTTATGTTAGAAGAAAATCGACTCTTTTAAGCCCAGTCAGAATCTTCTACATTTGCATGCTCTACCAGTGGATGGAAGTAGACCATAGACCTTCTTGTCTTCCTTCCAAAGCATTGAAACAAAGACAACTGAGCAAACAACAGCATTGCGGAAAATGTCACTGAGGTCTATGAAAATGGAGCCATATATGCCATATTTTTTATTTTATAAACTTGTACCGCACATTTAACTTTATCTAGATTCTAAATACAATTTAAAATAGATAATTGTTTTCTTTTCTTTTTACATTTTTAGGCGTGTTTGGATACCAAACACATTCTGATTGCACAGAACGAAGTTCTGAGCTGCTGGAAGTTGTGTAGGCTGTGTAGCAACCCTTTTTCCAAGTCAGCATGTTTAAGCTTCTCTTTCTATATCTGCTTTTCTTCTTGTTTGAAAGGCGGCTGATGTGTCTAGCTCTCCAGCAACCCCTGCCCCACAACCAAAACCCGTAGCATATCTCTTCTTTGGGGACATGAGCTTCTTGACTTGATAGCTATGAATAGAAGCAACCATATCTAAGGTCCACTCTCAAAAAGCCTGAATGATCAGCTTGATTCCCCAAACCCCCACCTTGCAGGAGCTGGAAGGAGATCAGAGCATTTTGTTGACAGAGGGAAGCAGATGATTGATTATTTGGAGGGAAGAACAGAGAGAGAAATGCTTGACCCTCTGCCTGCCTGACACAAACGCTTCAATACATTTTTTTTACCCCTTGGGTTTCCAAACACAAGTTTTCTCTTGTAAACAGGTGAATAGAACCTCTCACAGGAAAAAGCAGCTGGGTTGCTGCAGAGGGGAAGGGTCTGGTCGTATTACTCTCTTCCTGCGATGTGATGAATTGGAGTGGAAAAAAGCAGGTATGCTCAGGCTTAAGTACACGCTGCCGCCCGCCACCCCCACCTCCACAATTGTCCCCACTCTAAATCCTCTCTTTCCAAAGCAGATTTCATCCCCCCCCCCCCGGGGTTCTGTTGCATTCATTTGCCCAATGCATTTGGATATGTGTCCTTCAGAAGAAACTGTAAAAAACATGAAGATAAAATAAGATGCAGATTATCATGTTTTATTGCCATGGGAGATATTTTTGTGCTTAGTTGTGAATTACTGTTTAAATGGATGTCTTCACAGCTGCCCCGGAAGAGAGATTTACAGTCAAAATGCATTGGACTCACTTCAATAAACTGTTTCCAAGCACCTGTTCTGGGTTTTTTTGTTCTGTATTTTTCCCACCACAAGCAAAGTGACCATATCCATTGGCTGCATGTCAGATATACAATTTAACTAAATCTAGGAGTGCTATTTTCAGTTTAAACTCTGCCGGCCTTAATCTCTTCTATGTGTTTTTCCATCACCGTCAGCCACTCAACACAAAAAGCTTTTCTTGGCTCTACTAAAGTTTTCAGAAGAATTGCTCATTTTTGGAGCATAGATGACACTAATTCTCTTGGATGAAATGTTTGTGCTGCTAGTGCAGTCCACAAATATAATTGAATAATCCTTTTGTGACTTAGATGTTTATGGGGTAACTCATCATCAGCTTGGTAACAAGCAGTGTAAATTGTTCCAGATGTTTTTGGTCCTTTTTCTTTTACATATATTGTTAACAATCATTTGTTTTTGGATTACATTCGCACAGTAACGATCAATGTGGATTGACAGAGCAGAGTTGATACTTTAGTAAAAGAGACAGAGGGAGGGAGGAAGGAAGTGGCAGAAATAAAATCTCCACTACTTAATCTCACAGATGGTTCAAATTTTAGAGGGGGAAAAAAAGGATTTATAGCCCCTTTCTCCCAGAAGTGATTTCCAAAAAAAGTTACAGCGTTGGAAACTTGCCATTACACAAGACCAGATGTAAGGATCCCAAAGAAACTGAAGTATTGTTTTTAAAATTGGGGTGAGGACTACAGTGGGAGACGTTTTGCATGCAGGTTTGATCCCTGGTATCTCCAACTAAAAAGGGCCAAGTTGCAGGTAATAGGAGATGGACATAGCTCAGTCGCAGTGCATCCACCTTGCTTGTGGAAGTTTCCAGGTTTAATCTCTGGCATCTCCAAGTAGCCCTGGAAATGTCCTTTGTCTGAAGCCCTGGAAAGCCACTGACAGCCAGCATAAACTGGCTGTCAGTGAGCTAGGTGGACCAATGCTCTGACTCAATATAAGGCAGCTTCCAATGTTCCTATGTAATGGAAAAGACCCTTTTTTGAGATTGTGAAAAGCTACTGCCACTCAGAAGTAGGAAATGCTAGGCAGAAAGATGGGCAAATAGTCTGATGGTATAAGGCTTTTTGGTGCATTTTAAACCATTATATTGGACCACTGATCTTTTGTCCTTAACTTTACTCCCAGTCTTTGGAAGTGTGATGGTAACTGATGTGTCTATAGCAAATATACCACCTTAAAGCTTTGGATCGTCGCAATATAGAAACAGCCATGTTTTGGCATGTCTGTGGTGGGTGGTCACTCTCATTTCCTCTGTTTCCAATGTTCAAACGTAAGCGCAGTTTATTCAGAAGCCGAATGAAACCAACCGTGTATCAAGCTTGGGGGAATTGTTGGTAAGGAGGGTATCCATGCCCTGTATATCCACAGTCTTGTGGTGCTTAATATCTGGCTGCTAATCTGGCACTGTGGGAACTTCAGACGTCATCTTAAAAAAAGTATTCTGGATGCACAAAACAGTGAGTTGTATCAAAGAAACTTAAAGGGAGATAGGAGGGGGTGAGGTGTAATGTGAGGCAGGGCTTTAGCAAATGCATATCTGTTTTCCTTCCCTGAATAGCTATTATTCTGTCCCTTATCATGCTAACCATGCTTTCCCCACTTGTGTTCTAATAACCCTAATATACCTATATATAGATTAAATCTATTGATGACTACAAGCGTATATAGGAGGTGTGGGGAACATTTGACCCTTAATGTGTTGCTGAACTACAACTCCCATCATCCATGGCCATTGGCCACACCTGCTGGAGATTATGGGAACTGTAGTTTAGCAGCATCTGGAGAAGTAAATGTTCCCCACACCTGCTGTACAAATAACCAAAAGCATCACAAGAACATCCAGAGAAAATGTGCCTTTGGCAACCGAATGCTAGGGAGTGATACAAGTGTGGGTTTATCACCATGATCTAATGGGCTAAACACAGTAATCACAATGCTGCCCTAGACTGGTGTCAACACATCACTTTCTATACCATTACTATTTATTTTCATTTACTTGTTAATATGCTCCTAATATACTCCATGGGTGCCATTTAATATTTAACGTGTAGGGAACAGATGGCATTGATAGGCAGTTCAAACTATAACAGAAAATGCATAACTGTAATAATGTCTTTTTTAGTTAGATCATGCCCACGCTAATCACATTGTTATAAATTATAGCACCTAAGAAGGAGCGATGTACCAAATAGGACATATTTCTAGTACCTGGCTTGTACAACTCCCACATGCGGTCCTTCAGATCCAATTCCCAGCATCACCGCTACTTTCCCAACAAAGTTCTTCTGCAAATTAAATCTACGCTGCCCAATATTGTAGCTTCCATCAATCAGAAAAGCAATATCCGCTTTACAGTCTGTGAACACCCAAGATAGTTAGATTAACTTAAGGGCAAATTAACATGAGAGATTTGTTTTATCGGACATGGTGAAATGGTAACCTACCTTTGTTCCCAGATTTTTTCTCAACTGTTTTCTTGGGCCGTTTACCTAGAAGGTAGGAAACATCATGAATTCTATACATGTAAGTACTCTTAGTAATAGAGCTATGAAAGGCCCTTCAGCACAGACATTCAAAACATACTTCGAAGATTCATTTCACCATTATTATTTAATCATTTTAAAAAAACACGCTGCTGACCACAGACACAGAGTGTGGAGTATATAGGCCAGGGATAAGAAACCTGTGGCCCATCAGATACCATTGCACTATGACTTCCTCAATCACTTTGCCATGCTGGCTGGAGCTGCAGTCCAACCACATCTCACGGGCTCCCCATCTCTGATATAGACAGAGATAGACTCACTGTTAACTGTTATAATAACAAGTTTCAGAGATTGTTATCTGGACTTATCTTTTGTTTTGTATAATGTTGAAAACTCAAAAATAAAAAATAAAAACACACACACACACACACGTTAAAGGGATTACCAGTAAATAAGATAACATATGTTCATTTTGCCAATAATAATATACAAATTACCGTATTTTTTCGCTCCATAAGACGCACCTCACCATAAGACGCACCTAGTTTTTAGAGGGGAAGTGCATGAAAAAAAATATTCTTTAAAGGGAGCGCTGAGCAGAGCCTGTATGCATCCCAGGCTCTGCTCTGCTCTCCCTTTCACAAGCCGCATAGAACGTGTGTGCAGTGCTTGTAGGCTTTTCCCCGAGGAGGGAGAAGGGTAGCCCATCACTGACGGGCTGCCCTTCTCCCTCCTCGGGGAAAAGCCCCCAAGAACCACACACACGCTCCGCGTGGCTCTTTAAAGGGAGCACGGCTCTTGCAGGCTTTTCCGGGAGGTGGGGGACGGGACGGAGGGGCTGCCCTCTGTCCCTTCCCCCACCTCCTGCAAAAGCCAGGGAAAGCCACGAGAAGCCTCCTCAGGGCAGCGGGATGAAGGTTCCCTGTGCCCTGAAGAGGCTTCACGCAGATAAGCCAGAAGCCAGAACAGCAAGAGGGAGCGCTGTGCAGCGCTCCCTCTCGCTGTTCTGGCTTCTGGCTTAGCTGTGCAGCCTGCATTCACTCCATAAAACGCACACACATTTCCCCTTACTTTTTAGGAGGGAAAAAGTGCGTCTTATAGAGCAAAAAATACGGTATTTGCTAACAGCTATTTTCCTTTTCCATGTGCCTGGAATGAGCTTGCTACCTGAACACCTCTTGCAGGTCTTGGAAAATTCATAAAATCCTTCTGTACAAACAAATCTCCCTGCGTGCTGTGCTTCTGGGTCTCTCTCTCTCTCTCTCTCTCTCTCTCTCTCTCTCACACACACACACACACACACACATATATATATATATATATATATATATATATATATATATGAATGATAATAATAGAATAGATAGAAACTAGTTTATTTCTTGGCCATTCCTGATCGGTAAGAACATATTTTGAAAGAAACATCTTACCTGTGGGTGGGCGTGCTGTTGAAATTGGCCGCCCAACAGCTTCAAGTGCAGCACTCTGGGGTCCTGTTACCACATTGAAAAATAAATTAAGCTTACTGCATTGCTGTCAAATTACATTGTAGTAAAACAGGTTGTACATGCTCAGTTTTACCTAATAAAAGAAACTGCAAAAAGTCAACACCTCAAGCCACTAGATCTCACTGAGAAGGAGACTCCTAGGAGCTAGTACAATAGCTTAAGGCATTTAGATGCAAAGAGTCTTCCTGCCTATGCTCCAGCCTAAAATGAGATTGCGTAATACTAAAGTAAACTAACTCCAGAGCAGTGGCAGACAGAAAGTAAAATGGAAAACCCTACAGATGACAAGAATATTTTCCCCAGTTACCTATACTGTGAATACTTTTTATCATACCGATGATGCATGCCCCAATGTTTTTTCACTTTGTTTTTATATTGATGATTATTTGATGTAAGTCATTACTGATGGAAGCCAATAATGTTAACTAATATACATAAAGAGAGAGAGAGAGAGAGAGAGAGAGAGAGAGAAAGGGAGAAACAAGTGACTGACAAGAACAGAATGTTAATTTACTTAAAATATTTCAACTTCTAGTTTCATCAGAAACATAGCTGGACTGCAAACAGGGCACCAGTTTCTCAGTTTACAGTCTGGTGACTCTGTAAACTAAGTATTATCTTTTCAGTGGCCCATGAGCAAATATAATAAGCACAAAGCCCTGAGACTGAGAATGATCATGCAGAGTGCAGCATCTCAAATAAAGATCAGGAACCAAATGTAAATGAGTGCATTTATGAAGATCTCTCACATCCTACGGCCTATTGAGTAGAACTTACTGCTTTGGTAGTTCTGAAGTAATTATTCATGTTATGCGTTGCATAACTGTCCAGGAATAATATGTACATTATTCCTGGCATCAGTTTTTTCAAGGCAAAGCAAAAGCCAATGTTTTGACAGTTGCATATGCTTCACATATTTTTCACGGCAGCCTAAAATATTTAGGAGGCTCCCTGGAGGAAAAACCTTGACTCAACAAGGCATCATTTGATGCCTGCTGATTTTGTACATTAGGTTTGTCTGAAATTTTTTATCACATCACACAAGAGGAGCAGCACGGTGGTTTGCTACTCTTAAGAATAGAAAATAAAACCAACAGAAAAAATAATAATGAGCCAGCCAGTTTCTTCCATGCTGATACTTTCAAAACTCACTTGGCAAAATAATAACACTTGAACACACACTTACTGGAAACTGAGAATGATGATGACCATCTAGCGAGTGCTTGAGACTGGATTCCATTGGCATAGATTGCAAGGTAGTTCTCTTGCCCTGGCAATATTTGCACTCTGACAGGCCCACCTTTACTGGTGATCACCCCTCTGTACCAAAATAAGATTTTCAGATACACATTTGTATATTGTACATGCAACCGTGACCAATTCACACTGTGGAGAAGACTTGTCTAACTACGAGCCTGATCAATTTTGCAAGATGGCTGCAATGCCTTTTTGCAGGGGCTAGTTCTAATCACTAAGATTAAGAGGGAAAGAAAGAAAGAAAGTTTATGTATTTTCAGGTCAGCTTGAAACACAGTGACTAAGAAGCAAACTCAACTCAGTGCACTGCAATGTGCTTCCTAGGAAACATTTCGGATTTACTGAACAGTTGCTTTCGGCTACAATACTATACACACTTACCTGGGAGCAAGTTCAGTAGAACTCAGACATCTTATCAATACATTTAGTATAAACGCAGCAAAATGTGTGAAGTGTCCCCAAGACTGATTTGAGAAGTAACTGCTGTTATAGATTAAAATATAACTGCCAAGGGTACAAATTTGTCTCCTTAGCTGAGCTGATAAACTTTTGAGGTTTGTAACAGCTTTAGTTGGATACATAACTTGCAGCACTCCTTAATGGCCTGCTCCCAAGTGGTGTGGCTTCTTTGCGTGTAAGCAGAATTTTGGATAACCCAAGTCTTTAAAAGGTCAATAACTTTTAAGTAGAGCCTGTAAGCATATTTGAAACTGGTACAATTGACGTTGGATGGGTGCAATATGAGATGATCCCTTTGCTTCCACACACATCTTTTCGGCAACAATATGGACAAATGATAGTTTCTAACCCACAGTTTGCTTTCCCACAATAGTCCAACAGGGATATAACCAATGCATGAGCAAATGAGGCCATGTCCACCTTTTTCCAGCCACCAATCACAACTGGTGAGAAGTAAAACGGGACTGTGGCTGCAGAGACATAACCAAGCTATTCTACTTTGTAATGCTAACTTCCAAAATCTTCCATCTTTTCTGCCAAAAATAGATGATAAAATAGCTATCTGAAAGGGGATTTCTGTTTCAAATATTTATAAATCAACTTGGTAGGACAGCATTAAATAATTCTTGACTACACATCCTTCATACTTCTTAAGTGATTGGTGACATTTACTCAGCATGCTAGTTCATTAGAGCTGACTATCAATGTCAAATGAAATCCTCCCACTCATGAATGTCCTATTACTGTAGTACAAAAGTAATATAAATAATATTTGTTTGGAGCAGTTACAGCTAGAGGAAAATAAAAGTTGGAATGGAGGATAGTAAAATAGCAGAAGGAAGAGTAAGAGTGAAATATGAAAATCACCTTTATACAATCATTCAGGAAAATAGTAAATACAGTAGATTTGAATTCCTGATACAACCACTATTAGGGAACATTTCTGTAGTTCTTAGTAGGATGTCTCTCCAAGGGTGGAGAGGGAAGTCCAACCTCAGAGGGGAGATCCAACCTCTAAAGGCCTCTACTAGCCACTGCAGAAACCTCTGCAGCCTTTAACTTGCCAATCCTGTATTAGAGCTCCAATATTGGTAGCAGCAAAAAAGGGGTGAGCCAGGAGAGATGAGGGTAGACTATGGAAAGACTTGAATCCAAAGCTTTCCCATTCCCCCAACCCCATCTTTCGAATGGGGTGGAGGTGGTGAGAATATATCAGCCCTGACAAACTGAAAAGAACGGGAGGGAAATCTCAGAATCAGAAAACAAACAAGAATCCCAACCAATGAAAAACAAAGAAAAGGAAAAGGAAAAAGGAAAAACTAATCTCTGACCTCTGATAAGTTACCTGTAGTTCAACCACATGTTTCTACTAATATGGGGAACACAAACATTTAACCATCATATTAATTTAGATCAAAGGATGAAAAACCCACCACATGGAAAATTCAGCCTACACAACTTTTATCAGCATTCCCAGGAAATGAAGGATTATGTTTTATAGCTAAAAACACACTTATATTCAATTACTGGTAACTTTAATCTGCTGAAACAGTAATACTACTTTGATGTTCCAGCAAAATTCTGGATTATGCATTAAATTCTTGTTTAACACCACAGCTATCTTGGCTTGCTGTCGTTGAATAAGTGTGATCTTTGAGATAACAAACATGTAAAATAGTCACCATAACATAGTGGCTAAACGATTCAGAAATAAATCAGGAAGTGCCTGGGCAAAATAGAAACTGTTATGAAGTCAATAAATTGACTTAGGCAAGCCACTCCCATAGTTTCAAATCCCCTCCCCATGCACACAATGGAGAATTTCTCTATGAATATCTATGATTTTCCACCCTCTTCTTTTTTAACATGTATTCGTACCAATCAAAGCTGCTTCCTAATGGGCAGTCTAGTAAAAATGACGAGCAGATCACACCCACTGAAATTATTGTGGCCCACCTTAAAGTAACAGAATTAGGATTGGAAAATTGTCTCCTTGGAGGTCAGTGGAATTGTATGGGTTTAAATCTAACCATATTGGATTACTTGGATTACAAGCTTTTCCGTCATCACTAGAATGTTGTACTTTATATACTGTGGGCAACATAGGATGGACTTATCATTATGTGATATAAATGCACTACATCTCTGCTTCTTTTAGCACTGAGGGGCCCTTTTGGAACATCTTTTGGATTTGCCTCAAAGAACATCAAATAACTTCCCTCCAATAAACCCTGGTTTTGTTGTCACCCTGTCATTCCACTATTTGTGCCCTGGGCTTGTTGCCACCCAGCACGTCAACATCCATTTGAATTACCCTGATAATTTTCCAGCACTCTGTTCACTTTGCCAGTTACCTAATGGTTACCACATTTCCTGTAAGTGCCCCAGCTGTTTGATAGGAACAGCCTGGAGATGTCACTGTGTTTCTTTAAACCCTGCTAATAACCATTACATGGGGCATGGGTGGCGCTGTGGGTTAAACCACAGAGCTTAGAGCTTGCCGATCAGAGGGTTGGCAGTTCGAATCCTCGCAATGGGGTGAGCTCCCGTTGCTCGGTCCCTGCTCCTGCCAACCTAGCAGCTTGAAAGCACGTCAAAGTGCAAGTAGATAAATAGGTACTGCTCCGGCGGGAAGGTAAATGGCGTTTCCGTGCGCAGCTCTGGTTCACCAGAAGTGGCTTAGTCATGCTGGCTCCCTCGGCCCATAAAGCGAAATGAGCGCCGCAACCCCAGAGTCATCCGTGACTGGACCTAATGGTCAGGGGTCCCTTTACCTTTAATAACTATTACAAACTGCTAATAACAATATTATTTTATGATCCTGCAGATCACATTCTACAGGTATGGCTCTGAAAGGTATGACATACTGAATGGAGAAATACAGAGAAAGCCTTAGGGAAAAGGAACAAAGCATCACTGCCCGTTCAGGACTCTAAAGTTGCATACATACAACATTTTATTCTAGAATCAACGGAGAACAAGCACTTGTTTTTTCTATATAGTCCACACACAATCTAGATCTATTGCATATTTCTTACCCCAGACAAGTGCTTATTGAGAAACTGGTTTCATTCAACAACAAAGGTTTGTTGCAGATTGATTTTGCACTACCCCGCAGTGTGTACATTTGAAAACAATTGCCCTAGCAATGGAAGGTGTATTCGCACCTCCCTAATGACATTATGGATGGACACTTCTTCATTCCCCTGGGGCATGTGCAGGAAGCATACCCTCCAACATTTCTCCAATGAAAATATGGACGTCCTAAATAATAATAATAATAATAATAATAATAATTCCACCATTTATACCCCTCCCATTCGACTGGGTTGCCCCATCCACTCTGGGCACCTTCCAACTTGTGTAAAAACATAATAAAACATTGAACATTAAAAAACTTCCCTATACAGGGCTGCCTTCAAATGGCTTGGGGAATCAGATAACTCCATACCCTCCAACATTTCTCCAACGAAAATAGATATGTCCTAAGGAAAAATGGGACATTCCAAGATCAAATCAGAAACCGGGACAGCTTCTGTGAATCTGGGACTGTCCCTGGAAAATAAGGACACTTGGAGGGTCTGAGGGAAGAAATGGCATGGATAATCAAAGGGAGGGTTTTAAAATGCATATCAAGTAACCACACCCACCCTTGTGGAAGGCAGTATTTAGAATCATTTTAGATGATTACAGAATGAGAAAAGCTGGATTTTTAATGCTACAAACGGGTTAGTATGTATGCAGCCTGGGATATTATTTTCTTGTCTTCGGTGAGCATAAGTGAGTATAAATATATACAAAAAATTAAAAAATAGTCCAGTAGCACCTTAGAGACCAACTGAGTTTGTTCTTGATATAAGATTTTGTGTGCATGCACACTTTCTAAGCTTAAACCAAGAACAAACTTAGTTGGTCTCTAAGGTGCTACTAGACAATTTTTTAATTTTTTAAAATATTTCGACTGTGTCAGACCAACACGGCTACCTACCTGAATCTAGAACCATAAGTGAGTAGCTACCAATGACCTTTTCCTATTTTCTGAGCAAATAAAACTTCAGGACAATTGTTCTGGCATTATTTTTTTTTACTGGACTAGCATCTGATGGTGAAAGGCTATGAATTATTTTGAGTTTTACAGAGCAGAGCCGCGCAACAGAAACAACACTTTTCTTTAAATTCCGACACCTGTATCATTCTGATGTAGGTCTTATAAGAACTGAGAGGAGCAAAACATTTGTGCAGCACGCGTTCCTCATAGCACCAAGTGGCCACAACGAGCCCTCACCTAGGTTTTTATCTAGGGCAGCCTTCCTCTGGATTAATAAACACTGCTCTCATTTCCCCCTCTAGTTCTACTTCTTAGCTTGAAGCTACTAAAACAGTTCCTTACTCTGTCTTTGTCACTTTCCATTTACATCTTATCTTGGCATTTATAAGCTATTACACAACCTCCACCATCACCAGCCAGCATAGCCAATGGTCAGGAATAGCAGTGGTTGTGGTCCAACAATGCCTGGAGACCCAAGGTTGGGGAAACCTGATGTAGGGCATGACTAAAGACTAAAGATCCTACTATATATTATTTTTAAAAAATTAAGGAGGCAGCCTATTCAGAGTTAAGCATGGGAAAGCACAGGTGATATAAACGTGGTCTTTAAGTCTCTGCCACTAAAATCAATAGCACTTTAAAGCGTTTCAGCTTGATCCAGATGGTGCCTTAAGTTCTGGCCAGTATACATGACCCTATCACAAAGAGCATCTGCATTCTTAGCATAGATTTCATTTTAAAGCCGATTTCCAACATCTGTGGAAGGACTTATGCTTAAGCACAATAGTAGAAGGAAAACAAAAATAAACTATCTAGGTCTTCCACTGAAGAAAACAATTTTCAGATATCTTCATTGACTAAAGTCCACTTCATTGGATGTATGAAGTGTTATCCCAAGTGGACTGAAGTCCATAACAATTTATTGCATAATACATTGGTTAAGCCTTTAAGGTGCCACAAGACTCAACATGGTTGTTTTTGCTGCAGTGGACTTACACAGCTACCCCTCTGGAAATTAGAATTCACCTAACTGTTGCTAGGCTTTGACTTCAAGCTACAGCCCTCTTACCCATATGCATCAGCTATATGTGCACAGATGGGATGGTGCCAGCTAGTCCCTTTTCTCTTGAATGGGCTTAATGCTGTCAAAGTAACATAATGATCAGATCAGCATAATTGTCCAGGGAGGACAAAACGATGCCAGAACAATGTCCATACAAGTTGACAGAGATGATGTTGCCATGCGAAGACAGGAAAAAACATGTCAAAGTGAAGGAGAATTGTTATTAGTCTTTAACTACAATGTTCCACTGTGATGGAGATAAAAAATAAAAAAGAGAAGAGTTGAGGTGCTGTCCTTACAAGAACTGCACATGCATTACTCAGTCCAGAAATCCAAAGGAAAATGTCTCATCTGAGATCCAAATGGCACACCATGATGCTATTACTTTGCTTTCTGACAATACAGATGGGGAAACCACATGTACATTAAATGGAAAGCGAAATGCAGACCTCCTGGGTCTAAGCAGAAAACCCAAAATATGGCAATTAAATATATGAAAACATTTTGCATGCAATTAACTACAATGGTATTCTCTGTGGTTAATGACTGGAATGCAAAATAATAAATCTATTGGAATCTAGGGTCAGGGAAGACAGATTATCAGATAAATATTGTTCTTGTTCTTTTCTCTCCCTTTTTCTCCTTAACTTGAAGTGGCTGAAATCAGTTCCTCTTGTTGTCTTCACCATTTGCCGTTTCTATCTTGTTTTGACCTTTGAAGTATTGTATACTTTTTCATACTGCCACTGGCTGTGATACAGTAATATAATGTGAATGCCTGCAAGAAATAGCATTGGTACAACTGTTTTGCAGACACTTTCTCTTACCTTATGTATATGCCAAACTTTCAAACTGAGTTTGGGACTTAAGGAGTTTGGTGTAAAAAGCTACTAAAGGAAGCAAGTACAGTGCCAGTCCTCACAACCAACTAGTAGAATTGTAAATTTTGGTTGAGTGGATGCTAGTACTCAGAACATGCCAATGGCATCACATTACTCTTTGCGTGGACAGGCGGGGTCCCCCAAACCCTGGGCAGCCCCTGTGTGGAATAACGAATCAAGACAACGTGCTATGGGATTAAAATTGGCTACAACTTTATTATGTTTCAGATGTGGGTAGACCTTGGCTCAGGCATTGGGTGTTTATCCCTCCCAGTCCCCCGCCAGGGATCTGGGGAACATCAGGGTTATCCAGAGTGTGTGGGGGATGGGCTGGCTCTGGAGTACATATCTTCAAGCAGAGAGCGCCCGCCCCATTATGCCGCCATCGCAGGGGAGAGCAATGACTCCCTCTAGGGGTACGGCCAAAGCCTCCCCTGAAAACAACCCCTTTAACAGGGAACCCTGGTATCGCTGCTACAAAGAAAAGGGGGGCGTGGGTCATTGCTACACCCCCACCCCCATTTAGGGAATACAGACAGGTAAGATCCTCCCCCTATTGTGTGGGTAGGGTGGTCCTTCCCCCTACCTGGCCTGATCACCTTGGCAATGCCTCCCCAGGCAGGATTGGGGAAGTGGGCTGAGGTAGGTGGAGACCTCCAGGTATCCCACCTGGGGAAGGCAAAGCCAAGCCTGTGCTAATGGTGTCGCATAGGGTCCTGGGGGCTGCGCACGCCCATGCAAAGGTCACCCCCCATTTAATGTGGGGAGCGGTCATTCCCAGAACATGCCCAATTCTCAAATCACATTTCCCATGCTGCTGCCCAATCAACTTTTGGTAGCTTTCCAATGGTGCAGGAAGTGTGAGCTGGTTGGAAGCTATGCAAGTGCTGATGCAAATTGTACAACCTTCTTGAATGAGCACCTAGAGCCACACACCTATCCAATATTCCAGTTATGCAGCGGTGGGAACCCTTTTCAGTCTGAGGGCCATATGCTTTAGTGGGCAACCTTCTGGGGGCCGCATACCCCCAGAGTCAAAAAGTGAGTGGGGTGACAGATGTGACTCTTAACTTTGTACAGCAGACTACATTCCGGCCACTCAGAAGCCAGGGGTTTCTACTCTGTGCTCCCCCATTACCGATCTCTCCACCCAGGCAAGCAACCAGAGTTGTCACAGTTCAAGGACACATTCCAGCCAGGCTAAAGTATACCTGAAGGAGAGTCACCACCCCCATCATTCAGCCCAGACACTGAGTTCCAGCATCGAGGGCCTTCTGGTGGTTCCCTCACTGTGAGAAGTGAAGCTACAGGGAACCAGGCAGAGGGCCTTCTCGCTGGTGGTGCCCACCCTATGGAATGCCCTCCCACTAGATGTCAAAGAAATAAACAACTATCTGACTTTTAGAAGACATCTGAATGCAGCCCTGTTTAGGGAAGCTTTTAATATTTGATGAATTATTGTATTTTAATATTTTGCTGGAAGCTGCCCAGAGTTGCTGGGGAAACCCAGCCAGATGGGCCGGCTATAAATTATTACTATTATTATTACTATTATTATTATTATTGGTTGGTGAGGCATGTGGCTTGGGGAGAGGTTATGTGGCCTGGGAAATAGGCATTCCTTTTGAATATATGAATATATGAAGACCCCAGGGAGGGGTCTTGCTCAACCCTGCTACTTTTAACGTCTAGGAACTGTAGCTGGGACTTACTGTATGGACTCTGCCATTGATTTGTAGCTCCACACACCTAGCCTTGCTTGCATATTATTATGCTATGTCAGAAGACTCAGAGGGTTGGTAGATAAAATACACTTTGGTAATGCCCCCCCTCAATTAAACAAAAGGATTTCCCCCTAAAATATAATGCAATTATAATTAGTGTCTGTCTCTTTAAAGAGCAACAAAACCACAGTTCTTCTCTTGGTCATACGCCTGATATCATACATTCCTAGAAAAGAATCTAAGATGATGTAGTGAGTGTTTTAGTCTTTTTGGAAAGTTTTAAATCTTTGGAATTTACAGCTAAGATGTGCATCATTGGAAATGATTTATTTCTGTTGTGCAAAGAGGGAGCTGGCTTCCCAGCTCCATAAGCATAGCCCCTTCTATGGCTTTTCAGGCCACATAAGGGCAGCATAAGTGCCGAAACTTATCCAGGTTAGTTCTTTTTTCTGAATGAAAAATATGTGTCTGTAGATAACCCTCAGGAAATTATAGAGTCAAGAATGCTGCCCTCTAGGGATGGGAAGAGAGAAAAATCCTGTCATGGCAGCTAATTCTTATAAGCTAGGAAGGATTTAACAGGCCAAATTGCAGAAAACCTGAAAATGGGAGAATAGCCCAGAAGCCTATTACGGATACAAAACAGTCCCATGATAACATGGGAAAGTATCACATGGCAGCTTGGAATTATGCTATGAATATGGGGATAGGGGACAGGGAAAAACATTTGTTTGTTTGTTTAATAGAATGGGGGTAATGAACCTGTGATCCAGATGCTGTTGGATTTCAATTCCCAACTGCCCTAAACCAGGCTTCCTCAACCTCGGCCCTCCAGATGTTTTGAGACTACAATTCCCTTCATCCCTGACCACTGGTTCTGCTAGCTAGGGATCATGGGAGTTGTAGGCCAAAAACATCTGGAGGGCCGAGGTTGAGGAAGCCTGCCCTAGACAGTTTGGCCCATGATGGGAGTTGTTGTCCAACAACATCCAGAAAGTTACAGACTCCCATCCCTGATTTAGAATCCATCTTTGCTAATGACTGGTAATAGCGAGAAGCTAATGGTTTCTCTGAAGAAAAGAACTGCTAGTTAAGTGCAAGGAAGATAGTCAAGGTCTTTTCACTGATGGCCAAAGTAGTTACTGCTGAAAGTCTGTTCTCCTGCTGGCTAAGGAAACATGAGCTGCTGAAATGCATCTGCAGGGTCTCAACACTGGAAGCTTTTCAGTAAAGTACATGCTTTTTTGTAAAGCCCATGCATGTTTATCTGCTTAAATCTATAGTGGGGAATCACATCTGGAATCACTTCTGGCTGGAGGACTGGATCTAGAAATGGCCAGCTCTTCATGAGCCACTCTGACAAGTGAGTGGGGCTACGCACCTGTCAATCTCCTGATATGATATGACATCAGATGATTGAAACTTCAAACTGCCACCGTAAAGAAAAAAATTGGGTGCACACTCTTAGCGTTTCAGTTATTTGCCAGCTCTAACTTTCTCACGTCTGATGTTATATGATGTCGGGTGTAGGAAAGGTGGGTGAAGTTCACCCAATAGGGCTGTGGGGGCCAATCTCAGCATCCTGACATGTCTAATCAGACCTGCAGGTCAGAGGTTCTCTACCACTGGCTTATACATTTCCTCTGCTCTTAATTTTTTCAGTTCCACCCTGCTCCAAAAAGAGGATTTGCACAAAGTCTGGTCAGTTAGCAATGTGCAAATCCCACTTCTGCTCCAAACCAGAACGTTGGGTTGCCCATGAGCCCAATCGGGGGGATATATTATTCCTGTGTTATTACTGGGATAATATATTCCAGCTGAAACAGCTTAAGAAAGAGACATGAAGACATAAGGTCCAGAGATCAGATGAAAAGGGTACATCCCTCCCTAACACCTTGACATGCACACATCTGCACACACAGAGAGGAAGGAGCTTAATTATCATTGTTATTGCGTTCATAAATCGCAATGCACACAAACGTAACTATTTCTGTAATGTACCAGGGCTGAGCCCTATCCCAGAAAACAAATTCCAGGACTGAACACTGGCTCCAATCATGGCCTGCTGCATAGGAAAAGAAAGATGGAAGTTTCTCTTTTGCAAACACATTTTTTATTCTACTGAGTTGCGCAAAACATCTTGAAGCACCTCTTAAGAATAGCAGTAACATGCATCCAAAGCGAGGAATGCCTTGCTATTGGCATCCACTCATTAGTGGACATTATTCCACAGACTATTTGTACATGGCTAGAAGACAATGCATTTTGCCAGGTTCCAAACTCATTAAAAACCTTTCACCATCACTCTTGAGCAGCACAATTTCCAAAAGACTGCTGCCCAAGAGAAACCAGTTTACGAATACTCAAAGGTGGAACCTGGCACATACTTTTTGAGACACTTTCTATTGCTACCATCCCTGCCATGAGAAGCCTAGGGAGGCTGCATTTGGACATAGCTAGAAAATGACTGCATGTACTCTCCAAAAACATTTTCATTTAGACAGGGCTAACAAATTTAATGCGAGATTATTTTTAAAGTATGAGAAAAGCTAGATGTTAGAAACATCTGGGCCCATCACCTCCTGGCAAATAGAAGGGGAAGAAATGGAGGCAGTGAGAGATTTTACTTTCTTGGGCTCTATGATCACTACAGATAGTGACAGCAGTCACGAAATTAAAAGACGCCTGCTTCTTTGGAGAAAAGCGATGACAAACCTAGACAGCATCTTAAAAAGCAGAGACATCACCTTGCCAACAAAGGTCCGTATAGTTAAAGCCATGGTTTTCCCAGTAGTGATGTATGGAAGTGAGAGCTGGACCATAAAGAAGGCTGATTGCCGAAGAATTGATGCTTTTGAATTATGGTCTGGAGGAGACTCTTGAGAGTCCCATGGACTGCAAGAAGATCAAACCTCTCCATTCTGAAGGAAATCAGCCCTGAGTGCTCACTGGAAGGACAGATCGTGAAGCTGAGGCTCCAATACTTTGGCCACCTCATGAGAAGAGAAGACTCCCTGGAAAAGACCCTGATGCTGGGAAAGATTGAGGGTACAAGGAGAGGGGACAACAGATGACAAGATGGCTGCACAGTGTTCTCAAAGCTACGAACATGAGTTTGACCAAACTGCGGGAGGCAGTGGAAGACAGGAGTGCCTGGTGTGCTCTGGTCCATGGAGTCACGAAGAGTCGGACACGACTAAACGACTAAACAACAACAACAAGAAACATCTATTTCTTATAGTTAAATCCTTCATTTCTTCCATGATGGAGTGCCATGCACAGGTTCCCAAGCAGCTTCTATCGCTCAGTTCCAGGCCTGACCACAGCTGACCTGTCATGTGCTTGCAGACTATGTCCTGAAATAGAACTATGTAGGCTACATAGCCAACAACCAACACCATTTTTAATTGATTTTAAAGTTGTGTTTTTATAATGTTATAGCCCACCCTGAGGCCTTATGGTGAAGGGTGAGGAAGAAATGCAATTAGTAACAACAACAGCATGGGAAACTGACCCCTAATTTTCACTGAACTGTTGATAATCAGGCTTACCTGTGAACGGCAGCTCCACAAACGCTGGAAAGGGAGGCATACGCAACATTCCCATAGACTTGGAATTGCCATATAGGACAGTCCGATGGGCAGAGGACATCTATATTATTTTTTCTGAGATCCAGTCCTCTGGTAAAACATGAGACAGCTGACAAGACTGCAGAGGAAAATAAAGAGGTGGCATATAAAACATAAAGCCTAACAGAAAAATCAGTATTCGATTGCAGCGCAGCCAGCCTACCTCTATGAATACATCATTAAGTGTAAATTCATATATTTTATTTACTTACGGCATTTGAACCTCACCCTTTAGCCAAAATGCTTTCAAGAGTGGCTTACAAAAATCATTTCTAAGGCTTGAAATCTAAAAAGACATGACACACAAGGAAAAAGGAGTGGGAGGGAGGAGGGTAAAGCAAGCTCAGGAACAAGTCCTTAAAGTAACAGTTCTCAAAATTATGGCTGATGTCAGTGGCAGTTTTGAAGTACTCTTCACCCCCACATCATATCCAAGAGCATGGCAATGTTTAAGCAGATGGAGGACAAGGAGACTCCTGCCACACAGTTCTTTCCTCAGACAGCTGGCTTGAGGGCAGCTTAAATGTAACAGCAACATATTGTCTAATAGGCCCCATTTGCACCATCAGAGCACTGACAGTACAGTTCTTTTGTTTCATCATCCCCAATTCCTTACCGCTTAACAATTATTTGCCTCCTTTGAATTTGAAAACAGAGCATTAGTTTTTGTGTGTGTGTCACTGGACACATTAGGTATTGATGAATTTTACCTACCTCAAATTACTGTTTTCAGGACTAGTTCGCATTCACAAGTCAGAACACTGAAGTGCAATGCAATATAATAACACTTATTGTTGTTCACCTAGCCTGCCCTTGCAATGAGAAGCCAGGGTGTTCTCTTTGATGTTAATTTGTCATTTTAACCTCATAGCAGGGCATTAGCGAAATCTTGTATTGGTTTAATCTTCACATAAACCCATGGGTCTTTGGCACTGCTTGCTGCCAGGATTCTCAAAGTCTGTGACAGGCCTTTGGCAGGATATCCTTTTTATTAGCCATGTGTTTGCAGACTATTGAAAATGCAGCAGGTCAGTTACTTTCCACTGACTCCCTGGAATTCACGTTAGCCTTGCTTGCTACGAATAACGTTGGTTCCATGTGCACTAGTAAGACTCTTCATATTCAAAGATGGGAAATGTATTTGTCTACATGTGTGGAATATCTGTGTTGTTTTGGGTTGTGATATTGGCACCAGGTCACTGCAAAGTGGTGTGACATGTTTTCAATTACTTTGTGGCTTTTGATATGTCTTGCTAATTGTGTAGTGGCATAACAAATCATCGGGCTGGGTTATAAATGATCTTGCACTCATTTTCCATTCATTCTTCTGTGGTTTAGCAATTCTGTTTCTGTTTTGAATTAATTACCGTAAATTCACATTTGGGAATTTTTCGCTTATGTTAATTATATTAGTACTATAGTGCTGTTCTATTTTGTGCAATAATTTGGTGTGGAAAATCAGTTTTAGATTTAGGAGATCACTTTAAAAATCCAAATTATAGGGGCTACATTTTCACAAGTGACTAAAGGAAATCCAGCATTCCATTCCCTTTTGTGCTTTAAAAAAGTCTACACAAATCTAGCTAAGCCATGGTAGATTAGTTTATCGTTATGTTTGGTTATTGGGTTATTCATTATAAAGTACTGAGAAGTTATGTCATCTCTTTTTTTGCAATCTTCTGCATTTTTACTGAAATAAGAGATACAAGACTAAATAATGGTAAAATCTACATTCTTCCATACAGCACAGAAACACACCAGTTTAGTATAACTCATTAATAGAAACAAATTTATTTCTGTTTTATTTCCAGTTTTAAAAAAAATAAATTACAGCGCAGTCTCATATGTGTGTTCAAAAGTTAACTGTAGAATTGCAGTATTTGTAGAACGATGTACGTTTTCTCTATTGAACCTATAAAAAAAAGAAAAGGAAAGTTTTTAAACATGTTTATAGGCTTCAGGAAAATTTATTGTAAGACAATTGTAAATTACCACCTTGATCCACTGAGGTTGGAGGCAATGTAAAAAGATGCAGCTTCTGGGGCTGCATATTTGCATCTAGCTCTTGAGGTTGTATGTGAAGTTCTGAATGGTAATAATATTTACAGTGACCTTTACATATGATCAGCACATAATTTTGATAACACCAAGTAGATGTGCAGCATCTAGAAATGCACAGATGTGTATAGAGCATCACAAAAAAGCCTACTGCTACATATGCAATTATTGCTGAAAATTGTATTTCAAAAGGTATTTGATACAATAGTTGTGCTATAATTTTCCTGGATATTAAAACCAAAGTTAAAATCAACTTTTTGGTCTTTCATCCAGCCCACAGTAGTCACTATGTTGCAGATAATGGTCAATAAGTTCCATGGCCATTTCATTATTCTCCACCTCACTGATTGATTTATTATGGTTTATTGCTATATTTATAGCCATGGCCACCAACCTGAATGGCTTTAAAAGGGGATTAGGCATCGAAGGAGGACAAGGTTATCAGCGCCTTAGTAACCTGTAGCTTGATGGCTATATTACCTCCAGAATCTGAGGCAGCATTCCTCTGAATACCAATTGCTGGGGATCATGAATAAAAAGGTAAAGGGACCCCTGACCATTAGGTTTAGTCGCAGACGACTCTGGGGTTGCGGCGCTTATCTCGCTTTATTGGCCAAGGGAGCCGGCGTACAGCTTCTGGGTCATGTGGCCAGCATGACTAAGCTGCTTCTGGCAAACCAGAGCAGCACACGGCAACGCCATTTACCTTCCCACCGGAGCGGTACCTATTTATCTACTTGCACTTTTGACGTGCTTTCGAACTGCTAGGTTGGCAGGAGCTGGGACTGAGCAACGGGAGCTCACCCCTCACAGGGATTCGAACCGCCGACCTTCTGATCGGCAAGTCCTAGGCTCTATGGTTTAACCCACAGCGCCACCCAGAGAGACCTATTGCACTCATGTTCTCCTTGTGGAGATATTTGTTTATATTTATTTTATTTACATAGTTCTAAACCACACTCTCATATAAAATATGACAAGGCAACCTAAAAACAATAGAAGTGTAAAAAGAAGCAGCAGAAGCAAAAGTGGCAAAGAATCTCAGGTTTGAAAGGCTTGTTTGAAGAATACAGTTATTAAAAGACGCCTGAAATGGAACGGAGTTCCCATAAGCATCTGGCTGGCCACTGTGAGAAGCTGATCAGAATTCTGGACTTGACAGGCCTTTGTGCTAACCAAGCAAGACTCCTCTTATATTATTATGTAACATAGCCATATCTCAGACAATAGTGTTCAAGTTATTGCCAGAAATATAAAAACGGTTCAAATTTGCATTATGTTACCTATGTTCCCCTTACAGAGCAAAAAAGGAGTATCACAGACAACTGTTACTAACAGAGATCCAATGCAGTGTACTCTCTCCAAAACCTTATAATAACTTCGAATGGGACAAAGGTTCAAAAAGTATATTTTGATTTTAACGTCCAAGGAAGTCAGGGCACAAACAGCAGGTCAAATAACTTTCCAATATAATTTTCAGCTATATTTAAGATACTACTGCTATTATACACAACCTTTTTGTTCTTATTTTGACACCTTTGGTCTTTCTTTTCCAATACGTTCTTCCAGAGTCACTACCTCTTTTTTAGACTTCATTCTACTTGTATAAAGGGAAAAAGAAAGCATTCTTGAGTTTACATAGCTGCTTTCTCCAGATATCTACAGTACAAGAAACCTTTGTAACAATCTTGCTTAGGTCCTTTATGGGTTTGCCAACTCCTACAACTGATGAGCTTTTCCATTGTCAAAGGTCAAATCCTCATACTTTGCTTACAAAAATACACCAAAAACCTCACTCACCATTTTGGAAAGAGTTCTGTGTTCTCCTTCCAGTGCTGATGGAGCTTAGAAATACACATGGCTGTTTTCATCTCCATTTCTGTTTAATGATATTAATTAATTCTTCACTGGAAACATGATCCTTAATCAAAAGAATTTTCATTTCTTCAGTATCAGCGGATCCATTTATTTTCTTTATTGTCTGAATAGTGCCCTTTAACGGAGGCGCATAGCTTCTTGGGTTCTCCTGTTCCTCTTAGTAGTAGAATTCCATTTCTTAGAAATATAATTGTGTGTAACACATTTTCCCTTCGCCCTTGCTCCAATAATCTTTGCATTGAGTCCAAAATAGTAAGCACCTTTGACCATTATTTATTATTTCTTACAGCCATGAAATATTCAAATGTTCTTAAATGTAAAGTCTATCCAGTTATGCCATTGGATGCTTCTCAATATCTCACACAATCTACAGCTATTATTCACACTGGAACATTCTAGGTTTTCATCCTGTCGTAAGTCACTTGGAGGCTTTTTTGTGTAAGGTGACAGATAAATAATAAATAATAATTAACTGAAAACATGTATTTATTTGATCAATAGTCTTGCACACTTCATCACTGGTGATAAGGTTCAAGTGAGAATTTACTCAATGCACAACTTCCTCTATCCCTCTCCAGTAACTTTTCCAGAGTTACTGCTGTGTGTTGCTATGACCTAAATAATCCACAAGGAAATCCATCCTATTGTCATCTAGGAAACCAAATTAACAGGGGCTTTGGTGGCAGCCTATAGTGAACACAATTATTTTCTGCTTGCCATGAAAATGTCAAAAAAAGATTCTACTCCTGCTATTTATACATGGGCAATTTCCATATTAACCTTAGACACAAGTAATATTGAATTTTTTTATCCTGAGAAGTTTTATGTTGGAAGTGGTATTAAACTAAGAGTGCTACAGTAGTCATCTTTAGACTCACAAACATAACTTTTTCCAAGTCACAAATGAAACACCTGGACCACAATAGTTTTGCCACTTGTTCCGCTCAGGAGAAGAAAAAAGAGCAGTACCAGAGAGTAAAACAACAACAAACAAGAAGAAGAAGAAGCAAGGAATGAAACAGGTGCTTTAAAAATGAACATTTATTATGACAAACAAGTCCAACACATAGAATAATAGAATTGTAGAGTTGGAAGGGACCACAAGGGTCATCCAGTCCAACCCCCAGCAATGCAGGAATCTTTTTGCACAATGTGGGGCTCGAACTCACTACCCTGTGATTAAGCGTCTCATGCTCTACCAACTGGGCTAGTCACATCTCATTGTTATCAGACAGAAGATTCCAGCGGAAGGAAAACTAGCACAGCTATAAGCATATTTACTCATAAGTTCCACTGAGTTCCATAAGATTTACTCTCCAGTAAATGTGTGTAGGATTTTCAGTTTAAGCAGACCGCAGTAGTCCAAGCAATTGGAGCAACATGTTGAAATGTTTTGGACTTAAGACTGTTTTCATTTGCCAGAGCACCTGTTTGAGGCCTGCCCTGCCCTTCTAGTTTCTTCACTAGATCTGTGCATGCAGCAGGTTGAGTGCTTTTCTCCTTTCAAATATCCCAGCAAGGAAACTAATATATTTTGAAAATCAGGGAAGTTTCCAAACGCAGTTTCTGATACCACAACTATAAGGCCATGGGTGAGGGAGGGGATATCAGGACTCCATAGTTGCTTTTTAAAACTGTTGATAAATACACCTGCTGTTCCATAGGGTATCACAGCCCCATTAGACTCTGACTTTATATAAAAGTGTAAGTATTCATGTTTAGCTTTGAAAAAGATGCAAACGGACAGAGTTTTGCCTTACTCAAAACATTCATTCATACACACACACACACACCACATATTCGTCTATATTCTCTTACAGGATGAAAATATTTGATCATGCATGTTAACAGGGAAGGGTGTTAAGCTATCTTTGCCATTTAGCCCTTAAATAAGAATGTACAGTGGTACCTCAGGTTACATACGCTTCAGGTTACATACACTTCAGGTTACAGACTCCACTAATCCAGAAATAGTACATCGAGTTAAGAACATTACTTCTAGATGAGAGCAGAAATCGTGCTCCAGCAGCGCGGCAACAGCAGGAGGCCCCATTACCTAAAGTGGTGCTTCAGGTTAAGAACAGTTTCAGGTTAAGAACAGCCCTCCGGAACGAATTAAGTATGTAACCAGACATACCACTGTACTTTACCAATCACTAACAGAAAATCAAATTAGGATGAAGAAAAATAAAGCTACAGATTATCGAGAGGCATTGACGGATTACATAGCAATTCATCTTTACTGGGTGTAGAACCATGGAATCATAGAATCATAAGAGTTGGAAAGGACCCCAAGGGTCCATAGCTGTCAACGTTTCCCTTTTTTTAAGGGAAATCCCCTTATTCCGAATAGGATTCCTCGCAAGAAAAGGGAAAAGTTGACAGCTATGAAAGGGTCATCTAGTCCAACCCTCTGCAAAGTAAGACACTTAAAAATACATCCCGGAAATCCTAATGATGGACTACAGACAGTTTCTTGAAGGGGAAGGAGGTTGTGAAGCAACTCTGTCCCTCTCCGCGTGGAAATGGCAAGATCTCCCAAGACACATTTCTGCATGCATCATGTACCGCTTCCGCATGCACCTGTTCATGCACCCCGCGCAGCAAACTTATTTGCAACTGAGAAAGGATCCCCCCCCCCCATTTTTTCTTAACTCACCCGAGCTCTCTTCGGCCTTCGCAGGACTGGCTAGAAAGACGACACCTGCCATCAAGAGAGGAGAGCGGGGTCGTCAAAGGGAGTCCCGAGGGGGAAAGCAGGCTGACGCTGAGCAGAGGAGGCACGGGGGCTGGTTGTGAAGAGCCCCCCTCCCCCGAGGGAAAATGATGCGCGAAAGCCTCTCTCCGAACCCCCAACCCAACCCAGCTCCGGGATCCAGCACGAGTTAAAAATACCCACCCAGGAAGAGCAGGACCGGAGCCATAGCTGCACCTAGGAAAAGGAGGAGAAGGCACAGAGTCAGCCCCGACAGGGTTAATCAGAGGAGCTCTTCTTCACGCACGCGCCCCCTCCCACCTCCCCACACTGGAGGAGACGGAGGGGGAGACCATCTTTTTGGGTGAGGGGGGGTAGCAGCCGCTCTTGGCTCCTGATTGGCGCCAACGGATAATGGCGACGGGGGGAGGCAAACCGATTTTACCTCGGGTTCTCGCAACCGGTGGAATGGTCGCGCCCTTTGGAATACGCAGCGCCGGGGAAATTGAGAGAGGCGCGAAAAAGAAGAAGAAAGCGCGCCTCTTTGGGCCGCCCCTGCTGAGGCGAAAGGCGGGCGGGCGGGCAGCGAGTGTTGCTGGAGGAGAAGCAGCCACGGCCGCAGGGATGTCTGCCTGGACCAGCGCTGCGCGTCGAGGGGACCGCGCGCGCTGGCTTTAAACCCTGCCCAGGCGCATGAGCACTAGTGGGAAGACCTCGGCCGCCTCCTGGGTGGCCTGGGAAGGCGGCTGACCCGCCGGAGTGGGGTGGGGGCGTGGGGAGAGGGAGGGCGCGGAGGAGCCCCGGGTGGCCGGAGCCCTTGGCAGCTGGCGCTTCTGAAGAGGCGGCAGCTGCCGCGCGCGGGAAGCGCCTGAGAAGCCGGCAGGTGCGCTCTCGGGCTCCACTCGTTTCCCGCGCTTCTCGGGGGGCCTCGCCTGGCATTTATTTCTCCTCTGCCCAGCTCTGAAGCAAAGCAGAACCCCCCCAACCTTTGTTTTCGCGGGGCCGGGGGTCGCTTGAAGGGCTTAAACCCAGCCAGCCTTTCCCGAGGCGGTGGCGCCTTGCCATGTGCCTGGCACGCGGGAGAACGAGGGATGGCGTCGGTGCCGGATTTACGTATAAGCTAAACAAGCTATAGCTTAGGGCCCCACTCTCTTGGGGGCCCTCAAAAAATTTAAAGGAAAAACAACAACCTGGATGTACATTTCGAAAATATAAGATAAAAAACGAATAAAATGAAACTTACATACAGCAACAGTGTTTTGTGTTGTGTAGGCTCCTATTTGTTATGTGCAAATGGCTTTAGATACCTATTAGGTCCATAAATTACCATACAGCATATATTCAACACAAGAAACAGCGACAATTTGATGTTGACCAAGGACAGCTGGACATATAAAGGGCCCCATTACCTTCGGTAGCTGAGGGCCTCATCAAACCTAAATCCAGCCCTGGATGGTGTGCCCGGGGCCCGGAGGAACACTGGCTGAAAAGGCTCCGTCTGTACAAGTTGGATTCCCTTACACTCCTGGACTGATTTCCTCCTCGCAAGCAGCTGGAGCCATGAGATAGCAAGCCAGAAGACAAGTGATCCACCTCCAGCCCATTGTCCACTCCGAGTGGCAACGCAACGACTGGCAAACACACACACACACACACAGTGTGGGGGGCCTTCTGCCTGCATCTTGAGAGCTGCTATTGTAGCTTCGGTTCAGCATTGTGGTGGGCAACTAGGATGGTGTAAAATGTGTCTCATCCAGTGCTTTTTTCCTAAAATGTTTAGGGGTACTCTCATTTTGACTCAAGAAAATCACCATTTTATAGTTCAAATCGGGAAAAATAAATGCAGTAAATGGACAAAAGTATCTGCATTATTATTATTATTATTATTATTATTCCACCTTTCATCATAAGATCTCAGGGCAGTTCAAAGAATAAAATGTCTGCCTTTACTTAGATGGTCTTGGGTACCAATACTAGTGATTGAATTAGTCTGCATTTCAGCGCTTCAGTGATCACATACGCAGCCCAACAAGACAATGACAAAAATCCACCGACAGCATACAAATCAACATGGCAAACCTGATCCAAAACACCCACCCACCCCACTCACACATGAAAACAAAGATCACCATAGCCAATCACAAACAACCACACCCTAGGCCAACCCCAGCCTCTCTCACCACCAAAGGAGCACAAGTGTATAACAGAACCTTCACAAGTGACGCTGACACAAAACCCCACATATATTAAGTGTAATAGAAATGTCACCACCTGACCCCACCCCCACTCACCTTTCCCCCCTCCACCTCTTTCCCCCTCTTCTTCCTAATGTCTCAACAAATGAAACAGATCTGTAAAAAATGTTACTTGGAAAAAAGAGAGAGAGAGATACATGGCACATACTTTTGTAACCCAAGAAAATCTTTAATAAAAATACTTTTTTAAAAAAGTGCTTAAATAGCATATGAGACACCATAACTGCATTCTCCCTAGATGTGCCCTTCCTGTGAGTTTGATGTGTGCAAAGGTTCTGAATTCTACCCTACATTCATAATTTCTATATTCTAGCTGGTTAGATTTCTGCTTTAAAATCAAGCATGTATTCTTCTAACATCTTATGATATTACTTGTGAATTGCCCCGGAGGACTTTTTTGTTGCTTTAAAAGGCAGCATTAGAAAACACACACGCAAACCTCACAGAAAAGAGCCTTTCACACCTTCAAAATATGCATGTGTATACATGCGAAAGTATATGTTTTTGTATTTGGAAAGGAAATGAAGAAAAGGGAAATGAAGAAAATGAGAAACCCTAACAGCTGAACTCATCCTGAGTTCAAGGGGGTTGGCTCCCAGGTAAGTGAGTATATATAGGATTTTCTAAATTTAGTAATAAAACTATGTGTAATTAGATTAAATAAATTTATATCGTGCCTTTCCTCCCCAAGGAGCCCAGCCCAGGGTGAATGGTAGCCTTCGTGGCTCTATATTAGTGTTATTGGAACCATCAGGATATATATTTCCTGGGAGGACATTTGTATCTCCTGCTTCCATTTGTATGAGAAGAGTTAGTGGTTGATTATAACATTGCAGGATTCGGCCTTTGGGGCCCTTTGCTACCTTCAAGGGCCGCAGGTGAAGGTAAATGTGCTGTGTGGTTCCTTGAGGTTAAATTCTGTCGTGTGTCCAAGGTTTTTATCCCCTGCCTCTGAAGAGTCTGGAATATAGATGTTGTGGCATTCCAAGCCAGGAAGATTATGTCAGCAGCCTTGGCCATAAACGGAACTTGGTAATCCGCACAAATGTCCTGGTATCAAAACAAAAGTGGTGAATGGACAACCAAATCCTCTGTTTTTGAAGGATGATATTACTTCCTTCCCTGTAGTGCAGCACATCTCATTACCGGGATGACATGAGAAATTTGTCCCCTTTTCTGTCCCATTTAATAAAATTTGTTGGCTAAATTGTTGCACCCCTAAGATCCAACATTTGACATGAGCGGGCTTGGTTTTGAAATATGTACAATGATGCCAGTTAGTAACTTGTTTACAAGATTGCACTTGGAAGTACATTTTGATGAACTGGTGAAAATATAAACACAAATATGACCACTTGTAAAATAAAAAAATGTTGATTTAGAAAACATCCTACAAGACACAAATATTTGCAAAAGCATGACCATTTGGTGTATTGTTACATTAGCTAATCTTCCTTGCGTTTGTTTTCCAGACTCCTGGATAAAATTGACTGTTGAATAAGGTACTTGGACTTGGAAAAACCAGTTGCTCATTGTGACGTACTAAATCATTGTTTGCAATCAGGTGTTTATGGTTAGGCTCCAGTTAGAGCTGGTGCACACCATATTTTTCAGATTATCAAATATTTGAATGACATTAAAATGGTTTATGTTGAAATACAAATGAAACTGAACAGAATCAGTATGAATACATAAATAAATACTGGCATATATATTAGGTTTTCTTGTTTTAATTGGTTTTAATTGAACGTATTTTTTTTTTTTTGTAAAGATGCTTTCAGTTGCCTGTGGCAAGAAAAAGCATCCAATAAATTTAACTAATCAACAACAACAACAACAACAATAGCAAACTGGATATAGTTTATTTAGTGTGTATGGTATATTGTTATAGCTATTTTCCTAAGCATATAAAAACATTTTTTTACTGAATTACCCGAAAGTGTTAGGATATAATATTAGGAAAAGAGTCTGTTTCCTGTACAACTTCACAATCAGCTAGAGACTTCTGAAACTGATCTGACAGTTTCCAGTACGATGCAATTAATGTTTTCGCTTTCCATTGTACAGGCCTTTACCTGTAGCCTTTGTCTAGCAATTTACTTCTCAGGTGATAGCCTCTGTATCAGATTCCGATGCTAAGTTGTACCATGAAATAATATTTTTAGACATTCATTTTAATCTGGAAGTTTTCAGTACCCAGTGCACAGTCGGGCAGAAATAATTCAATTCATTATATAAGCTTGTTCTTAACACCAGCTGTTCTCAGTCTGATTGCTAACCCTTTTCTGAACTAGAAAGACAAAATGTTTCGTTCTTTAAGGATTCAGTAGAGTCTTAGGTAAATATTTAATTTCAGGTGAAGCTGCATTCAGCTGTTGTCCTGATCAGGATGCATCCTGGCAGAACTTGGCTCCAGTTCTGTTGCTAAGTTGACTTTTGCTGCTTCTGGCTCTGCTACTGATGCTGTTTCTTCCACTTCCTCTGCTAATGATGATCTGAATATTCTGGGGGCAGAGACAAACCCATGAGTGTTCTTTCAGTTGACAACCGAGAAAACTAGAATTTATTTTATTACATTTTTATTTTACCTTTCTTAAGCCAGCATGTTGTAGTGGTTAAAAACGGTGGACTTGTAATCTGGTGAACTGGGTTCGCTTCCCCGCTCCTCCACATGCAGCTGCTGGGTGACCTTGGACTAGTCACACTTCTCTGAAGTCTCTCAGCCTCACTCACAGAGTGTTTGTTGTTATAAGGGAGGAAGGGAAAGGAGATTGTTAGTCACTTTGAGACTCCTTAAGGGGAGTGAAAGGCAGGATATCAAGTCCAAACTTCTTCTTCTTCTTCTTCTTCTTCTTCTTCTTCTTCTTCTTCTTCTTCTAGCAGCTCAGGAAAAAGTGATATCCTGATATTCAGGAAAAGGTCCAGCCTATTTTATCTTCATAATAACCCTACTAGTTAGGTAAGGCTGAGAGGGGGTGAGTGACTGATCCAAGGGGAATGCCACATGTGAGCAGGGAACTAAATTCAATTGCAAGTCCCAAAACTTATCCATTATACCACATAGGCTCTCTTAGAACTTGAAAGAGACCCAAAAGCAAAAGTAGCACACGCAAAGACAGGGAAGCATTGATGGAGGCAGAGGAGCAAAAAGATGCCAACCTTCAATAGCATGACACAATTGCTCTGTATGAGCACAGTAAACATAGTTAATATCAGTTGGAATGTAATAGTTTCGGCGCAGGATTAATAATTTCTTTCCTGTTCTCTTCTCTCCAGCCAGGACTATGTATAGTGATAGACCGAGTTTAATGGTGGTAGTGTATAGTTCAACAAAAGCAGCAAAAGGAAATCATTGGACCTATAAAGACTGAAACATGTAATGGCTCTAAGATAAAACTGAACACATTTATGTATGGTAATGGCTGTATAGGATTTTTCTCAATAATCCAATGCATTGCTGGCTATTCATTGCATCCGATCCATGTTGCGCAAGCCCTAAGCTGAGC